GATGTTGGAGAAGGCATTCAGGTAACAGCGAAGATCAGGGACGCGGTGAAGCTTCTCCGTGACATACGACATCACGTGTCGATCGTCGTGCCACTTTGAACGGTTTCAGCGGTGATGAGTCGAGCGATGACGACCCAGACTGAGACTCTACTCCCACTAATCGATCCTGTAGATATTGTTGATAATTATGTCGATTGAATGTGTTGAAGTGTTTCTCTTCCAAAAGAACACATTTGTTGAGTACAGCAACTCCTTGAAAACTCATGTCAAAAAGTCACGAAGTTTTTGTTTCCGCAGGAAGTAGCTCTGCACTGCGCGTACTGCACAGTCACATGCACAGCACGCTTCTGCACGCTGCACTGATTCGAATGACACCATACACGCATTTGTCAGGCATGCCTAAGTATGCATATCGCCTATAGTAATATATCGCCTATAGTGATATTTTCACGAAAATCAAACACCAACGCTATAGCCGATCCGTACTGTACTCAGTAGAATAGCGTGTGTTCTTGGGGACACCCTGAGCAATTAGCTCCGTTTGCTCATCGTAGGTGACACACCCAAAAACTCGTTTTTGGGGAAGCTCGTCACTCATTGCGAAAGAAAGTACAGGAATTGTACTAGAACAGTAGAAGTAGAAGCAGCGAAACGCAAACTGACCACAACGGTGACAGAAACGGAATGAGTGCTTAGCAGCTATGTTTGCGAGTTTTACTTCTTGTTTTGGCACGCGCGTCTTCTCCAAGGTCGTCACCCCAGAAAATTCGGATTTGGACCACTTTTAGGACGAAGCTCTGCAGGTCACCACTGCGCAGACTCGAAACTCTCATTATTTTCATGATGAGAAAAGCACGGACGAGCCTGAAGTGAGCTCATGAGCTCATATTTGCAATGGTCGTTTTCTGCAGTTGCGAACTGAAACAGGAAGAAGTTGACTGTCAGTTTGTATGAAGCTCAGCACAAGTATAATACATCCCACTAGTACGCTTGTACGTGAAATATAAACCATCATACAAACCTCGGCTTCGCCTCGGTTTGTATGTCGGTTTGTATTTCACGTACAAGCGTACTGTTGGGTTGTATTATATACGTATTGCATGTCACGTGAGGGTTGTCTGTACCACAGCCAATGAGCGCTCTCGCTCAGCGGTCTGTATCTCGGTATTGCCCGCTCAGTTACATGTACGCGCATGCCCACTGTCATTATTGTTCTTTGTAGTTTGCAGGCGCGTATCAGGTTAGTTTGTGTGAGGTCTACCAAATATGGCCGAATCAACCTTACCTGCGGAAGCCGAGTTCCAAGCAATCCTCGATCTCCATCCGAATTTGTTCCAAGATGCCCTGAAGGATCTGCAGGTGCCAGCAACTGACGTAACAGTTTCGAGTACTGTGAAGATTTCGACTCCAAAAGAGGCCGTGGAAAAATTGTTCGACGGCAGGTTTTCCAAGATGACTCCCGAAGAAATAGACAATATGGTCGACAACTCCAAAAACTCGAACACCGTGGCTACAACGAAAAAGTGGATTGCTGTACTGGATGAGTACTGCCAAAAACGGCACACCCCCATCGATTTGGCGAGTGTATCAGCGGAAAAGTTGAGCTCAATTCTCAAACATGCTTACGTCGTGATTCGCCAAAAATTGAACCACAAGCCCTACACAAGGAAGCTATATCTACATCCGACCAAGACACCCTGCAAGAGTATTTCACGAAAAACCACACAACAGATCCCATTGCCCTCGCTGAGATGAACTGGTTCGTAATTACACAGCACTTCTGTCTACGTGGTCGGGAAATGCAATCGGGACTGTGCATTGAAGATTTTTTGATTTCCCGTGACAAACAGTGAGTTTGGCGAGTAGTGAAACTTATCACTTCACACAAAGCCAAGAATGATCAAGGCAGCATCAGCGCCAGGGAGTCGTCAAATACCGGGAGTGGAAACGAGATGCGCGAGCGTGATCCATGCTCGCCTCGCGCTGGAGCACGCCGATTTTTTCCAAATAATCTTTTTTGTGCCACATTCACCAATTCCGCGGGATTTTCAAAATGTCAAAATCTATTTTGGTTCTTCCTGCAAGCGGAGCAGTTTTGACGTCTCCATACATAAACCTTCTCGTCAGATTTCCGCTTCCCTTTTGTAGTATTATCACTCTTCGTCGTGGATTCGTCGGCAGTGCATGGTCATGCTGGACAGGGAGATATCGGTAGCCATTTTACGAGTGATGTTTGGAACTTTGGCGAGAGGTGAGTAAAACCAAGCTTTATCGAGTGAATACTTCTATCACTGAATAGCTTTGTTTTGGTTTGTTACACACGCATGCTGCATGTACAGAGCATTCGATTTATCAACCTCCAGTCAAGTACAGACCCAGGGAAACTTCTGTTGCAAGGGCCATCCACTACGCCGTGAAGTTGAACAGCCCCGAAGTTGTAACCTTTTATCTAAGATTGACATATGTTATCGTGATGTTGCACATGCTGATCGTCATCGCCGAACTGACCTGTTGAAGATGGTGAAGAGGAGTAAGGTTGACACTATTAATCTGGCCTGGACGTCTCTCCTCGAGACACTGTCCAAGTTGCCAAGTCATGAGAAAATGGATGTCCTGGGTGAGTATCATCTCTTTTACTTGCCTAATGATCGTGCATAAATGTGAAACTCGTAAAAAGAAATGCAATGGTAGGAAACTACTAGTATGTGATGGTCAGGAATCAGGATACACATGGCATTATCTACCTGGATGAATACTTGTGACAATTTTAATATAGAAATACTGCGCTGTTTTCCGTGTGCGTTTTGTCCAGACCTGGAGACTACATCAGCTGTGTTTTCAAGCGTAATTTGCGGTACAGTAGTGGCAAGAAAGCCGTCCATCATGCCAGCATCATCCGCAGCAGCAACAGCAGCAGCACCCCAGCCCACCACCATAGTCAACTGCACTGCAGAGACACCAAAAAGATACCATGGTGGTTGGTGTGTTGTTGCGGTGAGAAGAGAACTGGAAGCTAGCAGAAAGCCTGAGTTAACTAGCGTCAAGCCGGTGTTGGCGACTTTCGGCTATGTAATTCTGGCCAACATGTCTCCGAATCTACCAAACTTTGAAAAGATAATTGAATCTGAGACACATGAGCATCCACCATGTGTGTATTCGTGTGTGTGCATGCACAGTGTGGGCATGCACAGCGTGGGCATGTCAGTATGTGTGTGTGTGTATGTGTGCATGTGTGTGTGTGTGCTGCCAAAGATGGCTCTCTTGTCGTGCCGATTGAATATGGTCCCTGATCTCTTGGCAGACTGCCGACTTTCTGCCGTCGCTCGTCGTTTCCATGTTGTCGGCCCTGCAAGGGGACAGGTGACCGTAATGGCATTGTTTACCAGGACCAGGTTTGTGTGTATGTGTGTGTGTGTGTGTGTGCATGCATGCATGCATTCCAGTGTGTGTGTATGTGTGTGAATGTGCGTGCATGCGCAGTTCGTGCATGCCGTGTGTGTGCATGTGCAGTTTGTGCATGCCAATGAGTACGTGCGCACCCGTATATTGGTACGTGCGCACCCGTATATTGGTGCGTGCATGTACGCATGCGTAACTGCTGACACCCAAAGTTGGCAAAAAGAAGCGAGACAGGAAGAGAGAGGGATTTAGAACAGTTTAATTCGGTGTGCATTGTCAATTCTGTGATACTCGCCACAATCGGCCAAATCTGTAATTGGATTCTCAGTGTTGGTGGTGCATATACGTTGTCATGCTTCCTCTTGACATGAGACATACTGAAAGCGGTGATGTTCTCTTACACTGAAGAAGAAAACAAGAGAAATTCCTTGACTTTATAATAATGTTGTCGTGATTTAAAAATCAATAATGTTTTAGAAACGAAGGGTCCCTCAAAAAGTCAGTGGCATACCATCTTACACCGAGAAAATTCACAGGTAGCACCTATATGAAAAGGACAATGGTTACGAGAAGTTTTTTCGTGGGTCGAACCAAGTGGCTTTGATTACTGAGGCTGAGCTATTTTCCTCGATAAATTACATCAAAAGTCACGTCACTATCCGCGCGTGAGTCGGGCCTCCAGTCATACATCGCAACACTGCGATAACGCCTACCGATAAATCAGGTGTCCTCCTACTAGTAAACGAGCAGACCACTGCAAATATCTCTGTATACACGTTCTGATGGACGCTTTCTCCCAAAATATACTCAAGGCTACTCTAAATTGCATTTGACGACGCTGAGGTACTCAAGGCACTGCAAAAATTTTGCGCGAGGCGAGCATGGATAATCAAGATTAACGGCGTTTCCACTCCCGGTATTTGACGACTCCCTGATCAGCGCCCCTGACGAGGTGTCAGGTGTCTTGTACTCGTTTGTACTCGTGCAGTAAATCATACATACGATATATTGGCTTGACTGGCTTTTTCTTTTTCTGGTTTTGCTTTTGGTATTTTCATTTTGTATCAATAATATAGCCGGTTTATCACTATGTCCGATGACTTTATAACCGATATCCACTGTATGATATAAGTGCATTTCAATTCTTTTTTTTGGAATTCAGGACCACTGTAATCACACACTGTGCAAATCCAATGGAATCAATTACGAGAGACAATCTTTTCTTTGCATTTTCTGTAAACAGTGGGTAACTTTATGATACTGATGAAGTGCAATGCAACTAGCAAGAAATTTTCGGGCCAATTTTGCAAAATTTAAATTTCAAAGAATTTCGGCACCATATCGAATCGGAATTCGGAATACCAGTTCCGTCTCCTCACACAGAAGCCTGTACTTTCAACCAGTGTGTTTTTGCTGATAAAGCTACTCGCATGTTCTGATACTATGGGAAGCATGTTATTGTCATCAATGCAAACCCATCCCTTTCTTAGAGAACACTTTGTTCGGGCTACTTTGAGGGGCCATAACCCCTCCAAAGTGCCCAATTACCTATATTGATTTCTCATTCTGGACACCCCATTGCAAAAAAGGCGTCAAACCGGTGAATTTTCGGAAAAGGTATTTCGGCATGAGCTACCTTAACTGCAGCAACTCACAGGGTAAAAGCTGATTATTATGTACATGGTGTTAAAAATTTCGGATGCTCAACATCAATAAAGAAGTCAACAAAACCTCACTTATATATGGCGCACAGGCACACAAGCCCTGTCGATATGGAAATCACTATGAAAACAACATGGCCATCATGACCCAAAAGTGTGTGAAAATACATCATGATCAGTAATGATCAGTATGCTGTATCAGTATCAGTATGCTGCTGCGTCAGCAGCCACTGCTATAGGAATCTAGTATGTATGAACGATAGGAGTTAGGCCAGCCAGAGAGTATCTGCTTCATGACATGCATGCAATGTTTTCAGATGAACCTTTTTTAACCGGTAATAAATAGACTCGCAGAGCTTGCTAGGTTGCCTAGACACAGGACGGGGGGAGTAGGGGGAGAGCTTTAGTATGTATGTGTCTGCTGTGAGTGAGTGCCTGCATGCGTGAGTGTGTGTACGTGTGGACATATGGGGTATTATGGGGTATTATAGTGTGTTGGAGGGGAGGGGACGACGCACACACAGGCTATAATGATGTCTCGTCATGGACAGGATCGGGAGCAGTGAGGTCTTGGTGCTCCTCGAGAGAGCCCATTTCCGAGTGGCCTGTAAGGCCGGTGTACCATTTCTCGGTCAACGCTTGCATCTCGTGACGGCCAGCAAGCATTTCCTGATGCACATACACACAAAGATTAAACAAATTTCTTATTAAGCTATCTTTTTTCTCGTTTTTCTACAACATTGCTGAAATCTAAGGGTATACACAAGCCAAACCCAGACCAGCTCGTATGGCAATGTAATTGTGCCCACCATACCGGTGGACATTTCAAAGATCTCATTGAGGTAGGACGACACGATTTTAGTCACATGTAGGGCGCAGTACTGAGATTTCTTGCTGCACAAAAACCTGAGATAAGAGATGAGATGATCAAACTTATCATGCTAGACTTACCGCTGGTGTAAATTTCCGTCTGAAGAAGGGAATGAGGTACCTGGGAGAGGAGAGAGCATCATCAGAGCTAAGGAAAACAAGCTGCAGTATTGTGCTGGAGCACCCTGAAGAATACAATGTACAGTCCTGCTCAATGAAATCCAGGTATGCAGCAGAACAAAACAGGAGTCGACATACACAGCATAGCTGTAACTAGTTAACTCCCACCAGCTGACCTGATCAATACTACTCTCTTGCAATGGCATTGGAATTTTGCAGCGCCGGCACATCACACCTACTTCTGCAACATGCTGAAAGAAATGAAAAGCTACACCAGGGAAGCATGCCACAGTTGCACAACATTGCACGGCGGCAGCATCAGCAGCACAGGGAGGATACTTGATGTCGAACTGTGAGAAGCCACGCATGCTGATTGAAGGGATGTTCTCCTCAAAGTGTTCAGCGTCCACTGCTTCTCGCTACAGGACCAATAAAAACAAAGACAACCGCAGCAACAGCAAGAGCGGCATTAGCAGCAGCAACAGCAGTATTAGCAGCAGCAGTGGACAATATACGACGATACAAAGCAAACACACAGCACCGTGACAACAAGCAGCACAGGACTGGACTAGATGTCAGACCAACTTTCCCAGACCCGTAGAAATGCCACCACCCTCAAGGATCAATGCACAGATGCAGCTCGAAAAGCGGTGGAAGATGAGACCCACCATAAAGTGGTGAAAGACAGAAAATCCCATCTGCTACATCCACACACTCAATGATAAAATTACCACAGTTTACCATCACCATCACCATCACCACACACACACCACACACTACTACTACTACTATGTACAACTGCCACAAAATGGCCACGTCGCTCCCAGAAGCGGGAGACAACAGCGAGAAAAAAGAAACAAGGAGAATAATTGAGGTGAAAGGGGACCGTTCTACACATAGCTAGTGTTACACCACACACACACACACACACACACACACACACACACACACACACACACACACACACACACACACGAGCGCGCAGCCACACACACTTGAGCAGAAACGCTCTTTTACATTTTACATGATCGGCCACTATCCCCCTAGACACATTCACGAAGACACGCAAGGCATGCAGCTCTGCTGTACATCACCAAATTTTAAACCTGGTAAAACAGCATTACACTGCTAAAGATCCCTACCTGGTCTTCCGTTTTACTCATGGTGAATTTGTCATCTAATGAATCCGTGTTGGCATTCAAGAACTACACATGGACAAGAAGGCAGCACAGTAGACACACTTGTCAAGCCAGGGCTAATGACACACTTGTCAAGCCAGGGCTAATGACACACTTGTCAAGCCAGGGCTAATGACACACATTTCAGCAACACAAAAAAATAGCAAAACTTACTGGCTGTGTCAGACCGACACAACAATAAATAAAATGCTGGAGTCAAAATTGCCTCACACCGATGCAATGATTCTGCATGAAGCCAGTTCACATTACATCACCGTTTTGGACTTTTTGTATGTGTGCACTGGGTCCACACACGCACAGGACCAAGTGTACACAGAACTCGAGCCCACACAGAAAAAGCTTGAACAAAACATGCCACATACCCAGCAGCATTCGCACACAGAACATCAATGGCCTGCAAGTCAGGGGTGCCAAGTCTGCACTCTGCTGTCAGATTTCTCCCAACACAGCAGCTGTACTTCTACATGAGTTTGATCTAGTCAATTTGCAGAACTGGGCAACGACTGATGCATGGGCAATGGTGGTAGCCCCAGTAGCAGTAGCAGCAACAGCATTGGCGCCGGTGGTCGGCACAAGAAAGAGAGATGCAGTGGTGTAGTAGGGCTTAATTCCCAACTCGTCCAGGCAGAGAGTACTGTTGCCAGCCTGCAGGGGTTTTTACGGATTTGACTTGCCTTAGCGATTACGTGTGCACAACCCGGTCCTCTTGGACGGTAAGATGAATAACTGCTGCCACTGCTACTGAACTGGCTGTTGGTGTTGTCAAAGCCACCACCACCAGCACCAGCACCACCAGCATTGCCATTGCCATTTCTTAGCTGAGGTGCAGTGTACGTATTGCCTATGCCGTGCAAGTACTGTGCATACAATGCAACGCACAACAACAAAACACCACCACTAGTATGTGCACTAGCACCACCACTCGCACCACCGCTGCCGCCACCACTGCCAACGCCGCCGCCACCCACCAGCACCACCACCCACACCACCAGTGCCACCGTCGACACCGCACCAGCACCACCGCCACCACCAGTCCAGCTGATGTCACTGAACACTGTAACACTATCACGATGGTAAGGTCTGAAGGGCAACACCTCGGGCCATATAGAGCCAGGCCCAGTCAGTAACATAATTCGCTTGTCACAACTGTAGAGCGTAACAGTGCTAGTTATCTGCAAGCGGGTTAACTGCACGTTTCATACCAGTAAGAACAGTTTCCAGCACTGATATAGTGTTTTACGTCGACCATGACTGTTTGGTTGCATTGTGTTCTTGGTGGTTCATTAGTACTGCAAGGTGCCTGGCAGTTCTGTCTTGTATTACACAATGCATTGTTTCATCTTTAGGCCGCTGGCACGTGCGCAGCACATGCAGCTAGGTACATGTGCTTTCGACATATAATCATGCAGCGCTAACATCTCAACGTGCAATGCGCATGCTCCTGCTTTCTGATACGTGCTGTATCTTTTGTTGCCTTTGCTGAGTTTTTGTTTGGTTTTAGCAGCGACAAGTAGGTTGCTTTTTCCCACCATGGGATTGTTTTCAAGCCAGAAGAAATATACAGTCCTCGATCAAAGTGTCTTGAGTTGTGACTCATGAGAACGCGGTTCTAATGAGAACTGTGTAACAATGACGGCCACACTGGCCAACCAGACCATAACGAAGTTGGGGCCAAAAAGTGAGAGTTTATTTTCTTCCCAGCCCAAAGTTATATAAAGTGGCCATTTTTATCGAAAATGTACAACAACAAAAAATAATATAGAACGCATGTACGCAAGTCACCACACTGACACCAACACTAACAGTATCAACAGACCTAGCCGGGCACACTGGCACTTACCTTTACTAACGGTAATGTACTACTTCCTAGGAATAAAATAGTGAAGAGTACAATGACCAGCGTGGTAGAAACGAGCACACTGCGCTTCTCCTCTGAGAAATCGAGAGTCAATGCCAGGGCAAAGGCAATGGCGCCGCGAAGACCTACACAGGGCAAAGAGTGCAGCCACCACACCATTGTAGAGATGAGAGATGTAGGGTGATTATCATACACACAGCGCAGGCAGCAGCGTTTGAATTGATCATGCAGACAGAATGGCAATGCAGAAGAGCAAGCCTGCAAACCCACATAGAGTGAGTTCACATCTTTGTTGTCATGTGACTAAATTTGTGCAGAAAGTGATCATGGCATGTGGACAGTGGAACCAACATGGCCGACATTATGTGACCCATAGATGCAGGGGTTGAGTGGAGTTGGAACCAACATGGCTGTGCCGTATGGATGTGCAACAGCTCTACACTACAGCATAATTCCATGGAGACAGAAGAAAGCGGGAACATTCATCTGAGCATATCACTTACCACTAAACCACATAATACACTGCATCTTGCGATCAATAGTAACCTGTCGGAAGAGGTTAGCTAAAGCTGATAGAGGGAAGATGTTCAGTGCTCGACCAACAAAGCACAGAAACTGCAAAGCACAGAAAACACAGACAAACAGACATAACTCAAATACTGTCGTCAGCACAAGGGACGGAGGGAAGTGACTACATCTTCCTGATTCAACGACTGAACGGCACAGCATTGGATATCAATTCAGTATTCGGGGAATTAGAGACATGGTGTGCGAGTGAGTGAGAGCGAGAGATAGAGAGAGTGAGAGCGAGAGATAGAGAGAGTGAGACTGAGAGAGAGAGAGAGAGAGAGAGAGAGAGAGAGAGAGAGAGAGAGAGAGAGAGAGAGAGAGAGAGGTCATAATGTAGGATCCAGGCAGAATACTACTAAAATCAGCACCGCACATGCAGTATTGTTATCGATAGGGTAAGAGTGGCGTAGACGACATTTGTCCATGCCGGGATTAATCAGGGTAAATCACACAGATGCAATCAACTCACAATTATCCAAATTATCAAGGGCGCATGGAAGGTATGTTTGAAGCTGAAAATAGCCATGCCCAGGTACGCAAAGACACAAGTTTCTGCAATGCAAGAAACAGAGCAAAGAACAATTGTGAGAAAGGACCTGTTTGCCTGTGTTTCTGAATCTTAATCAGAATGCATGAGCACGCATAGAAGACAGTCAGTTGAAGAGCACATGGTGGTGCTGCACCCTGAGACCTACTCCAATACTATTGCTGCCAGAACCACTCTACATAGTTTCAGTGCTGATGCTGTTCATGCTTTACTACTTAACTACACGGATATGAATTTCTAAGGCTTGTTGTGTTATCACGCACAGAGTTATTGATTGGGTCTACGAATAAGCAATCCTCTAGCTGTTTTGTTGCCAAGTTGGTTTGGCAAGAAAGATGGAGTGAGCAGTCAGAGCAGAGGGTCGGTGCCTGGGTCAGAGCAGAGGGCGGGAGAAGCAGTCCACTATAAACAGGCATACTGTGCCCTCAACAAATCACTCTACAATATACAACATGTGTGCAATGCTGCACATGATACCCATAGCAAGAGAGAGAGAGAGAGAGAGAGAGAGAGAGAGAGAGAGAGAGAGAGAGAGAGAGAGAGAGAGAGAGAGAGAGAGAGAGAGAGAGAGAGAGAGAGAGAGAGAGATAGAGAGAGAGAGGGAGAGAAAGAGAGGGAGAGAAAGAGAGGGAGAGAAAGAGAGAGAGAGAGAGAGAGAGAGAGAGAGAGATAGAGAGAGAGAGAGAGAGAGAGAGAGAGAGAGAGAGAGAGAGAGAGAGAGAGATAGAGAGAGAGAGAGAGAGAGAGAGAGAGAGAGAGAGAGAGAGAGCGCTCACCAGCCATGAAAGCTATACTGCGGAATGCCTGCTGTACATTGACCTGGCAGACCGGTGACAGGTTGAAGTGAGTGTAGTGCGACATCACAATGCCACAGAACAACACCGACATGATGCCTGCACAAACACACACACACACACACACACACACACACACACACAAGAGTACATGCGCGCATACACACATCAGGCCTTAGACATGCGCATGGTTGAAGGTGATGATACCAATAAATATGCTGGCATTGCAAGGCAGAGCAACGTATGTCTTCGCAACTATTGGACTTCATTGCAGCGGGTTCTTTAACATTCGAAACAACTCCACCTCAAAGCACTCTACCACAGACTCTTGCTTCGATTACAAACAATAGTTCGTCCATAGCGCATCATCAGGAAAGCTGGTAGTGGAGGCAAACAGCAGAATATAAACACAGCCACAGGCTATTCTAGAATTGACGCCTCACTCGCACAAACGGGCGACAAAACTATCACAAACATTTCCTGTCATCCTAAAGCAGCTCATCTATTACACTGCAAAACTCACACCTAGCATTCGCTTGTAAGGTGTCCAAGTCTATCACAGCACATTTACGAACCACAACAACCCTTGCTAGAATTACACCTATCAATAGTTTGCATGCCTAAGGGAATAGACTACTAATTTAGCACCCAAACCTACACCCAGACCCACACCAGCCAATCTACTATCTACTAACTAGCATACACAGGCCTGTAGAATAGCACGCAGATTGCACATGCACTGACTCACCAGAGAGCTTGCACGCCTCTGCCAGTCCATACGGCATGTAGGTGAAGATGAGCAGCATGCTGAACTCCAGCGCCGGCGTGCTGCGCAGGTTGACATGTTTCAAGCACTGATGGCGACCATCAACACAACGTAACATCATTGACACCATAGTCAAGGAATCACACACAACTCACACGGTGCAACTCATCTCTCAAACAACCAATATTTCATGGGAATATTCGTGTCACCACACTACAGAACATTCAATTTTTTTCTTTTTTTCAATGACATGCTGTTACACATAATTATAATACAGTTGTCACCACAGATAGCTGGCCTTAAATCTAGCACGATTGCCCAATGTTGTAGTACATACAACACAACAAGCATCTACTGTTCATGAGTAAATGTACTGGCAGACACAAGATCCCAGTGACGTCTTCAGTACTGTGTAGATTTCAGTGACTAAAAAATACAAAGTAGAATGGTCATATGTAGGGCTGAAACGATATGCAAAAACTGCTTAACGATAACACTTATAGCTTAGCAATCGATATAACGATATAGCGATATTCGCGCTCGCTGGGTCAGTGTACGCACTAACTCAACAGTAACTGTCTACCACCAGTGTATAATGTGGTAGTGGACAAGTGCCATGCCAGTGCACAGCGCGGTTTGGACCCCGTACACACAGTAACACAGTGCACGCAGCACTCACAGCGCTGTTACTCGCGTTCTGGCACCTCACACACGTGCATCTACATAGTTCAGTAGTATTGTTATATCGTTAGTGACAGATAACGATAATCGATAATTTCCTTAGCGATTAGCAAACGGTTAATCGATCATATCGTTTCAGCCCTAGTCATATGGTATACACCATACATACATACATACATACATACATACACGCACGCATGCACATATGAATGCACACACACACACACACACACACACACACACACACACACACACACACGCACGCACACGCACGCACGCACACGCACACACACACACACACACGCACGCACGCACGCACGCACGCACGCACGCACGCACGCACGCACACACACACACACACACACACACACACACACACACACACGCACACACACACACACACACTTGTAAGAAAATGTAGCAGTAGCATGAGGATACGAATGCACTCGCAAGAGCAAAGATCACTCCAATGGCTGCTGATGCGGTGAACATGGCTATGAAACTCCAGATGGCGCTAAACACGGACGCTGCTCCACCTGATTCCTGAGTGGTGAGACTAAGAATAGTCCTGACGTGCACAAAACACAGAAACGCGCACACATACAAATGCCATAACAGTATGTTCTAGAAAGCTGCACACAGGATGTGAATATTTCACTGTGGCCATTCAGTGAATGCATACTTCCTGGCAATGACATGGATTCCACACAGACAGAGAGCCCATGTGGGGATTGCTGTCAATTACATTTCAGATCAAAAAATGAGCATTTTAATAATTTCTTTTCCACAATCAGGTAGCAAAGAGAGAGAGAGAGAGAGAGAGAGAGAGAGAGAGAGAGAGAGAGAGAGAGAGAGAGAGAGAGAGAGAGAGAGAGAGAGAGAGAGAGAGAGAGAGAGAGAGAGAGAGAGAGAGAGAGAGAGAGAGAGAGAGAGAGAGAGAGAGACAAAAGGGCACACAGGGTACATGTATACAGTTGAAGGAGATCAAGATCTGTACCTAGTCATGACAATAGACACCGCGTCATTCAGCACACTCTCTCCAAACACCAACATATTGAGTGTTGGATTGACGTCCAGCGCATGGAAAATGGCAAGTGTGGCCACAGGATCCACAGCAGATATCAGAGAACCAAAAGCAAAGCTACAGAGAAACACGAAAATACACACAAGACAGTCAATTAGCACTATAGCCTATCCTGCTGTGACTGCAGGTGAGTGCCCCGTGCTGTACGATTTATCTTCTCAGGTACACATTTCTCTGTGATCTAACACAGAACATACGTGTATAATTCTTTGTTGCCACCTTCAATAGGTCCGTCAAATAGTACTAATAGGTTTTTCATTTGACCCAACGAGACCACACGACGCTTGCAGACCACAGCACGAACAGTCCACCAGCCACACTCCGCGAAAGCAAGTAGTACTACTCCTGACAAGTCTTGTTTCGTTCCATCAAGATGATGACGGGGAACTCGTCAGAGGAGAAGCAGTTGTTGAATGAAGGGGTTAAGCTGAATAATGCTATTTTATAGAGAAGATACTGGCGCAAGGTGTAAACACTCAACTAACTCACATATGTGCTGTGGTCTGGAAGCGTCGTGTGGTCTCGTCGGGTCAAATGAAAAACCTATTACATACATGTATGTTGAATGCAGAATCAACAAAAACTGTCGAACCCAACTTCTAGGCCCCTTTCACATGATAAAACAAATACACATTCCACGGCATACCATTCAATTGCAGTGAACTGGTACACAAGGCCAACCTGTGGTCAAAATATGCATACACACACACACACACACACACACACACACACACACACACACACACACACACACACACACACACACACACACACACACACACACACACACACACCACATATACACACCTTAGACCTTAGACATGCCCATCGCGGGAGCGATGATAGCGAACAGCTATGTTAGACATAGCAACTTGTGCTGGGATTACACCATTCAACAGCTTGCAAGGCTGATGAATTGACCGCCACTATTTTTAGCCTGGTATCCACCACACAGCTGTTAAAGTGACTTTTTCTGGCCAGTGAATCCCTATTTTTCATTTTTCCATTTTTTTCTTTTTTTTCTTTTTCTACACACACACCACACCACATACTCCGGCATACACTAGGGACCTTTCGCACCCCGCGGACGGATACGAAACGAATGCTGATTCGTCACCTGGGTTCGAGGATTCGTCAGAGTCCCTGCGGAGAACTCGTTTTCACGAATGGAGGCCTCTTCATTCGTGGCACGCTCCGAATCTGTCAGGTACACATTTATTTGGATAGGTACACATGTTTTGCAAGGTACACATTTTTCCCTTGATTCCATGATCCATGCACGTGTGCGTGTAAAAACCCGTACGCCAAGCTACCGGCGCCCGCGGCCGTATTCGTAGTTGCCATGCACATTTGCATGACGACTTGCGAAACCTGAAATCTGTTTTCAACGAAACGATTACGAGCCGAATCAAACTTTCGTTTCGCATTCGTTTCGTAGCAAATGCGAAAGGTCCCTACTGGCTGTTGGTAACCACCCAGGAGAATGAAAGAAAAGTCAGGAAGAGTCTGAGAAAGAGAAGAAAGACGTGTGTGACCATAATCGTCGGGAATCGAACCCGCAACCTATCGATTGGAAATCGCTGCACATACCACTGCACCATATGGGACACACACACACACACACACACACACACACACACACACACACACACACACACACACACACACACACACATGCATGAACGCGCCCACACGCAAACGAAAAACACACACACGCACACACATGTACGTGCAAACGCACATCCACATCCACACATCCAGTTTAAAGAACACATCCAGTTTGTGAACAGGGTATATCAAGAGTACATAAACCAGAGTGTGCAACTGCGGGAGAATGAGCCCACAGCGAAGTGTTTTTTCAGGTCTTAGTGACCCACCTTTGCTGCATCTCACACTGGACCACAAGGTAATTTTACTTTATCACCAAGGTAATTTCTATAGCGCGTATTGCTGCTTTTAGTACAAACGGTGAAATCGAAAGCGAACTTCCCGTTAGCTACTCTGTGATACGGTGATTTAGCACTGAATGCACGGTATGACAAGTTATCTATGATCAAGAGGACATAACCAAGAGTGCACAGCTCCTATCTCGAGCTGTGATGGGTTTATCCACACCAGACTTTTCTTATCGCGTCATTCTTTTGCAAAAGTACGATCAAGTGGGTGTATGCTTTCCCGCGCTTTATTTGTAGATACGGTGAGAGTTCAGCAGGTTCAGAACACATCGATCTACCAACAGTTGTTCTGCATTGACTACCGTAGCTGTGATGTACAAATTCTGTACTCTCTGGGCTACGCATGATGGCCATCAGTGAAACATGCACACACAGGCAACAGGCCATAGGTCGACTCACCTGGCCCAAGCCATACATGCCACCTCCCACTACCACCGCAGATATTGCAGTGCCGATGACAGCAAACACCAAGATGGAACCCAGATTTTGGAAGAAGTTACCCTGCAGAAGGTCAAGAGGCCACAAACGTACAATACAGTCAACTCCAGCTGCGCCACCGCACACGAAATCATCCGAGCCTGGATTTGTCCATAAATGGCACTCACAGACTGGTCACAAAAAAGCATACAAGTAGTACACTTCATGGGCAAAGCAAACAAAGCATGACCATTCAGCAGTCAGAACATGAACATACCTTGTGAAGAGAATATCCTGACTCAAATATGATGGGTGGCAAAAGAACAATGAAGAAAGTCTGCGGCTGAAACTGCTCCAAATCCTAATGAGAAAGAGAAAGAGAGAGAGAGAGAGAGAGAGAGAGAGAGAGAGAGAGAGAGAGAGAGAGAGAGAGAGAGAGAGAGAGAGAGAGAACGAGAAGATGAGGAGGAGGAGGAGGAGGAGGAGTAGGAGTAGGAGGAGGAGGGGACGAGAGGGAGAGAGATTGAAGTCATGTCAAAAACACAAAGCATTGGTGTTATCTTTGTGCGCCAGCCGCAAACCAGCTCGCTAAGCCAGATACTAGTATCACCATCCACACTTCAACGAGGTGCCAGGAGCAAAGTGATGGTGGTGGTGAGACAAGGGGTGCTCTTCGGCCGAACTTGGCAAATTTGAGAGCATGCGTGACAGGCAGATTTGAGAGCATGTGTGGACGAGCAGATTCGATTGGGTGTGCGGACGGGCAGATTCGATAGTGTGTGTGGACGGGCATATATTTGCGGCCATTTCGCCAGGTGTGTGTTTATTACCATTCGTCTGCCAAGCTGCTCCCTCTACCTATTTTGAACCACCATTGCGTGCCAAACTGCGGGAAAGGAAAGGTCTGTGGGAACTGCTGCACTGCAATATTTTTTTAAACTCAATTTCCTTTCCAGCTACAAGAAGAAGAACAGGTACTAACACTAAACGTGCTGATAGTCGACATGTTGCATGCAAGGCAATGGAGATTAACGCTAAAAGTGCTGGTAGCTGACATGTTGCATGGAAGGCAACGGAGATTAACCCTGCACATGAGCATGAGCAAACAATTGTACTGCGCCAACTGCAGTGTGTACATACGCAGGCATACATACCTCAAAGTTCTTGCCGGTCTTGTTCATCACCAAGCCGATCATGGCACCTGAAGACGACAGCAGCGCACACAGACAAGCATGGAGACAATTGGCGTCGTCCTAGCCAGGGAGGAAGCACCTGCCCTGTAGTATGTTCAGAGCCCGCTACAGGGTCAGGTCAGTATAGTAAGGGACACGGTTGAGAGGGTGTGTGGACCTGCTTGAAAGAAATCAGCCAGGTCCTCACTGACCTGGCTGATATTGGGTTCCTCAGATTTTAAATTCATGTTTATTCACCTACACTAATCCAAACTTGAAAGCAGGGTGGTGGATGGTCCAGCTCAGAGTGATGCCAAGTGCAGCTGTACCTGGTTGGCTGGCCTTAGACCACACACACACTGCTGCTCTAGGTCATTACACCACCATGACACCAATAAGGCAAAAGAAAAATGCACACTTGTGGGGTGGGCATGGATCTAACAAGAATTGCTAGTTCAGACAAACAAGAGCAAGTAAACAAAAGATTAGAAATACTTTTTAACAGTAAAATGCTACGGTCCATAGTACCCAAAGATTACAATCATGCAAACACACGGCCAGCAGTGGTGGTGCTGCTACAACATTAGCAACAGCAGCGGCAGCAGGAGCAGCGGCAGTGCTGGCAGTGCAGCAGCAGCAACAGCAGCAAGACACTCACCGATGACAACTACAGCGACACTCTCCGGCAGATAGTGAAATTTGAACTTGATCAGTATGTGTGTCATGAAGATTGAAAACACTGCATGATGGAAACGACAACACAATAGACAGTAAGAGGCAAATTCTATAAGTATATGTACATGTACAAGAGGTTTCCTTTCCAATGGTATGCAGTCCGAAGTGTTCGTCCATTAGAGGAAGAAAGCAGTGACAAAGCCATCCTGCTGCTATGCGATGTGCGCTGCACATGTTTCGCAGCTCATGCAGATGGACAATGGTGGTCGGAGAGAGTACCGGTACTGTAAATATTAATATACAAAAAATTCGGCTGCTATTTAATTTCGGTTATATTCGGCACAGACCCCAAAACGCCGAAATTAAAACGCTGATGAAATTTTTCACATCGGCTTTAGTGATGTACCGTAAAGTACCGCCAGAGCGCCCCGTCTCGCGAGAGCGCCTCACCTTGATTTTACAGCCAGAGAAAGGAAAATCGTATGGCAGAGTGCAACGAAGTGTGTACGATGTGAGAATCTTAGTGTACTAAGGTCACACTTGGCAGGTTTTTGTGTGGAGCTCGTGTCCGCTTGAAGGTACGGATTGACCGCAAAACGTGCAATATGTGTACAAGGTTCATGTCGTATGACCTACAGACAGCAGACCACCTCCACAAAACGACCACGAAAGGATGAGATGGTGGGGCGCTCTGGCGGTACTTTACGGTACTAGTATTAACCCCGCGCTGAAAATAAATCGCTGCTGAAAAGTCGAAAATCGTGAAATGGGGAAAGTTTGTACATTTACAGTAATATCATGGTTCTGTGTTCAAAATTCTTTCCTGGCATCCAAACCCTTCGCGAGAGTACATACTGTGTGTAGATGCATGTTCCAGTGACCTAGAGGTTATGCAATGACGTCATCAGTCGAGAAGCTTTAGTAAAGCCACAGGCACAGAACAGCGATGCACTAGCGCAAGCGAATCTGTCCGTCAACTCCCATTGTATAGCTCACATAAGCGAAACCATCGACACACGCTGTATACTTAGCACCCATGAGCGAGTCCGCTTGCTCACCACTACAACATCATCTGCATGACCTATAGATCCAGGTTATCTCTGAGCTCCGCTGATCAGACCATAATTATTATATGGGCAATATGCTACCTCTTCTCGTTCAATATACCAGTACACTGTCCTAGATCTGAGAATCAGGACAATCTCTGTAACACTTGATGAATTGAGCATCTCCTTTTACAAAGGAACTAGCAGACACGAGATAACCAGCCCTAACTAGTCCGTGCTGAACACTTGAACACAAATCCAGCTCCGCAGATATCTACGGACTTACTAAGAATGATTAGCAGAAAGAAAATGTGCAAACTAGCTTGCTGTTCCTCATCGTGCTTCTCCGGCTCAGTGGGGCAGGCAACTGGCTTCTCTGCAGCAGGGGTGGTGGATACCGTCGGCCGCACGGTCGTATTAATTGCGCTAGGAATAGCAGAAAGTTACATCCACAGACCGTTGAGCTTCGGACCATAGTCCAGCGACATTAATCGATTTCCACACTCACCTAGTGACATCCACATTGTCATTGTTGTTTTGTCCAATCGAAGAACAGAAAAAACTTGCTAGGACCACCAGAGATACAATTTTCCAGCACACCGCCATCTGAACTATGATAAAATACAAGAAAGGAGCATTTTACTACTAGCACTATTCCTCTTTCATCCGGGTAAACTACTAGTACTGTTCCTGAAGACGAAACTACTTGTAAACTGGAGATATTCTTTTGTGTGTGGACAAAGCCAAGGTAAACAACAACTCAAAAAACAAATCCGTGAATGATTCACTGCTTGCATGCTCGTGGCCAGGGATACGTCATGCTCATTTTTCACGTGGCTTGCATTACCTCAGTTCAGTCGTCGACGTCAGACTCGTCACTCGTAGACTGAGTCGTAGTCGTACAGCTCATGTACACGCCTACGCACAGGCGCGCGGCAGGCAGTCGCCCGATATCTGGATATGGCCGATATCAAAATGCGCTTGGCGGCTGGCCTCGCGCGCGCTGGCCATGTCTTTGTGTGGCGCGAGTTTTGACGTTCCTTTTCCGTGATCCGCCGAGCCGCGATCCCGATCACTCCCAACACTACACGCACAGTCAGTACACCAGCTACCAGGGAGTCGTATTTTTTCGACTCCCTGCCAGCTTTGTAGTCTACTACCAGCAGTACCAGCTCAGATCCATCACTCATCAGCATGGAAGACTTGCCTGACGTAGCATTTCGAATTTTTCTTGTGTAGCTTGGTTGCTTTTCTGCTCTGCGTCTGAGTTGTACGACTGATGTGGCGTCCTTGAAACCTACGAATATTGCTTTGAGAAGTGCGAAAGCCATGGATGTTGGCAATCGATGAGAATACGGTCTAATAAAATTGTGGCTGTCTGAGATAATTCTCTCTACCTACTCGAGTCGAGTGTGCTCTATTTCTTGGAGTAAAGTGACTGACAGGTCGTTGTCGTGATCAGCTGTTTGTTGTCTGACCCTGAGTACTTTTGTGCGTGAACTCACGGTGAAGTGAATACTCACTCCAGCCATGCAGTACGGCCAAGTGGCCTCCACTGCAGTTGCTGGGGCAAGGGAGCAGCCAGTTGCCGTGTCATCCCGAGTTTCGCCTGCAAAGAAGGAGACTGTAAAGAATTTGTGGCTTCCTGTGCCTGGAAAGACTTTGAACGGTTAGTGAAAACGAATCAAATTTACATTGGTCATGTCCTAGTACTTCTTGCCTAAAAAAATACCCCGGACTCAATGCAGTACGATTTCCATGGCAGTTTGATCAATGAGATCTTCCCCGTAGATCTACAGTCCATTCATAAAAAGATGGGTCCTGGCTCTGGCGAGCTCCCGTATTTGGCGATTTTTCGTGATTTCATCGTACACAGTGCAGTGCTGCGAACTTTGAAATTTGAAAAAGGGTCCAAAAAGGGTGCCTGAACTGGGGTTCGAACCGCAGAATGCACTGTTGCAGGCGGGGTCAAACGGCCTGGATTTTGATGGTTTTTCCCAATTCAGTGCTTTTGGGGCAAAACCTGGCCGAAATCCTATTCTTGCCATGGCTTGCTTTTTGGACAAAAAAACTTCAGAAACATAATTGGAAGAGGATTCCATATGGGATTGCAGAAAAAAATTCTAAAAAAACTCAACGTTTCACCCATTTATGGCCAAAAGCTAGAAGTTCATTTTTTTCTGAATGGACTGTACATAAGTTCATAACGCGATAATTATGGATGTTGCAAATTTGGCACTTTCCAGTGCATGTCTGCCAAATAGGTCATTCTCGTTTTCAATACATTGAGGTTCGATCAATCAATCAATGAACTAAAAAAATATTTCTGCGGCTATCGTTGATAAGTGCATAACCAAGACTGTGCAACTCAACGATCCCCCAGCCCACAGCGGATTTTCTTATGATATCAGTCTTTCGCAGCCATTTGACTCGCTGCTGCATCCATCAAAACAGGGTATGCAACGGTGACTGACCTCTTTTCTATGGGCTAGATACGCAGCACGGTGCCTTCACAACATCATTTAGCTGCAGTCTGCGCACTGTGAAAAGTCAAACACCACACTTTCCCCCTGATTCGAAATGAGCTTTCGTATGGAACTAAAGTTCACGCGTCCAAAATTTAGAGATCGTCTGCGCACTAGAACGAATCAAGCAAAAGCAGATGTGCTTGTGCGTGCGAAATATGGGTTTGAGTGCATGCGTCCAGAGCATGATGGAGTCAAGTTAGATAATGAAGGCAGCGCATTGCACACAGGCCCATAGCCACAGTTGCATACCCTTGTTTATGGACTCTTTGACGCCATTGTGCATAGCCAGATATCAAAGTACGAAGAGCTTTTACATTGCAACTACGGTTGGTAGTCGAAGCAGAAGAGCGGTAGATCCATGCGCCCTGAACCTGATGAACTGACACCATGTATAGACGAGAAGTGTGGAAAAGCATACGCACTTGATCGTACTTCTGCCGAAAAACCCTTTTACCACTACTACAGTAAAACTTGGTTTAAGCGCGACCACATCACGGTGCAAGCAAAAGCGGTCGTTAAAGCCAGGTGGTCTTTAGAACCGGGTCACACAGTGTCTGTGTAGAACTGTCTGTGCATGGAAAAACGATTTAAGAGCAGGTGGTCGCTAAACCCAGATGTCGCCTGAACCAGGTTTTACTGTACAGAGCTCTACACAAGCACATACAGTAAGCACCAAACCTGTGCGACTACCGGGTATGCTTATTATAAGACGGGGTCTGCGGTTGCAGTAACGATTTTTTCGCCACTGCATGCAGCAAGTGTTTGCTAGTATGCGGCAATGTCATATTGCACTGCTGCAAGTGCTTGCACGTGTGCAACACTTCCCCGTCTTTCGACCCTTTTTGCCAGCATGTGAGTTGAGGCTCAAACCCTACGGGCAGCCGGTACAGCACCTCTTAGCACATGTATGCTGTGCAAGTACAAAGTGACTCCCCATAGATTCATATTGTTTTGCAACTTTTGCACCATGGAGAGAGTCCAGAGAGCCCACCCCATGATTACACCATGGAAGGATTGACGGAGGCAGCAGTGGATGTGCACACTCTTGTTTATGTAACTTATTCCTAAGACTATTGCCATGTGATCGTACCGGCATGCCTGACTCTCCAATGTAACTTCTTGCCGCTTCACTGCAGATTTACCCGATCTCGCCTTGCTCGTCCGCGAGCACGGAAATAACGCGTGCAGACCCGAGGGCGAAGACGCGACGACTGGCGTGCGTGTGCAAGTGAATGACACAGAGGTCGCGCTGTTTAGATTCGGAGGCAGGGTTTTCGGAACCGACGCTGTTTGTCCTCATGCAGGTAAAGAAAGCAGACAGTTGTACTGTAGTTTGTTTTAATAAATAATAAAAAAATTCACGGTTCGCGTGAGACTCGGCTGGAAGCCCAGTTTTCCGCATCCGTCGTGGGAACGCCACCACCCTCTAGGATCAAAGGCGCAGATGCAGCGCCTAAACGGTGGGAGGTGAATAGATCAGACCCACCACCAAGTGGTCAAAGACCGAAATCCCATTAGCTGCATCCATGTAGTTTGTTTTACCTCTTTTATAATGAGGCAACCTCGTATTATGGCAACACTGGCCAAAACTCGAATGCACTGCTACTTCACACAGTCGGACGGTTCTTTCTCAACTTTTCGGTCACTCTGGCCATCTTCTTTATGAGGTATTTGTGGTGCTTGTATGCCAATATTGGCAATAAAGCGGTGGGAGGTGAGTAGATCAGCCGTGTCTCACGCGAACCGTGAATTTTTTTTATTTTTTATTTTTTTATGCCAATAGGTATGTGTGCAGGGTGAGTACACTGTACTGTATAACATTATACAGTGCTAGCAAGAGTCCATAACCCCCAGAGTGTGCAACGCGCGATAGGGTCTTGTCACGACTCGTTTTCAACATTACGTCATTTTCATGTAGCGAACGTCGCGGCCTGCACGCGCAGCTACATGAAAATGACGTAATGTTGAAAACGAGTCCTGGCAGACATTTATGTGGCGTTGCACACTCTTGGTTATGGACTCTTGGTACTAGTAGTACTTTCAGTATTTTTAACTGCCCTGGATCATACTATGGAATACAGTATATAAACTACCCTGGATCATACTATGGAATACAGTATATAAACTACCCTGGATCATACTATGGAATACAGTATATAAACTACCCTGGATCATACTATGGAATACAGTATATAAACTACCCTGGATCATACTATGGAATACAGTATATAAAGTACTACCGTAAAAGTCCGTAAATAAGTACATGAAGTACGTACTTACTTTCGGATTTAGTGGTCACACCCGTACTGACGTTATGGCAGGTACTGACTTTCGGGCACGAACTAACTTTCGGACGTGACTTGTGTATAGTGGAGAAGTCATATTCATGTAGATGTACATTCTACGCGCTGCATGTGCGAACCGTACCGGTACTTATTTCAGGCAGTATGTTTATTGGGCTTGGCTTGACTTAAACAGACAGAGTCGAAAGAATGAAGGGAGTATTTATTTTGGGCAGGTACTTGTTTACGGACTTTTACGGTAGTCTGGAGGGCCCTGCATTTTACTATACAGTGTACCAGTTGTGATAGCAGCGTTGTCCTACATTTGCTGTCACACAGTGTGCGTGCATGGATTGTATATTCATGTGTGGGTTTGCTTGTGTACGTGTTTGTGTCTTTGTGCGCATGTATGTGTGTTCGTGTGTGCTTGCAGGAGGACCACTGGTAGTGGGCGACATTGAGGATTTGGCTGTCGGTGATCCGTGTATTGTTTGTCCGTTTCATAAATACCGCTTCCGAATTCGAACCGGAAAGAACTCTTTCCCGGGTCAGCCGGAATTTGACATGGAGACTTACCCTGTGCGTGTAAAAGGTGGAGGCCGACTTTTTATTGGCTTTGCACAGCTATCCCAAAAATGCTTTGAGGAACAGGACTTTTAATCTCGTCTTTGTGTTCGTGTTGTTTGGTTTAGATCGGTGATGGTATTTTCTTAGGTGAACATCACTTTTTATTTTATTTTTAATTTCACTTATTTTTAAATTATCCCTACGCTAGCGCTGACTCCAGGTGTTTTTTTCCTTGGCTTGACTGTTCACAGTCAGTGTGTTTTTGCTCCTTATTTTAAGCTATCACTCTTGACTTGTTTGACCAGAACGTGCAAGCAACACATACTACCGGGAACAGTGAATACTAAACAAGTACGGCGTGTTCCTTTTGTCTCGCTCTTGCTTGTCTGCCCTTCGTCTGTCACAGTCATTGCGTGTTTTTATTGGATTTTTACGTTAGCCGTGTGGACCACATCGTTCGCTGGCCTGCCCAAGCGGTTTTAGTTTTGCTGGTGTGCTGTACGTTTTTGGTACTGCCATTCCTTGATATGCTACTCTAGATGCTGGCACCGTGCTGCTGCGCTGCTATTCGTTTTTATTCTATTTTTTTACCCCGTCCTGTACTTTTAAACGTGATTCTTTAAAAATCGATGGCCGTGTGTGTGTGTATGTGATGTAGTGTCCGTTGACTTGATTGTAGCTGTTTCTGTTGCAAACTAGAGAGATTGTGCCGCACATACATGTATGTGTCATTCTGTGTGTACGTGGGAGGCCAGCAGTCGCAAGGTTAGTTCCGAATCCCACGGCGGCTGGAATAGTAGGCGAGTCTGTGCGTCCACGCCACAACGAGCCGTCGTCAGCACTTGGACTTGGAGGTGCGTGCATTGTCTCCTTGCCTGGACAAGCAGAACATCAATTTCAAGGAGACCATACATATTCATTGTTGAGCATGACTATATCCACGCTCTGGAAGTACTCCAGAAAGTTTGGTAGCATGTTACAAGGCGGAGGACGCACTGTGTTGAAAACAGTGCTCCTGGCTACAACCACCATCGCTTGGCATAACATGCTGCCAAACAAGGCTTACTTCGTTTGAAGTACATATACTTGTATGTACCAATTACTCCACAAGTAGAGGAAAATACTGGTACATGTATCACTAACAAAATCAGCGTAAAACATATACAGCAGGGCTGTACTCAGCATAGCAAAGAGTAGAAAGTAAAAAAGAAATAGATCTCAAACTATCAACATAGGCATCACTAAACGGGCGTCGCTTCGTAGTGACATGCCTATTTTAAATATGAACAAGCAAACAACATCCAATAATTGAGATAACGGTACTAACAGTGGTTGTAAATATGTACATGACAGGATGGGGGGGGGGGGGGTACAACTGGTAGCGAATGTACAGTCACCGAAATGCAAGATCAAGCAGTATTTACAATATTCTACAGATAGACGAGGGAGTTCACCCCCAAATGCACTGGTAGATGTACATCAGTCACTTGGCAGCGGGTGGCCACCATGAGGACGCGTTTGCGCTATGAACAGCTTTTTGCCGCTGCAATGACACAAAAAAAACCCAAAGAGAGGGAGGGAGAGAGAGAGAGAGATGTTTGGTTGCTGGTTGTTCAGTCTCACAAAGATGTGGACTGCACTGTGCTGGCTCAAGCTTCACAACGTACAGTAAGCAGCAAGCAATCTGACCCTGCCCAGAGCAATTCAAAGTTTCAAACAAATCGCTACATGTACAATTTCAATTTTTTCCACTGTTCTTGTTCCTTTGCTTGTGCCTGTATTCCACCTGACGAGAAGGCTTGAAAGCATACTGTCAGTCAACAACTATTCGGCACATATTTATTTTCGGCTATTTTCGGCCTGGTCATGTTTGGCCGAAAATTTGTTTTGCAAGGTTCCGTGTGACAGTGTATACAGGCAGCAGCAGTACAGGCCTAAAATTTGATGCGGCCGAAATGGGTTTTGGCCCTGGGAAGCCGAAATTTGAATGGGCCGAAAATTTGCAGACTTACAGTACTCGTGAGATGTTGTTCAAGAGCCTGAAGCGTGTCCTTCTTCTTAGTATTAGTACAATACAATGGGTGTCAGAATCAGACGAGGACTCCATTGCCATAATCTTAGAGTACTGTGCAAAGGAGCTACTGAAGTGCCAAAGTGGCCACCTATGCACAATACTCTGTAGCATACTCCATAGAGTGCAACACATCCTCTCTATCCTGCCACATGAAAACCAGTGAAAAAGATGAAGGTGGGAATTTCTATACTAGTATCTACCAAGCGCACGAGCACACAGAGATTGTGCTAGAATGACTGGCTACAACTGACCTCTTCAGGGCTGAACTGTAGGATAGTGGCAATGGCGTTGGCAATGTGTATTCTGCCCGGTGAATAGCCATCCAGAGTCATGTAGCTGAGCACTACATTCTTCAGGTACTCCAGACTGGCTGTACCACGGTCTCTGTACGGAGAAGGGGAAACACACAGCATGACAATGACAATTGGGCAACAACTCAACAAGACAGTCAAGGACAGTTTCGGCTAGTGAAAGAGGATCTCTGGGGTATTCTCTGTGCCTCGAGCCGAACAGCCATCAGCACATTGCTCTCTAACCTAGGCTCATGACTCATTAAAATGACACAAACCATGAATTCCACTGTCCAGAACCAGAGTGTGCAGAGTTGCACACTCTGGTTTATGTGCTCTTGCTACAGTCCTAGCCAGAGAAATTCGACCACATGAACAAAGTAACGCCGAACGCTACTCGGCCCTAGCACCACTCACACTATCCTGCAGACTTGAGCACGGCGTTACTTACTTTATTCAACAGGTCAAAGTCGAATTTCTCCGGCCAGAACTGTACTACAGTGCTGCTCAATGAAATCCGGTGGTGCGAGTCAAGTTTGCGCATTGCACCATTTCACAGCCCAGTGTTGCGCAGCTCTACAATGTAGGGCTGCGCAACGCCCGGTGCGCATTCGAGTGACTCGACTGGATTTCATTGAGCAGCACTGCATATGTACGTGATAGTGACATCCTAACACCGCATGAGACAAGCAAATCATTTGGAGGCTCAACATGCGCTGTGCTGGTGCTGGACGCATGGAAAGGAATCCCATCCAAACGCAGCGCCATCCGCTAGGTACACACAATTCGACTCTTCTGAACATACTTGTTGCGATCCATCTTTCTGATCTCCTCCTTGAGCAGGCCACACTGTTCCTCGTAACGCTCAGCGCTGCAAACACACAGGGGGAGAGAATAAAATAATTATGTCAACAAAGAAGTACTCATCATTGAAGTACATGCAGTCATACCAGAACTACTGGCACTTTAAAACGAAATGAGAATTGGTTCCATTGTACTAAACACATCACCAACTGTACTCAATTGACCTTTCACAAAATCAAAACTACAGGATGGCTCTCTGAAACAAGCAAATACGATATATTCACAGAACCTTAAAGGGGAAGTGCATCGATTTTTCGAGTAGGGTCCAGAAGAAAGACAATTTGATATCGGTTCGAATGGCATATCTCTCGCTTCCATACGATAAGCCAAACTTGCCAAATCGCCAATTGTATGCTCACGTTGCCATAGCGACCAGCGCAGTGATGACGTATGAAAGGCTTAGCTCCTCCACAGAGAAGGTCGATCACTGCAGAAATTGGTCATTTTCAATTGTCTTATTGTATTCACGATGTTAAAGAAGTGCTGTGTTCAATGCTGTTAGTGCCGTGAACTATTTATCGCCCTTCTCATGCATTTCCCAAGGCTGACTGTGCCTAGGAAAAGGTTTCCTCCAGGACAAGATGCTTGGAATTCGCCATCTCTCCTGAGACATTTTCAGCAAACTTTCAAACCTACGACATTATTTCATTCGTCAATCTCCACCACCCGTCGTCTCACCTGGCTTCAGAAGATGTTACGAGAGATAGGAGAGTCGCCAGGAAGCATCACATTCATCTTCAGGAAGTGGAAAGAGCAAACGGCATGGTCCTTGGTTGGGGGAAATGCTGAACGTCTGATTTGTCCCAACCAAGATTTCAGCATTTTGTTCGTCACTATTTTCGCTTGTCTGCTGGTGTCTCCGCACTCCAGCTTTCTCCTGTCGGTGTCACGTCCCAGTACACAACCGAGAGGACTACTAACAAAGAGTTCACTGCACTAACAGCATTGAACACAGCCCTTCTTTCACTTCGTGAATACAATAAATCAATTGAAAATAACCAAATTCTGCAGTGATCGACCTGCTCTGTGGTGGAGCTAAGCCTTTCGTACGTCATCACTGCGCTGGTCGCTATGGCAACGTGAGTATACAAATGGCGATTTGGCAAGTTTGGCTTATCGTATGGAAGCGAGAGATATGCCATTCGAACCGATATCAAATTGTCTTTCTTCTGGACCATACTCGCTGGGTGCTGAGTCGAATGGTCCTGGTCCGAGGACGCTGAGACGCTCCCTTCCTCCTTTATTCCCAATCGAACTCGCGCACTTCCACCGAAACTGGGTGACTGCGCCCTACTAGATAGGGATTTGTATGCAAAATGTCACTAAAAACGCCGTTTCGTTCTTATAAAAGCATGGATGACCGCGATTGGTCCATATGTTGTAGTCTTTTGGCCGCTGAGTCGACCGGTTTTGGTCCGAAAAGGCTGCGATGCAGCGTTCGGCCCTTATTCCCAATCGAACACGGTTGAGTAAGCGGTCACGTGCTCATGCGTACACCAGTCGCCTTGTCACCGTGCCTGCAGACTACAATTTTCACATCAAGATTCAACTCAAAGGTTCAAAGCAAGGAGTCGTAAGAGGCTTTTACGACTCCCTGGTTCAAAGGTTCAACTCGAGTGACATAGACGGGCCCAAACAGGCTGTAAATGAGCACGTGACCACTTACTCAACCGTGTTCGATTGGGAATAAGGGCCTAATGCTGCATCGCAGCCTTTTCGGACCAAAACCAGTTGACTCAGCGGCCAAAAGACTACCACATATGGACCAATCGCGGTCATCCGTGCTTTTATAAGAACGAAACGGCGATTTTAGTGACTTTTTCCATACAAATCCCTATCTAGTAGGGCGCAGTCATCCAGTTTCGGTGGAAGTGCGCGAGTTCAATTGGGAATAAAGGAGGAAGGGAGCGTCTCAGCTTCCTCGGACCAAGACCATTCGACTCAGCACCCCGAAGACTACAACTGGTGAAAAATTGATTTTAGGGTATACTTCCCCTTTAACTCCAAACCGTCTCTATAACACACCACAGGCAGCAGCTTTGGAATGATCAACGCAGCTGCTTCAAGTAACAATGACAATCTCACCGTTCTCTGCAGTCGCGCAGCTCGGCGAGCAAATCATCCCGCTGGCTACGGAAATGCTCCACTTCAGCAGCTACCCGCTGTTGTTGCTGTGCATAGTGCAGCAGACTGTTGCTGGCCGTCGCACTGGGCTGCAATGAGAGCACAGCACAGGCAGCACACAGCACGGGTTGTAGATCATGGGCATATGTACGCCTACACCATTGATCATGCTACTGCCAGTTACTGGGAAGTGCATTGTTCCTAGCACTACGTTGTACACCATAGTGAAGTGCTGCTCCTCTAAGAGGTGTGGGGATACTTGCCACAGTGCATGTCTCAAATGTTCCTCCCGTAACTGCACAGTGCACACTTCCCAGACATGCTAGTATGAAAGAAAAAAAGCAGTACCAAGGCGCCGGGGAGAGAAACTCACGAACGGATGATTGGAGTGTCCCATCAGGTCTTCGACCGCCTGGTCCACACTGCCAACTCTCCCCTGCAACACAAGACAGAGGACAAGCGCAAGTGAAATACAGCACTGAACGCGATGAACTGCACGGTCACCGCACGTACAACATTGCACGACGTGGCAGCCAGGGTAGCGTTCCAATACTGAAAAAGTCATTATTCTAACGAGCCGCAAATATAACGATTTGCTAAAATTAATCGGTTTACGTGTACCAAAGGTAATGATTCTCTACTCATTCTTAATGCTCACTAGCAACAGTACAAAGGTATATCTTTAACGTTTTCTATTTAAATGACAGGTTTCTCCTCGTTAACTCATTAGATTTAGCACTTCGTTATACATAAGGTTTTACAGTATAATAACATCTGTCATCACATTGAAGCGAACAAGGAAATGGGAAAGGAGCAAGCCAGAGAAATAACATTGTCAGCGGCATCCCACACAAGTTGCACGGCCCATTAAAGAACACACGTAAGCAGCTCACCTCAATAAAAGGGTTCTGTACTGTTCCGGGAGATGTCACAGGTGAAGCACCAGTACCGCCACCGCCACCTGCACAGGCATTTACACACAAACAATGTACTTTAAGAAACCAGTAGAGCAAGACGGATGCAAACCGACGTCACAAAACAATGCTGTGTCAGCTTGGAAGAGTCACCAAACAAGTATGGATACGTCTGTCCACACATAGCAAGTCTTACCGCTGCTGGAATGTCGCTGAGATGATGTAAACACTGACGAAGACCTATCGAAGATCAAATATTTCACACAAAGGGCCACACGTAAATGCATTGGGTGCGAGGGCATTTCCCAGCCATTCAGCCAGATTGAGTTGGAGAAAAAATACACTGTCTTGCTTTACTCGTCCATAAGTACATTGTATTTGCACATGTACAGCGACCCATTGGCCATGAACACTTTAAACAGTGAAACCTCATTTAGAAGACCACCGACAAGACAAACGTTCCCTGAGCGACTTCTGAAGTAGCATCCATAACTCTATCGGATGCATCACTGTATTCACTGGGAATAAAATATGGATAAGAAGAACTCCCGTCATTGCGAACAAATACCACCGATCCCTTGGTGTTCGTCCTAAAGAGGTTTGACTGTACGATCGCATGGCCAAGATATGATCAAAGGGCCAGTAAGTACCACAGACAATGCTTAATTGAATAATAATATTATTAATAGTAGAAAGGAAAAGGACATACGGAAACGAGTTAAAGGGGAAGTGCATCGATTTTTCGAGTATGGTCCAGAAGAAAGACAATTTGATATCGGTTCGAATGGCATATCTCTCGCTTCCATACGATAAGCCAAACTTGCCAAATCGATTATTGTATACTCACGTTGCCATAGCGACCAGCGCAGTGATGACGTACGAAAGGCTTAGCTCCACCACAGAGAAGGTCGATCACTGCAGAATTTGGTCATTTTCAATTGGTTTATTGTATTCACGAAGTGAAAGAAGGGCTGTGTTCAATGCTGTAAGTGCAGTGAACTGTTTGTTAGTAGTCCTCTCGGTTGTGTACTGGGACGTGACACCGACAGGAGAAAGCTGGAGCGCGGAGACACCAGCAGACAAGCGAAAATAGTGACGAACAAAATGCTGAAATCTTGGTTGGGACAAATCAGACGTTCAGCATTTCCCCCAACCAAGGACCATGCCGTTTGCTCTTTCCAATTCCTGAAGGTGAACGTGATGCTTCCTGGCGACTCTCCTATCTCTCGTAACATCTTCTGAAGCCAGGTGAGACGACGGGTGGTGGAGATTGACGAATGAAATAATGTCGTAGGTTTGAAAGTTTGCTGAAAATGTCTCAGGAGAGACGGCGAATTCCAAGCATCTTGTCCTGGAGGAAACCATTTCCTAGGCACAGTCAGCCTAGGGAAATGCATGAGAAGGGCGACAAATAGTTCACGGCACTAACAGCATTGAACACAGCACTTCTTTCACATCGTGAATACAATAAGACAATTGAACATGACCAATTTATGAAGTGATCGACCTTCTCTGTGGAGGAGCTAAGCCTTTCGTACGTCATCACTCCGCTGGTCGCTATGGCAACGTGAGCATACAATTGGCGATTTGGCAAGTTTGGCTTATCGTATGGAAGCGAGAGATATGCCATTCGAACCGATATCAAATTGTCTTTCTTCTGGACCCTACTCGAAAAATCGATGCACTTCCCCTTTAAGAGTAACTCATCTAGTTACAGTGGTGGAGAGTTACTCTTAACTCGTTTCCATATGTCCTTTTCCTGTCTACTTTTATTATTGGCTCAATATCCGAGTTTCAAATATTATTAATAATCATAATTAATAATCAATAATTGAATGTGTCTTAATCCTGTACATGGCTGTACAGGATAGTACAGTAGAAACATGCAGGTGCAGCCGACAAAAGGCAAACCAACCTTGTCCAATCATCCAGCCCAGAGCCCGCCAGCTGAGCACGCAGCTTCTCAATCTCGGCTTCTCGGTCTTGAAGCAAAGCATAAGAGCGCTCGCGGGCAGACTGGACTGACAGTAGCTCTTGCTACACATCAACAAAAGAAGAGGGAGGGGGGAGGGAGAATAAAAAAGGACTGAGCAACAAACTGAGACAATACCAAAACGACGTCATAATCATGACACGTACACAGCCTCCCCAGTTATGAAAGGTAATGTTCTCAACTATCAAGTCCAGTTAACGAAATCTGCGGAAATGCCTGATCAAAAATTCAATTTCTCAAGCGAAGGTCCCAGGTTCGAGTCCTGGTGGTGACAGTCAATTTTTCTTCAGACTTTTCCCTTTTCCTTCAACCTATGAATATTCAGAAAAATTTAGAAAACAATTTTACAATTTGTGCAAGTCTACAAGTATAGTTTCTGACTTCTACAGAGATTTTACGGCTATTTTTGGCCAAGGTGTCAAGAGAATCTCACTACACCATGGTTTCAGAGTGGGTTTTGCACAATAACAGGCATACCATATTTGCATATACGGCACAATAAAAATATTTCGATTGGAGTGAAATACATGTAGATGTCTTCACCACAGTTTTATTTAGACAATTTCTGACAATTTGCTGTTGGAAGGGCGCTTGTTTCAGTTTCTAGTGCCCGTCCCAGGCGCCTCAAGGGAACTTTGGCCATGTGGGGAAGGCGTCAAAGTATGGACGGCGCAAGAAATGAGTTTATCTGTGGAAATCAACATTCGGAGCACCCACAAAGTACAGAGGCTGTACGTACTGAAAGGTGAAAACCCAGCTCATGCTGATTCGAGCTCGCAGGATGTCGATGCTGTTCTGGACTCTGTTTTGGCTAGCTCAGTAGAGACACCGAGCTCGTCTTTCATGGACGCTGGTACTCTGTCTTATAACAACTCGGATAAACAGGATAATGTCTGCAAGGTGGGCTCCATGGTGTCGCCAGAAACCAAGCGGATTGGATCGTTGCCCGTGTTGTATGAGCCCTTTAGACCCGTACACATTCCCGTATGCACACACTTCCGTACGCATATACATACACATCTGCACATCCCTGTACACACATCCATTCATGCACTCCCCGCTGACCTTTGCCCTGCTGACCCTTTGCCTCCCTTACTGCATGCACCGTACCCCTTTTCCCGCTCACCCTGTCACTTACTGCATGCACCCCTTTTCCCGCTCACCCTATTGGCGTATTGCCACTTACTGCATGCATCTCTTTTTCCCTCCATAGCTTTCGTTATATTCTGAAGGCTGCGCTTGCGCAGTGTGATTCTCCTGTTGATTCTCCGAGTAGTTCTCCTAGTCGTTCTCCCCCAGTAGTTCTTACAGTTGTTCTTCTGGTAGTCCTCCGAGTTGTCTTCTCCTCATAATTGTCCCAGTCCTCTACTTTAGTCCTCTTTGTGTTCAGGCAATATAACTGTTATCATAACCTACAATTCCGTGCTGCCGTATAAAGAGTGCGATAAAGTAGAGTAGTAACGTAGAGTACAGTAGTAAGATACCATATATAGACGGCGTACATTTGATAACATTGGCGCCCAACGTGGGGCTCGAACCCACGACCCTGAGATTAAGAGTCTCATGCTCTACCGGCCATCCCCGGAAAGTCGTTTGTGATAGTTGTGGTGAAGGGACACAGCTGGCCATCAGTAGGAAACCCAAGACAGTGAAATGGTATGATGTGAACCGCCGATCAGTTCTCAGTATGCGCATGATACGTCGTGGTGGATAGGCGGTAAAGAAAGTTTGCGCTCTGCTGAATCTAACTCATCCTGTTGCCAAGAAGGCATTTGACTTTCACCGAAATGCCCTTATAATCTGTCTGCTGAGAAGGCTGCGCCAGACAGTATGAATAGATGCGCGAAGGACTTCATCAGCCGTCGAACTGCCGACCAAGTCGAGAGCCTGAGCGATGCAACAGCGTCAACGGATGGTACGTGGATGCGGAGAGGACACTCATTGCTGCTTGGCGTCCAGGCTGTCATCACATTCGATACCCAGAAGATTGTAGATGTAGAGGTGCCGTCCAAACTCGGTGCTGGTTGTGCCGATCGTAAGCCAAGGCTAGCCAGTGGCAACATGAGTCAGGCCGACTTTGATGTGTGGAAGGCTAGCAATACCAATCGTTGCTACATCGACAAGACTGTTTCTTCACTGGCAATGCAGGCATCTGCAGTCTGTACTCTGTGGTCCAGATCAGAGGAGCTGAGAGGACTTAGATACACTGGATCCATCGGCGATGGAGATAGTAAAGGCCATTCTGCGGTGCTTCAGGACAAGCCGTATCGTGATGTACTGGTGGTGAAGGAAGAATGCGTGGGCCATGTCCAGAAGCGCCTTGGAAAGGGCTTCCGTGATCTGAAGCAAAGCAAGGCCAAAGAAAAGCTAGCAGATGGCAAACCTATAGGAGGTAAAGGGCAGCTGACTGACAAGACGATAGATTCACTGCAGAACTATTACGGTATGGCTGCATGCCAGTATGCCGGTGAAAGAAGACAAACAAAATGTTGATGTCAAAATGCGTGGTCAGCAGAGATCGCACACATGCATGCATATGCAGTGGCTCTTTATCTGAAACTAACACGGTAGCCAGACTTGCACTTGAAGAGAATCCATGCCGTTCTAACCCACAGAGTCGCCTGCAGTGCGAAGATGTGACCGTGGTCATGATGATGCCAGTGCGTGTGACTAGCACTGTAGTCTGTACGGCATAGTCCGGAACGCAGAGCTGGCCCGTTCATATGTCATCACTAACATCAGATTTCCCTCACTGAACTGAGAAACCGCGTGCTTTCAGCTTTGGCACACACGCACACAGTTGCTGTGCTTTCAAAGCAATGGATGAGAAGGCTGAGCAGCCCGACGCAAAGCTCAATGCTCTGCTGCCTGCAGCTAAAAGGAAGCTGTTCGAACAGGCCAAAGAGTCAGGAGTTCAGCTGAGTGGTGGCCTCGCTTCTGATAAACTCATTCTGCTCAAACAGAGATTCGTAAATTTAGCGTTGGTGTCCGAAAAGGAATTGAAAACAGAATATGCTGCGGGCAGGTTTTAGCCTTTTAGGTCAATTTGGAGCGCCTTTTTCTCCTATTTCGGAGCTATGTCCAGCACTGCAAAGCAGCATATCTCAAGAACCGTTCACAGGAGATAAACAATCTTTATGTTTTATTGCATCTACATTTCTCAGCTAGTTCCCCAAACCTCACATATATTTGGGATTCCTTTTCCTTGGCAAACCTTGCAAAGGTCTACTACCTGTACACACAGCACATTTCACCAAAGGGTTCTTCCATAGCTGCAACCTGCTGTGTGCTATTACAACACCTGTTTGCTATCCTGCACCGAAATATTGGACCGTATGTTTCTACGCTCTTGCTGAATAGTTGCGCAACTGTCTCACAAGGCAGGCATAGTGGACGTTCTAAGACCAGGATTACCGTATGTCAGCGCCTTTAAAGCCATGGCCTTATATTCGAAACACCGCTGCTTTCCTAGCTACTTTAGATGCAAAAATTCCTCATCCACTATGCCATGCCATAAAAGTCAAAGTCCACACAGACATTTCAATCTAAATCCACTTGTTCACCCTTCCTGCTGGGCTGTAAGTTTGTTAGTATGGTACTTATTCCTTCATTTTTACAAAACATACTTCAAATGTCGTTTCACTTATGAAACCCATGGCTTTATAACTGAGACTGGCTTTGTAATCGACTATACCTGCATGGCTTTAAAGGTGCGGATATACGGTAAGAAACCGAGGGTACCAGATTCAAGTCCTGCTGGGAAGCGGAACGATTTTTTCCAGCCGCACTGCGACCCACAGTTAATTGGGAACTCGTGGCCTGGCGCATGGCATGGCACGAGGGAAACATGGATGCGGCGAATGGGATTCTCGGTCTTTGATTGCTGGTGGGCTGATCTACTCGCCTCCCACCGCTTTAGGAGCTGCATCTGCGCCTTAGATCTTTGCAGGGTGGTGGCGTTCCTACGGATGCTGAAAACTCAGTTTAACTGAGTCTCAAGCGAACCATGACTTTTTTCGTCACATTCATGTGGTCCAATTCATATTTCTGACCTCCTTGAGCTTAACTCGCATACTGAGCCAGTAAATAATAATTAAAATAGAAGAAATCACATGGAAACGAGTTATGAAGCAACTATCCACGACTGAAACAAGATAATATGCAGTGGAGAATACTGGAGATGTGTTAGAGCTAGGTCTCAGGTCGTTGAATGTCTCAGTAGCCTGTCAGTTTTGTGCCCTGTTATCGCACTTTCTGACTGCATATTTTATTGTTACAGTTGTGGATAGCTTGTAACGACCTGACTCACTGAGTATTACGTCTTTCCACGTGATTTCTTCTTTTTTTAACTTTTTCAATTGGTTGGACATGCCCGGACATACCAGTTTGCCACACGTGTCTTTGAAAGCCGACGTTTTCAAATTTTCTCGACCCAACGATGAAGGACTCCGAGAAATTTTGGACAAATAAATTTCTCGGCAAATCGCACACAAACCTTGCATCTAAGCATTTAACCACTACGCGGGCGTCTTTGCATCTCTCATGCCCCAACCAAATGGATGTCGAAAGGTCCTTGTCGCGCTCAGCAGTCCACTTGTCATAAGTGGCCACGGGCACAGCGCTCTTCCCTAAACTCGCCATTTCTGATTGCAGCACAAGCGCGTGCGCACAGCTGTACAGGTAGTCGTTTCGTTATGATTATTTTTTTGTCTCGGATCGATCGGACACTTTGTCCGTCGCACGGTTATTTCACCTGGACAACGACCGAAAACGGTCGGAAAATGTCCTATGTCCAACCGGTATTTCATGGACTGAATCTGTGTTTAAAATTTGAAGAGATTCGGATGAGTTACCATGAAACAGCTTTGACATGACTTTTACAAAATGAAAATGACAAGATACCATGCAAGGATATAACAGTTACATGGGCAGAGTAGAGAAAGATAGATAGAGAGAGAGAGAGAGAGAGAGAGAGAGAGAGAGAGAGAGAGAGAGAGAGAGAGAGAGAGAGAGAGAGAGAGAGAGAGAGAGAGAGAGAGAGAGAGAGAGAGAGAGAGAGAGAGAGAGTGACAGTGACAGTGAGAGAGAGAGAGAGAGGGAGTGAGAAAGAAAGAGAGTGGGGGAGAGAGAGAGAGAGAGAGAGAGAGAGAGAGAGAGAGAGAGAGAGAGAGAGAGAGAGAGAGAGAGAGAGAGAGAGAGAGAGAGAGAAAGGGATAGGGAGACAGAGAGGGAGACAGAGAGGAAGGAGGGTGGAGGGACTAAGTGCGTACCTGATGAGTAGCTAGTGCTGCAGAGAGCGCCTTCTGATGGTCCAGCTTCTCTTCCTCCAGTCTGCTCTGCACATGTTCCAACTATGCGAATGTCAGCATAGGTATTACCAGGATAAGAGCACAAGGACAGAGGCTGTTAGTAGAGAAATTATCGGTGAGCCATGGTTCTATACAGTATACAGTATACTGATGCAAGTCCATGTACTGCACAAACGCACAATCCTCCTGTTCAAACTACGGACCACACAAGATATTTCCAGCCGAAATCGAATCGGTACCATCAGAGCAATTTGTGTGTTTCATCAATTTATGCCTGAGGTGGGTTTGATTTAAAATGCTGTCCCAGAACAAGAGTGAGCGGACAGGCCAGAACAGATGAGAGATCGTCTGCGATCGTGCACTGCTCAGCCTGCAAGTCTCTCATCCGTCATCTCCGTCAATTAAAGTCTTGCGCCGAGGAGAGTACAGAGACTGGTGTTGAGCAGAGACAAGAGTGTTTCGTCAAACACACGATTCAAGTTCCTGTCACCCCAATCCCAGTCCAAGGGGCAGAACAAAAGTTCGCCAGGCTAGGGAGCAAATGATTCGAAGGCTCCATCGGTACAAGCACATGGATATTCATGCTGCTCTCTCGCAAGCAGAGTTCTGAAATGGTTTATGTTTGCTCCACAATCTCTGCGAAGAATGGTGATGTACTAGAAGATGTAGTTCGCGAGGCTGGTGAACATGGTGCAACCATTCAGAATATCTGGAAAGACGATATTTCCAGTGCCAAGGCTGAGTTTGAGAAAGACCAGACGGATAACACCACTGGCAGTCATGGCAACCAATGGAGTGCAACAACATACAGAATGGCACTAGCTATGTTTTCGCTCAGTCCAGCTGCATACAAGTCACTGAAGAGCTTTGGAGTTCTTCAGTTGTCTAGCACCAGATCACTGAAATATTACAAGTATGTCAGTGGGCAGCTAAATACCGCTGGCTGGTGTGAGGATGCGATGATGGAGCAATACCAGAAACATGCCGAGTTCTCCACTCAACGAAAAGCGGAGGGCAAACCAGCACCCTTGAGTGAGGGCATCCTCGTGTTTGACGAAGTGAAGGTGATTGCCAAAGTGCTGTGGAACTCAACATCCCAGGAAATGCATGGTCTGGCCATGACAAAAGAGGATAAGTGTACTTGAAGTAGCTTACAATAATAATGTGTTTGAGTCACACACAGTTGATGGCAAACAGCGTGCAGAGTACATTGTTCAGTTTCAGCAGCGCGATACGAGTGGCCGCTTTGACATCATGGGCCATACCACTCAGCATCACATTCACATTCACTCAATGGACGATTCACTGCAGTACATGCGAATGTATGTATGTTCATGATGCTCTTCTCCTCTTCCAAACGTACAAAATAAAGCTCAGTGCGCTTGGTTTTGATGATGCATCTACAACCTACAGTGCGTTTCAAAAATATAGACGCGTGATTTCAAAAAAACGTTAGGCCAGCACCTACCGTACTCGCACGATTAGAGCCCTCTCTTGAATAGTGCCCTATTTCGAATAGTGCCCTAGTCTCCAAGAGCCAGTGAAAAATAAAGCCCTCTCTTGAATAGTGCCCCCCCCCCCCCTCCCGGTCTTGTAACCAAGCCCATGTGCAAGTTTGGTCTTCTTTTGCTAATGTTCTTGGCCATTGCTTTGCACTGGTGTTTTCAGGAACAAAATAGCAGGTCTTGTTCCCATTTCTGTGGAGTCGTGAGCGTTTACAGTACACTTTAGGCTCTGTTTTTCTTTGTTTTATGCTGGATGACGCAAATGTACCAGCAATGAAAAAACAGTGCCCTCTCTTGAATACTGCCCCATCTGTAATGGACATTGAAAAAAATAGTGCCCCAGGGGCACTAATCGCGCGAGTACGGTATACCACATAACATCTGTAATCACTTTGTGCTTAAAAAGTTCGAAATCGGGCGTTTGCTATTCGATCGCTAAAAACCTACTAGTATAATGAGAGTAATTGCTAGAAGGACATGAGCAATATTCCGAAAAAAAACTCTCAAAAAGCTCCAGCCAAATTTGAAATACAGTCAAATCTGTTGTAAGCGACCGCCCCTTGGTGCAAGAAAAAGCGGTCGCTTACGGCAGATGGTCTCTTACGACAGATGTATGGTAAATCCGGCATACCAGGTATATGCTTCCATGTACTCAAATCGACGAGAATAATGTGATTTTTAATAATTATCATTTTATTGGATATTCAACGACGACCATACCCGTATAGTACGCGGATGCGACACGGCAGTAGATCGACACTGCCTGGACTTGAGAGCTACAGCACAGCCTGAGTACAGGCCAGGCGCCAGTCGATCGCACTTGCAAGACAGCGCATTTTCACACTTTGCAGTTGACAGCGCACTGGCAAGTACATTTTCGCACCTTACTGAACCTGGGTCGCGGTCGCTTACAGCAGATTTGAATGCAGCCACCGTGCATGAAATCGCGGTCGCTGGTCGCGCACAGCAGATGGTCGCTCTGGACAGATCAGTTTGTATGTGAAACCGTCGGTGCACGGAAAATCGGTCGCTAACGGTAGATGGTCGCCTACAGCAGAGGTCGCTAACGGCAGATTTGACTGTATTTCAAAAATATCATGCGTCTATATTTTTGAAATGGACTGTAGACCAGGATGAAAACGATGATGGGTGCCAAAGGCCCAACACTTGCATGGCGACAACTCCTTCGTCTCATATATTTCTTTTTTTTGCGATATCCCTCGTTGCTGCTGTATTTTTTCTTTTTCAGTACTGGAAGTCAACAAATATTTGGCGCATGTTTATTTTTGGCTATTTTCAGCCCGGGGATTTTCGGCCTAAAATGTTGTTGCAGCCGAAATTTTGTTTTGCAAGGCTCAGTGTGACAGTGCATACAGGCAGCAGCAGTACAGACCGAAATTCTAATGCGGCCGAAATGTGTTTTAACCCTGGGAGGCCAAAATTTAAACGCGCCAAAATGTTGTACTGTATAAGTACAAATTTTCGTTCTCGAAATTTTTCGTTAGATCACTCCACCAGCAGGTTCGTTACGTACGAAATTTCGTTTTGGTCGAGGTCTGTCACCCTGAATGTTCAGGGAACTTCTACAGTTGTTCCTAATTTACGAGAGGGCTTGAAAGCCCATGAGCCCTCGCTATGCTTTGTTTGTTACCTAGGTCATCATGTGTGTTATTCGAACTCATAGACACGTCTTTGCAATACAAAAGAACACGTGCCTGAGAGTGATAATCGTATTGCAAAGACGTTCCTACCAGTTCTAATAACACACTTACGTAGCGGCCAAAATGGCGGTAAACTCACAAAAATTCGGGTCCCATTACCCCCCCCCCTCACTTTTGTTCTGGCTATAACCCCCCCCCCCCCCCCCCCCTCCAACCGTCTGAATGCATGCACAGCACACCAGAAAATTAATCATAAGTATGCACATCGCTTTCAGGCTGGCTTACCTGGAGGTCTCGTTCGCGTAAACAGCTCTGCGACGTGTCTAACTGCTGCTGCATGGGCTGCAGGCGGTCACGCAAGTGTCGCATCTGACCATGCAGACGTCGCAGCTCCTCACTGCTACCATCCTGAGCACGTATACACATACATACACACACACACACACGCACACACACACACACACACACACACACACACACACACACACACACACACACACACACACAAATACACAGCATGCACGCACACACATGCGCGCGCACACACACACATATACACACACACACACACACATACACGTAAGTGCATGAGTGAAAGTACACCCAGTAGACATGCATATACAGCAGTAGGTACATACATGCACACATGCACACTCACGCGCAAATCGAATTCAGCCCTGGTTCACCAGAATCTCAAGATGGTAGTTGTGCTCTTATCAACCCTATCTGGTTTGCCGCAGTGCATTTTTCACAAATATATAAAAAAAGAAATAATTCCACTGTTCTTATGGCTATGACAACCGACAAAACTACTCGGAAACGAACACAGTTTCAAATTTACGAGTGCTATTAAAGTTCCAGCTGTCAAGCCAAGCCAGAGCTTGATAACCAACACTTGCTCAAGGATACCTTTGTCGAGCGTTGAGTGGCCTTGAATGCCTCAAACTCATCAAATAGGTTCTTGTAGCGCTGCTCACATGTCTGAGGACAAACACATACACACACACACACACACACACACACACACACACACACACACACACACACATTATCACAGCAAGAATAACCACACAAGTTCAACAAAAAAATTCACGGTTCGCGTGAGCCACACAAGTTCAACAAAAAAATTCACGGTTCGCGTGAGACTCGGTTGATCTATATAGAGGCCGAGTTTTCCGCATCCGTAGGAACGCCACCACCCTTTAAGGATCAAGGCGCAGATGCAGCTCCTAAAGCGGAAGGAGGTGAGTAGATCAGCTCACGAGCATGTGGTCAAAGACCGAAAAGTTCAAAAAGTCACAGCAATAAATAATAAAAAAGAGTTGTACAGTGACATAGAAAAAGAAATCCCCCAGTGACGTTATTGAATGGTATGATACATGATACGAAGACACTGTCAAGAGAGTGTGGTAATACCAACCTGATGAAGTTGCTCCGCGATTTTCTCATCACCTAACGAATCATTATCTGCAGTCACACATGTACATGTACGCAGATGTAATGAAAGAAGTGAAGAAAGAGAAAGTGAGCTACATACATGTACATGTAGGTAATGTGAGACAATGTTCATCTGCAGAAAACCCATAGGTAACAGTGAGCATACACCAACATCAGGCAGGCAAGCACTGCAACAGTATGCAACACACACACACACACACACACACACACACACACACACACACACACACACACACACACACACACGCACGCACGCACGCACACACACACACACACTTGTACTTGTTGCTCACTACCAAAACTGGTCACGTGGGTCTCCCCGGGAGAGGGGAGAGAGACTCAAAAGGAATCTTGGAAAGATGACTCAATTGGCTATTGAACCGCCTAACGGCCGACACCCCCTGGAATCCCCAAAACTCTGGGTGGACTCGAAAATGATCCCACTTATGAGCTCACCACACCTTAGTAAGTGGGTGAGGACAAGGTGCAGAAAAAGGATTGACGGCACCAGGGTACACACGCACGCACGCATGCACACACACACACACACACACACACACACACACACACACATATACTGTACCTGCATCTAATGCTGCCAAGGAGTCTGGGTTGGCCTCCTTCAACAACAGCTGAATTTAAAACAAGACATGAAAAAAATAGGTGGCAAGAACATGTATGAAGAAAGAGAACCATTCTCTTCTGTATACCATCAAGTGAACACCACATACAAGCTAGAGAACGAAACATAAGGGGCCACCCGAGACACCCATACATTTTTCAAGACGATGTTAATTTTGTATCTCCCGAGACCCCTCCCTCCCCCTTCAAAACGAACAAACACACGTTTAAGCAGGGATCGATATTTTAGTTTGTGCACGCATGAATCCCTAACGTACCGCGTACAAATGCCAGATGCGAACATAGTACTACTATATACTTAGTTTCATTATAAGTACTTCAAGTAGCTAGCCCCCCCACACTCCAACCCATATCAGCTTTTTGATTCAGTCAGCGACTGCAGCGTAGTTCAGGTAGTGCTCTGTAGCAGCCCTGCTACCAGGACTTGTGCATGTGTTTGTATCATGATGTCCACAAACCTACACGGTATATGTTTGAACTCTGCTGTGACTTGTATCCGTATATAACTCTCTTGAACTCTTTGCACATTGCATGTTATCCCTTTTTGTACACTGTGCCCTTTTGCTGATGCTGCACTGTGCTCAAGCTGTAGATCCGCTCTGAGCGCCGCACGCGCGGATTTGGGTCGGAGTTGGCCCTTGTTGTTTTGTGGACTTCTTTAGAGAAGTAGAGAGACTCGGGAGCATGAGATGCTTGGCTGTTCACTCTCCTCTTGGGTTGTGTTTCCTTTGTAATTTATATGTAACCTGAACCCAGCCGGCTGTTACATGCTCCAAGTGCAAGGAATATCCGAGCCGCTTCTGTACGCTTCTGTACCGGTTTTGCACTCACTGCATGCATCGCAGACATCAGTTCCCCAGGCACCTACTGCTGCATCCAGTGGCTCCGCATCTTCTGCGACCACTCCGACCCGACCGCCTCCTCCTGCTGAGTTTGTGTGGACAGTGGAGTGGGCTAAGCTCCTCATCAGGACATATGCAGACCACCAGGCCAAGTTCACGGACGTCAACTGGAAGAAGAAGGCTATTTGGAAGGTTATCCATGACGTGATGGTGTCTTGACTCTTGCGGCCCTGCTGGACCTCACCCAACTATAGCCCAGCTGGAAGGAAAGTGGAAAACACTTGTTTCCTAAAGATGACAGCTAGGCAGAGCAATGGGTAGCTGCTATCAAAAGAGACAATCTACCGGACAGTTTCCGAACTAAATCATTTGCGTGCGCGAGCCATTTCGCGGAGGAGGCTTTTCAGGAAGACTTCAAGGCTCGTATTCCAGGCACTCCTTCGAGGCGGATGCTGGTGCCTGGAGCTGTGCCGTGTGTTTTTCCACATGCAAAACCTCCTACGAAGCGTCAGCCGAAGAAGCTGCAAGCTGCAGAGGTGAGTGCAATATTTCATGAGACGCCACATGTAGTTCTTTCTTTTCCAAAGAACACGTGTTCGCAGTGGTAAGGAGTGTTTAACTTTTCGAAATCTCACAGGCTGATGGCAGTAGATCTACCGTTTCCCAGACTTATTTCTCTATGCAATGGGGCGATCGGTGAGCCTGTTTGCGATTGCTGCCTTTGATGGCTTCAAAGAAGAGGAGCAAGGGTGGCTGTACCAGCGCTACCTGGAGTTACGACCGCCACTACCACCCACATCATCTGTACCGGTACTGTCGAAACTGCCACCAGTCGTAGAAGACTCGACAGAATTGATCAGTGAGCCAGATGCGTCTGCGTCCGTTGCTGTCCAGACGGACCCACCACCCTCCAAGTGGGAAGGTTACCGAAACGTTTGCTTGAAGTGAGACTCTGGTACAGCGAGAGAATTTGTGAGTGTGGGTTCCCAGGCCACGCTGGAGGTCACCCAGACAGCATACGTCAATTCAGCCATTGTTGCTTGCAATACGAAGCTCGAACGAGCGGAGAAATGCCTTAAAGAGGCCAGTATAGATTTTTTCGACTTGGTCTCCCAGTGCTCAAGGGAGAAACTTACAGCTGGCTTTGCAACTCTATTGATGTCAAGATACGATTATCTAGCAGCTAAGCGAAAAACTGTTGCCTTCGCAAAGACTTTAAAAGCCAAGCGTCAGGCAGAACGTTCAGATAACAAGCCCACTGCTATGCAAGATGATGTTGTAACACTTCCACCAACTGCAGAAGAGATTGGTTGCTTAATCAAAAGAGAAGTCGCTTCAGCACTAAAAAAGACTGAAAAGAAGACTGAAAAGAAGCCAACTCCTAAGAAAGCCAAACAGTCAAAAAACTTGTCAATCGTGAAGAACAAGTCAGGCAGACGAGAGGTTGTTGTCCAACGAAAAACCAGAAAACCCTAAGTGACTTAAGATATCAATATATTTGGAATCTTAGCCTACATAAGCATTCTAGATACGTTATCAATTCTGGCTTTCATAACCTCTCGCACTTTTCTTTCACACCCATTGAAAAACAAGTTTTAGGATATGGTGATAGTTTTCGCCTGACCACACGCTTTCCTCCTTCTGATAAATTGAACTCTGATTTTGAAAAGCTAGAAAAACAAATTAGATGGGAAGATCATTTTTGTAGATCAGCTCCTAAAGTGTCTGCTTCTGCATATATTCCAAAATTCCATTTAAGATCTGATAAAGTTCCTCCACTTGCTTTTCCTCACATTGAACTAGGTCTGCTAGAATTTCGCCATAAGTTAGTTTCTTTTTTTTCTCCCTGTCCTGCATTTTGGTAGTGTCAACAAATTTGTTGTCACTACCAAATATTGACTTGTACAAATAATTCGTACCATTTGTACTATTTAACTTGCATGCAACTAGCCAGACAAACATGATTATCCATTCTTGGCATAATACAACAAAATTATCCATTTTGGCATAATACAACGTTTTGCATGGCATGTACACAGTTGTAGATTTCTGAGAAATTCCAATTACACATACACATTTTCTACTACAAGTCATAGTATAGGACCCCCCGCACTTGGGGCCCCTAGCTTTTTGGTGGCCCACTTGTACTATAGTTACATTTGCGGGTAACCGCCTTTCCAGTATAAATTGTGTTAGGCCGAGTAAAAAAAATTACTAGATGATCGTCCTTTTTTTTGGAAAAATCGGGGAGGGCGGGAGGATTTTATTTTTATTTTTTTACTTTTTACCCTCTCATGCACACAGTGTACACAACAACATCAAGGTTTTTTTTCTCTTTTTTTCTTTTTTTTCTTTTTTTCTTTTTCTTTCTTCAGCAGATCGATACTGACGTTGTGATATACTAGTAGTATGTGGTCCATATAGTAAAGAAAGTATTAAACAAAGCGTGCACATGTTTCCTGCATCCGCGATCGGTAAAAAACCAACGATTTCGGCAAAAACTCACGATTTAAAAAATAAAATATTTCTTGGGGCGCTGACAAAAACTGGGGCGGACGGGGACGATCATCTAGCTTTTTTTTTTACTTGGCCTTACTTTGATTACTTTTTCATTACCCTCTGATGATCTGTGATAAACAGTGAAACCGGTCAGTGAGCCAATCAAAGAACTATGTGTTATGCTTGTGTCGGGGTTTTTCTAAACTCCCCCATAGGCCATGATTATTGGATGCGCTTATTCTTTAGACCCAGTCACCCTGTCCTTCCCAGGATCTTCCAACGACATTGGACTGGCATGTAGCCACAAGCATCCGGGGGGTGCGTATTGAGTCTATTGACTCTTCACTTTCCTGGTCAGAGCACGCTAATGATGTTTGTCGTCGCACTAGTTCCGCTCTTGGAGCACTCACTTCTCACTGTTCCCACCTCCCTCCTAGTTGTAAAACCCTTTTCTACCACTGCTATCTTTTGCCTCTGTTCGACTACGCCGATACTGCATGGTGTGGTCTAAATTCAACTATGTCCACAAAACAGGAAACGCATCGTAGAGAGTTTATCAAACAGTTGTTCGGATTGCCCCAGTTATTTAGCAGTACCACCTCATCTCCCCTCTGTGAGCGCCGCCGAGCCAACTTATGTACATGTGCTCATAAAATTTATCTCAAACAAATTCTGAGTCACTCAATATCGCGGCCCCTTTGGCGCTTGGCATGTGCAAAAGATCTTGCGAATGCTTTGAGACTTGTTCCTAAATTATTTCAGTTTCTTCAACTTCCAAGAGATATTTCTCCGAGAAGCTAGAGAAAATTCGAACACACCCTAAGTGTACAAATTCCACCGAGAAGAAACGCATTCTTTGTGGCAACATCCTAGATAAATGTCATGACATCTGTGACGTTGTTCTCACCAAAAAATGAGCATACACTCAGATGACACTACTGCTAAACTCACATGAAGTTTGCCAAGACGCTCCCGTAGTAATAGAACTTCCTTCTTTGCATCATCTGTCTGTGCTTCGCTGCACACAGACATACACACACACACACACACCATTGGACCATTGGACGCCCATCGCCGGAGGCGATGATAGCGATGCTACAGCAGAAGCCATAGCAGCTTGTGCTGGGATTGCACCATTCAACACACACACACACACACCTCAGACCTCAGACATGCCCATCGCGGAAGCGATGATAGCGAACAGCTATGTTCGACACAGCAACCTGTGCTGGGATTACACCATTCAACAGCTTGCAAGGCTGATGAATTGACCGCCACTATTTTTAGCCTGGTATCCACCACACAGCTGTTTTGAAGTGACTTTTTCTGGCCAGTGAATCCCTATTTTTTCATTTTTCCATTTTTTTCTACACACACACCACACCACATACTCCGGCATACGCTGGCTGTTGGTAACCACCCAGGAGAATGAAAGAAAAGTCAGGAACAGTCCGAGAAAGAGAAGAAAGACGTGTGCGACCATAATCGTCGGGAATTGAACCCGCAACCTCTCGATTGGAAATCGACTGCACATACCACTGCACCATATGGGACACACACACACACACACACACACACACACACACACACACACACACACACACACACACACACGCACACACATCTGTGTTCGGAATTGGCGTCGGAAAACGCATGCAATGGTTGAGAATATTGCAGGAGGGAGCCGCTCGTCCATACATGTACAAGCTCTATTGCAACCATGGTAACCACCGCTATTCAGAACATGCATGCATGTGTGTGTGTGTTCACTGCTGCACAGCCTAGTCAGCTCAGTCAGCGCAGACAATCGTACAACAAAGCCTCCTTACACTGCATCGAAGCTGATTTCTGAAGAAGATGGGGGGGGGGGGGGGGTCATCAATGTACCAGATTACCAGGGAAAATTCATTTCTTTCCGGCATATTTCCTTGTACACACGGTTGTTTCAGATTACGCATTAATTGAAACAACAAACTGGCTGCGTACCTGAGCTGCTCCCGGAGATCAACGTTCTGTTTGTTGATATCGGACATTTGACCTTGGAGGTGGCTGCCGCGCACGCACACACACGCATACAGGTAACAACATACAATGGAGCAAGGGAAACAGAGAGCACCAACAATGGGCGAACAGACAAATCAACAGCAGCTCTGTGTGTAATACAGTACTTGTAATGTTCCTGGGTGGACATCAAACTAATGGTACGTAATACACTCACGATATTTAAACTTCACTCCATAAGGCCCAGGCAACACCTTATTTACGCGAAGGAATAACATAACATTTAAAAGAAGATACTGTGCAGTACTGAACAGCATGCGCTTCATGAACAACCAGCAATGAGACTAGTGTGCATATAAGACCAATCAGAGACACTGCATTAATCGCCATAATTATAGACTGGTGAACCACAACACAACCCAGTTATCAAAACAAAAAGCAACAGTATGGTCAATGCACCAGAACACACTTATTACCACCAGATTACAAAGTTTCAAAAAGACAACAGTATGGTCAATACACCAGAACAGACATCTAGAGACTTCTCCAATCCTTATCACAAGACTAGAAAGTTTCACCTTAGGCGAGACCAAAAAAAATAGAGATTCCCGGGCCCTCCCGCACCAAAATCGAGCCCAAGCCATTTTTTTTTTTTTGAACAGTTCATACATGTACAGTACTGATCGTGTGAGTAGATCTGTGACGTGGAGTCGCACAAACCCGGGCTTGTACGACTCCCTGATGTACAGATCAGGGCCATCGTTGGCCGAAATATAGAAAAATTGAACGGGTAAACTGCGTACCTGCTGTCTGTAAAAAAAATTGAATAAAAATTACCGGAAAATCCTGTGAAAAAAGTTCAACATGGCATGTACATGTACATACACGGGAAAAAAATAAAAAATAAAATTCGCCCGCCCGCACCAATTTCACATGGGTCCTGCCCGGGAATCTCGATTTTATTTTGGTCTCGCCTTACCTTATTGATTGCTGGTCCTGCTCACGCAGGCGATCATAGCGACCCACCATAACGGTCAGCTCGGCTAGCTGTGCTTCCAGGCTGGTGACTCTCTCCTCTTCGCGCTGTACAACAAGAACAAAAACGCGCACACACAACACCACCGCATATCATGATGTGACATTGATACTGTTTCAAAGTAGCCAATACTAGTAGTGAGATGCTAAGCTGCCCTGAGGCAAATGAGCTGGCTGCCCAACTGATACGAGACATTGAATCATGCAAGGCAGACCAATATGGTACACTCCTTTGATAGGCATTCATTTCTCTTTGGAGAATCCTTGAAATAAAAGTCAATGTGAATTTCAATGTCAATGCCAACGTCCATAATTACACAGTACACAATCTGCGGGCAGAACGTTTCGTCCTTTGTGGACTCATCAGCGCAGCACAGAGGAAATGAGGCCGAAAATGATAGCAATGAAAAAATGAAATTGTTTTCGCATCGTCTCCATCGCTTACATTGTTTAAAATAAAGTAATCCAAATGCCACTTCAGCTCGTCCTCTTTATTGCTAAATTAAAATTGTTGTCTCCTTGTCGAATATTTAAATGAAAAATAATTTTTTGCAAAGCCAGATTTAAACCAGGCCCGAACGTACCTTGCCAGAGTGCTCAAACAAACAAACAAAAATTATACAGTACATGTACTTGTATACTGAAATCTTCATCTAGAAGTATTGGCAGAGCAAGCTTGTATCAAAACAGGCACTACTGTACTGTAGCATGATTTTAAAACACACCGGTCAGGTTTCTGTTTCACTGGTACCCGGGGTCAGATCTCATATGCCCTTCAGATGTTCCCTGGACCAAACAGCTGCCAGGACTGCTGCGGATGATGAAAACACACATCCTGACTGGACTTTTTTTTATTACTATGCTCACATAACCAGCTCGAAAAGAATAAGGAAAGACAATGGTACGGAGACTAGGACAAACGTGACAACTAATGAGCAGGCGCTACACCGAGACGCAGCAGTGATGGTGGGGCATTGATGGCTCTGCCGACCTGCTGCGGATGATGAAAACACACACATCGTGACTGTACTGCTGGCACCTACCCGGGACACGGTGGAAATACGCTGTTCTGCATCGACGACCCGTTGCCGCTCCTTACTCAGACTTTCACTGTGTTGTAACTGCAGGCACACAAAGGACGAGTGTGAATACATTACTAGTACGAACAGTACATAACCATCAAGAGTGTGCAACTCCAGCCATGGGGTCTGCGACGGCAGAACTTCACGTCATGTGATGAACATGTACACATTGTTTGCACCCTGCGTATGATAGATACAGGGTTGAACGCAACCCTGCTTCGGGTTCAACTCTCTTGTGGTCACTTTGCACTGGTTTGCCAGCATAACCTTTTCAACCCTGATTGCAAGCAGTTGCACACTCTTGAGGGATATGTACTCTTGCTAGTACATGTGCAGTGCTGCTCAAATGAAATCCGATCGCGTGAAGTAGGTTTGCGCCCTGCGCCAGTTCGCATCTCAGTGTTCGCAGGTCTAGGGCTGCACAGCGCCCGTCGTGGCATTCACTCGCTTGCTCGAATTTCATTAAGCAGCACTGCATATCAATAACACTTGTCAAGCAAAGCGTGTCCATATAGGCCTAGTAGATCCTGCTGCTGCTGCTATGAATGCACGTATAAACAGGAGAGTCTCGGTCTGCAAAACTGGTGAACTATTTGCCGAAATGCAAGTACAGTGGGGAGGCATCCATTCAGAGCACACAGCCAGCTTCCACACGGCGTCCACCACACCACCACCTACTTTCATCTGCGCCATCTGTACTTGTACTTGCTGCAAGATGACAGTGTCGTCTTGATTAGTCTTGCCACGCTCAGCCAGTTCAGATCGCAACGACTGGAGTATAATAACAAGACAAGCAGAAACGCACGTGCAGGAGATATTAGTCCGAAAGGGATCGAAAGCAGCAATATTCGAGCCCCACCGCCCGGAAATGACAGGCACGTGGGCACGCAGCCGGCCCTACTTGAGGTGCACAATCTTGAAAAAGTGATGAACTCTTTCTTGCCTCGTGGCCCTGCTGATTCCGGTTTGTTGCCGACCCGTGATGAATCACTCGGGACAAATTTAGAAAATACAGCAGAAGAACCCGTAGTATGCTTTCGGTTATCTGGCTCTCTCGCACATCTGGATATTTTAGTGAACAAGAAACGCGTGCGCAATTCAGCAGAATCAGACCAGGGATAGTGATACCGATTACCGAGTGAAACTTTTCAAGGAACACGTCATAACCAACCGCCACTGCAGGAAGAAGCATCACTGGTCATCATAACACCTATTTATCAACACAAGAGAACGCCGGTTAACTGTTATGGCGAACGTCAACTATCCGAACGGTCGAATACCGGAAACGCTAGGGAACGCAGTCAACGCACCCCATGTCAACGCATGTCGCATGCTGCACTGACCTTGATCTCAGCATTGAGCTTGCACATCAACTGATCGTGTTCCGCTCTAAGAGCGGCACATCACACAACAACACAACACGCACACACACATGAACACACATATGGACAGTGAACACACACACACACACACACACACACACACACACACACACACACACACACACACAACATAAACACACGTACATATAAAGGCACCAGCACACTTCTATTTGTTAATTCCCCACTAGAAAATAGTCACGTGCCCCTCCCAGGAGAGACGAGAGAATCAGAAAAGTTTTGGAAAGGAAACTCCATTGGAAGTTAAAACTCTCGGTACGCTACCGGTATGACATAATTCGTAGGCAAAGACAAGGTATGGCAAGCAGCAACTGAAGCATGAAGCTAACCAGTGCAGAATGGTTGAATCTTGTTCACTTGATGAAGTAAAATAAAGAATACCAAACTTCAGCATGGCTACCTGGGTGCTGTTGCTGATTGAAGTCATTTCATCCGCATTACATGAACGCCTTTGCCTTGCTGCATTGGCATGGGTAATTTCCTGGCAGCATTGAATGTGCATTCTCCACTAGTACTCATCCTTTTAACCCATGGCTAAACAAGGACAAGTAGAGACATACCTGGTCGTGGCAACCTGGCGCACTGAACTGGTTTCTGCATTCTCCAACTGCAAGGGCAAACAATATAACGCAGCACGATCAGGAAAAACAGGTTCATTAGCAAAACATTACCCAGGGAAAGGTATGAGTCGTACTACACGCTGATTTTGTTCAAATCGCGCTTCAAAATAGTTTGTCTTCACGAAAGTTTGTACATGTCCACCACTAAGAACGTTGAAGATAGAACTGGACGTTAGCAAAACTGAACCCAACAGCAACAACTAGGCGTAATGAGCTTTGCTGGTACCTGCTGTACTCCTACTAGTGGCCTGCACGAGAGCACAGCCCGGTGCTCACAGGTCTAGGACTGCACACAACACACGGCGCTAGTCGATTCACACCGACCATATTGCATTGAGTTGACTCACACCGGCCACATGTCATTGAGCACCACTATGGCATATTCTGTTGGCACCAACAATGATGTTTATCTCTGTAGATCTTCAATGATAGTCCAGAACACAGAACTCCCAGTGGACAAATGACTACTACAGTACTAGGTAGTACTGGTACTGTGAGCCACCTTCAATCGGCAAACAGCAGGTTAACTGTTACCTTCAGCTCAACGTCATCCTTTGCCATCCGCTCCTCAGCCAGAAGCTGCTGAAGTTCTCTCAGCATGGCAGCATGGTTGGTCTGCTCCTGGTCGTGCTGCTGCTGCTGAATACGGAGGCGCTGCCGTAACTGGACAAGGCAATAAAGAGCGATCCGGTGTTTGTGCTTTGTAACTCATGCGCAGCGTTTACAAATTGCACACACTGCACTCATCAACAGTCAATACGGTCTAGATCATTAAGAACAAGCTCATTGTGCTATAACATACCATAATGACGCACTTAAAAGCGCGTGTGCTTGAAGGATTTGTATGGTGAAAGCTCGTGTATAAGCACAGAGGTTGTTGGGTGCGTCACTAGACTCATCATGTAGTTTCTATCACCGACACCCCACACAAACGCCTGGGGATGGCTGTGCTGTTCGTTGAACAGTGCATTCCTGATCCCCGTGTACTGTACTGGCGGCATCAATCGCTCATATCTTCTATATTTGGGCAATGTGCAATGGGATCATTGATTCAACCTCAAAGAAAAGCTTGCTGCATGGTTGCATCGGAGAGCATAGTTAGCTACAACGTCAACACATTGTATTTCCAAGTACCTGATACACAGCACTACTGCAAGTAAAGTGAGATCAAGGTGCAGACAACAAATTCAATTTGGAGACATTAACCTTAAGACAAAGGAGAAGAAGCTGTGCAACGACTTGAAGTGTTTAGTGGACGTTGAGCACAAAGACAGTGCAGATCGTGCACATACAGGCCACACGGCTACCGGCATACTTGTGTGAAGATGTGTCCCTTACGTAAAACTTGCTTAATTAAGACTCATATCTTACTTTTTCAGTCTCACCCTTGAGCTGATCTATCTCGGATCTCAGCTGCTTGGAGTCTTCCCGATGCTGCCGCTGGAGATTTTCGTTCTCTTGCTGAATTCGTTCAGACAACACAGCCATAGTGTCACATACACAAGTAAATACAAATCATACGCCTATATCGACATGCGCGTGTACACAAATCAACACCATGCATCATGTACCATGCATGCGCCCGTCGCAAGCGAAGCACGCAGATCTGCAAACGCACCGGATGTGCACGCACAGATTTTACCTTATAGCAACGATAGCGGGTCTGAATCCGAATGAAAGAGATCAAGTCAAGACGCATGCACGCACACACACACACACACAGAAAGAAACTTACCAATAACAGTTTCTTGCCCGCTTGAAAAGAGGCCTCCATCCGAGACTTCTCTGCCGAGATAGTGGCGAGTGATGCCGTTAGAGTTGCCAGCCGTGCCGAAAGATCATCGGATTGCTGTGCATGCGAGCACAGTGGCATCAATATTGAAGAAGCAGAAGAACAACTCCCACCGTTTATATTAATACATGCACAGCAAACACACACCTCGCATGTGTACAGTGATGGCAAGTGAAATCCAACCCCATGGACGTAACAGCTGCGCTGGCTACGCAACCCGCGGCACTGCGAGCAACAGGGCCGTGCCATGAATGCAACTGTCCTGTGCTCATGGGTTTGGATTTCACTTGCACAAGTAGTACAGGTAGTTTGTAAGCTAATCTAACACTGAACAAGCCCATGCCCATCCAAGGCATTGGCTTAGCAAGCACAAGCATTCACATGCACACACTACAATTCAATTTTGAGTTTTACAGTACAAGCTACCTCAGCTATACCACAAACAGTGGATACATTTTACCAGGATCAGGAGCAGAAAACAAACTACATGTACATCTTCCATATTTGGTCAAACTCCTGTAAAAAAAAAAAAGGATGGGACTTACCCCACTTTCTTGACCGGAAGAGTCTTCGGCAGTGGCAGTAGCAGCATTGCCGCCACCCTCTAACCGAGTCCCTTGTCCCTCGTCTTCTGATGCCGCAGCACTGCTGCCACTTGCGTCCGCAGCACGGGCATTCCGAACCTCCTGGGTCCGTGTGGTGGACGGGGATTTGCTGAGTGCAGAGACGCTTGCCTCGAGGGCCTCTTTCTCACTCAGCAACCCCTTATAGGCACTGACAATATCTGAAGGAGAAGGCACACAGCCATGCTTCAGTATTATATCCTTGTTACAAGACGGTGTGCGTGTGTGTGTGTGTGTGTATGTGCGTGCATGTGTGCGTGCATGTGTGCGTGCGTGTGTGCAAGTGCACGCAATGATACTCCCACCCAAGCTGGGAATTGTTCATTCCTGATATTGGAACACAGATTGCTCAGTGGCGGCTATCACACAGTATCCCGGCCTTTCTTGTGTATGCCTATCAGCACATTTATGCTCAGGGGCGGTGGAACTGGTCCGGTTGGTCAGCCCATGGCCGGACCAACTCCTTGGCCACCAACGCCCCTTTTCACTGCTGAGGTCATGTGTACCCACCATATCATACACAAACTGTATGAATGACTAGGGTGTGGCCGGACCGATCAAAAACTGCTTCCACCGGCCGGTCCTGAATGGCACGTATTCACTGAAGGCGCACATGACTAGCACTGCGGGGAAACAAGTAGCTTTTCTCATTTGCGTACATAGTAAATTCGCACTTTACTCTTGACTTGTTGAGCCGTCTCGAACGTTGTATTCCGCAAATTCCACTTCGTTGGGTCACTACTATTGTATACCTTGAAGACCAGTAGTCTATATCGAAAGAAACTCACAAGTTCCAGCGATTAGAGAAACTTCTTTTCCACGCATTTGTATACATTTGCATGCAGAATCGAACAAGTGTCCCCACAGCGTGGCTCACGTGCGCCCATACCATGTATGCAGTGTGGGCGTCCGCCATTTTAGATGAATATGTGCCATTGCTCATTGTTGCGCCTCTTTTCCCAGACTGGATGTGCCGTACTCCAGTGCTGTCTTTTGGGCATACTAGATGATGCCTGCTGCTACTGCTGCTGCTACTGCTGTGAGCTGTAGCTATGAGTACAGCATGGGCAAGTACATGAAGTATATAGCCAATGAATCTGAAGCATCCAGCTGACTAGCTTGATATCCGCTGAAGGCTCAAGGCTCCTCGCTACTTTCCAACGCCATGAGAAGGCGGAAAGTTGCCACTACGGCCAGCGTGTCACAGAGGTGGAACCTCCTCCATTGGGTATTTTCAGGCTGTGGTGGTGGGGCATCTGCAACCGTTTTTTACAAGCAGGTCGTGTCCCTGGGATCTGAAAAGACGAAGGAGCCACACGGCCAAGTAGTTTTGTAGATGCGGCGCCGGCTCTTGCTTGCCCTACACAGATCCAGTATTACCTGCCTGTGTGGATGTACTTCCGAGCTATAGACAATTCTGATACAAGGGTAGCCTTCAGTCGCGGGTTGTCCGGATATGAGAGATTCTACTGTGTACTAAAGCAGTCACGTGGCCCTACAAGTACATTACTGTACAATGACGTACATGTATGTGAGAGCCACTGCCACAATCGTGGCTCCCTGTACAAGGCATTCATGATTGTAGATTATGGCTACCTCTTCCTCGATTATGACACCGGCTACATGCAGGCAACAGTTTATTTTAGGCGTACAACATGTAGCACTAGGTAACAGGCAAGCAAGTTGAACAGCAAATTACCTCTCAGACGGTTTTCATAACGACCAATCTGCTCGCCCTGGCTTTCGATGGTCTTCAAAAGCTCGGCCCGTGACTTTTCCATTTGCCACTCTGAGCTGCTGGTCACCACATATGTACCCGAGTAGGCACACGCACGGTCAAATGGCGCAGTATTTCAAAGCATCCACTTTAAATTGCTATTTTCATTGAATTGAACACCTACAGTGCATAGCTGCCTGCTGTGCCCTCGAAGGTACGATAAACAATTGTACTTCGAAGTGACAAATTGCAAGGTCAAATGATTGACCAAAAACAAAGTCAACATGAAGTAAACTACGGTGTAGGTCAGGGCGTAAATAGAAATACCTACAACGAAATTGAGAATTGACCTGCGCATTTCACTTGAAAATACTGCTACAGATCATGTAACAACAATGAACAGGCTGCATGCAGTTGGTTACATGCATGTACATACTAGATGACGTAACTTCATTTTGTAGGTGACGTGAATCTGGTGTAGATAAAAATGCACACGCCACATTCATGCATCCCCATGATCCATCGCGCGATCGCATCTTTCGAAGTAACGTTTCGACTATCGACAAATCCCCAGAATCGGACATATCGAAAACTGAGCTTGCTCCGGCGGTGAACTGGGCCTGGTACCGGGTGTGGGGCCGTGTGGAGGTGTGTGTCGGACGAGGAAGAGAGGACAGTCGTAGATTAGTAAGTCAGTTTACTTCATGAAAATAATGTTCTATCACTATTTTGGTGTTGCAGTTACACCAAGTTCCATTTTACAAAAGTAGATCTACTGCTACATGACTGTATTACTATAAGGACTGCAGGAGTAAATCTGGTGTCTGCGAATACGGATCTACAAACGAACTTGCATAGCACATTCGATTACCTGCCAGCTGGCAGTGGATATATATGATTCTTCGCTGAGCCATAGTTATTTTTACACTGAGAAAGTGTGTAGGGTGAATCACTGAATGCATCGCACGCAGGAGCCTGTCTTGGTGATGGCCCGGGCTGCAGCATCGGAGACTTCAGAAGCACTTGCAGCTGCACTGGATGATAACTCACCCATAACAGGTATTCAAATGCGACATGAATATTATGTACAGCTACAGCTGCTCTGAGAGCAATGTTTGTTCAAACTACGTTAGATTCATCCAATGAATTCATGGAGCAACCAGAATAATAATTTAACAACCTCTTCTTGGAGACAAATACAGTCCTGCTCAATGAAATCCAGACGCGTCACTCAAGTTTGCGCCTTGCACCATTTCGCAGCCCAGTGTTCGCAGGTCTAGGGCTGCGCAACGACCGGTGCGTACTTGAGGGACGCTACTGGATTTCATTGAGCAGCCCTGTACTTATAATGGCAAGAAAACTACAAATCTCAAACTCTCGACCACCGGCATAAGATCTCGATTATTTCACACACACACACGCGCGCGCGTGCACCCCTGTTTTCGTGCGTTCTCATCAAGCGAAGTACACACAACTTGTCCCTATGAAACACAGGGATATGTAGCAACACCACGGTGGTAACCATCACAACTAAGTGATATGAAATACAGACTGTAGTGAAGAAATCGCGTTTAGGAAACTTCACTTCTCAACTCCAAACTCCAAAAAAATGTTGAGAAGTGAAGTTTCCTGAATGTGTAAGTGGCTGCATTGGAGTTTGCGGACAATTAGAGAAGAAATACCGTGAGAAAAAAAAGAAAGAAGAGGTGGGAGGTGAGACAAGAGGGGCGTAGGCAATATGCACGGTGTGTGTTTTTGCTCCTCCTGTCAAACCTCTTCTTTCTTTCATGCACTGTGTAGTTTTGTCCCTCTTGTCTCACCTCTCACCTCGTCTTTCTTTCTTCTTTCCATGCTATTTCTTCGCTACGTCGTCTTGCTTAGCTATGATGTCCACCCGTGACCACTGTTGTGATGCTATCAGCCTCTGAGTGTCGTTAATTCCAGTTGCTTTTACGTCGGTTGCTGAGAAAGTACCAAAACTGGCTTGTGAAATCATCGAGTCCTGTTGCTGGTGGTCATGAGATTGAAGTTTTTAGCTCTTGCCGAAATAACAATTGCATCGTATACATTCTAGATCTGCTGAGAAGGATTACAATAGCGTTGCTTCCGGTGTTCAACATCTTGGACATGAAGCAGTCAGTCTGTGTAATAATGCGCACACCCACCCCACCACAGTATTACGATACTAGTGAGGAGGAGCACATGTACTGGGCCGTTAGATTCTCCAGCGCATTTCTCAATAGTGCTGCCAGGACTTTCACACTCTTCAGGACCAAGACAAGCCAGCCATCGGGTGATGGCTGTGATCATCGGGTGATGGCCATGAAGTGCAGAAGCACTGGAGCGCGTGCCGATGATATGAACCGTTACTCCACCGGTCCTTGCTATGTCTAGCATGGCCCTTTCCTTAGGTGCCCCATCACATGCCCAAGTGCATGCTCTATAGTCTATGTCTGGCCAGCTAGTTATGTCAGCCACTGGTCTCATGTGTATATGACTATCAGTCCAACCTCACCGCCACTTTGACAAAGCGGGACACCCATACATAATAAACTGAATACAAGACCGGTTACGGTGTCCTTCGTATGAGATGTGTACGAGTGTCTTGGTGCAAATCAGGGAGTAGTAAAATACCGGTATTTTACTACTCCTGGCCCTAATTAGTACACCGCACTGTCCTGCTGGGTGTGGGACGGTTCGACAGTGTATGTACATCAGCGTTTATGTATCGGTGGCACTGACGACAAGTGCCCCTTGATGATCTGCTGTGATTTAGTAGTCAGAGTAACTACATGGACTTGTAATCTGCTTGCTTGCTTGCTTTCAGTGGTGCCCAGTTCGGAGAGTCCAAAGTCGGTGTGTGCCGTGGGCATTGATCTTGGTACAACCTACTCCTGCGTCGCGGCATGGCGAAATGGCCGAGCCGAGGTGCTGGAAAACAGCATGGGTGCCCGCACCACTCCGTCCTGGGTGGCCTACAAAGGAAAGGATGTCCTCGTGGGTGAGGCGGCAGTCTCTCAAGCGGTAGGTGTGTGTTGCTCCTTGTTGTCAGTGCATCCCTAGCAGTGCTCATTGCAAGTAATTGCACATTGCAGTCTCTCTGCGTTTTTCTTTGTTTTGACCTCACATAGTATGATATCTTCTACCATAGTAGCATACATGTACAGTGCTGCTCAATGAAATCCAGTCACATTGCTCAAGTACACGCCGGGTGTTGCGCAGCCCTAGACCTCCAGACACTGTCACTGGGCTGCGAAATGGTGCAAGGCGCAATTTTGAGTGACGCGACTGGATTTCATTGAGCAGCACTGGACATGCACGTGTGGGTGTACATGTAGGTGGGAGGCGTGCGCTTGCGTATTTTAAAAGTGTCTGTGTGTGTACATGTGTGTGTACATGTGTGTGTACATGTGTGTGTACATGTGTGTGTACATGTGTGTGTACATGTGTGTGTACGTGTGTGTGTACATGTGTGTGTACATGTGTATGCACGCGTGCACATGCGCACACACATACACACACACACACACACACACACACTTACGCATACGCATACATAAGCATTCACGTATGTGTTCAGGACTTCATGCACAGTCTTGGATGGACAGATGTAGCAGATATATGATTGCATATTCAATCTGCGTCATTCAGATGTACGTGTCTTGCTTGCTTTCGTGTGTGGTTTCACAGGCTCGCAACGCTCCCAACACGATATTCGATGCAAAGCGCATGATAGGGCGTCAGTAAGTCTTCACTGTGCTCCGAAAGACGGCAGGATGAGATTTCTATGCTGACTCCTATACTTCACTGCTTCTCTGTATTGTTGTAGATACGTCGACCAAAGTGTGCATGAATTCTCCAAGTTATGGCCGTTCTCAGTTGTCGACCGCTCGGGCAACTGCTGTATGAGAGTCGAGGCGGATGGACAGGAGAAGGTATGGCTGATATTCCCCCACCAGTACATGCTCTGGTGGAATTAAGCAAGGCCTTGGATTGCCACGGCTGCTCTGCACTAGGGAGAATAACATCTACATGTATAATTGGTCATGGTTCAGATGTGATCCGAGGAAATGCGCTGTGACTGCAGTAATACTGTAAACCGCTAAATAATATTCGCGGCGTAGAAATGCTCACGTTTTTTAAGATCGCGACGGTTAAACAATGTGAATTCCTATTTACTAGCTTCTGCGGAAAACTATACTAGTGTACGGTTTTGTGGATTGCTAGACTCGCGAAAAATATGCTTCGCGAACTGCTCCACTTTTCTGAATCATGAAAATGTTGTGTAGTGAACACCAGGTGGTTGTTAGTAGACGAAATTTGGAGCAATCCTGATCATAATGGGATCTTGAGTTTGATCGATTGTATGATGCTGAATCAGTGAAATGTCCATGTAGCAACCATCACCCATGCACTGTTTAGTCACTTTAGTGTAACCCTGATCTAACCTGAGCTGCCTATTGGTGACAGTGCAGGATGTAGTGGTATTGGTGCATAATTACATTTATCACATGGCACGTGATTGTTGCCCGTACTCCAGCGAATCAGCACCTTTCGCGCCGCGGGCAATAATATGCGATATTGCCCGCAAAAAAATAGTTTATTTGCCCGCAAAAAAATAGTTTATTTCAGTGATCGCGTGACTACGACGACTCTGTAGACTGTACGAGTCGACTCTACGACGAGTCGCAGTGTAGCATTGAGACGAAGATGGAATTCTTTTTGGAGATGGACATCCCGGCAATGGACATGGCCTCGGACGTCTGCCGTGTGGTGCTTGCAGGGATCATTTGTTCAGTCATGTTGGCAGCCTGACCGTCGGTAAGCTTGTGGATAAGATTCAGTTCTGCTCGAAGTGGTACTGTGATCACAAACTATTATTTGAAATAACACAAATTCAACTCAGCGTCGTGCGTTTTCAAATCCTCGCAAAGTCACTGCCTGTGTGTGGCCTTCATGTGCCACGCAAAACTCTTACCAGGCTCATCTGTCCTCTGCCTTCACCTTTGCTTGAACAACAAACACAACAATTCAGGAATGTTTTGCAATGAAAAATACAGCTATCTGGAGCTGAAAAAAAGAAGAAAAATTGTCCTCAGAATTACACACCAGGGAGTCGTCAAATACTTGCACTTGTTCCAGTACTGTATTTGACAACTTCCTGATACACATGTAAACATGAAGAAACTCTTTGTGGTAGCACTCTTAATTTTTCAACTGAAATTATGATTCTGCTGTATTTTATTGTCGTTGCCATGTCTATTGCTATGACGATGCGGTGCCGGCACTTTTTTTCTGTCTCCGTCTTTCAGTACTGTATACTCTCTGATGGCCTGTAGCAGACTTTTTGTTAGGGTGTAGGAGAAATATCTTCATTTTTCCTGTTTTGATAATGATAGCACATCTATATACATTGTGGTCATAATGTGTTGGCATTTGGGCTAATTTCAACAGCAGCCCAATGGTCTGCTCTGTGGGCCATGTGATAAATTTGTTATCGCATGGTTGCTGCGGGCCTTATGGCATATTATTGCCCCTCGAGACATAAATGTCTGTCACGACTCGTTTTCTACATTACGTCATTTTCATGTAGCTGCGCGTGCAGGCCGCGACATTCGCTACATGAAAATGACGTAATGTTGAAAACGAGTCGTGACAAGACCCTATCGTGCGTTGCACACTCTGGGGGTTATGGACTCTTGCTAGTACGGGGCAATAATATGCCATAAGGCCCTTGCAACCATGCGATAACATATACGTAGTCGTCCTCTCTCTAATCCGGCACTTGTTTATCCAGCACCCTTGCAAACCAGCACACTTTCTGGAAAAACGGATTTTTTCAGTTCATTTTCTACGCTTTAATCCGGCACTTGAATTCTGCCTCCAGCAGCGATTTTCTGCAACAAATCACTCAAACTGTACATAATTCGATTTTCTAATCCAGCAGTTGTACATCGCATACTGTCAGGGACCATTGTAACATACACTTGGGAATATCCTATGCTAGTGCATAAGATATTCCCAAGTGTATGTTATAGACATGCATTCCACAAAGTACTTGGATTGACACAGAAAATCCCTACGTTTTGACGTACGACACAAACATGTATGTTAACATGTGTGCCGGGTTGGAGGGCAGGATTTGATAATCCAGCACCCTTGTTTATCCAGCAGAAAATGCCGTTGCAAAAGGTGCCGGATTAGAGAGGGACGACTGTATATGACTTGTTGGGTGAACAAAGGTTGTGGCTGATAGCGTGTGTGCCTTTCTGCTGATGTGTGCCGTTTCGCAGGTTGTGTGTCCTGAGGAAGTGTCTGCACGCGTCCTAATGAAAATGAAGCATGCGGCCGAAGATCGCCTTGGCTGTCAAGTTGAGTCAGCCGTTGTGACCGTGCCTGGTAAATTGATGTTTGTTCCATTTGTGCTGACATTCATCTCATCGTTTAGTTCTCTTCGAGTTGTAGACGTGTTGTTGCTATACTTCAGAAGTACTTGTCCTGAACTACTACTTACATTTGGGTATTGGTGTGCGTGTGTGTGTGTGTGTGTTTGTGTGTGTGTGATTGTGTGTGTCCGTATATGTGCATGTGTGTGTCCGTATATGTGCATGTGTGTGTCTGTATGTATGTGTGAATGTGCTTGACCGCACAGCCTACTTCAATGATGCCCAGCGTCAGGCCACTGTTGATGCCTGTTCTATAGCTGGCCTCAGGGTAGAACGAATCATCAATGAACCCACGGCTGCTTCATTGGCCTATGGTCTTGACAGAGGTTAGTCATATGGATGGTATCCTGCTAATTTGAACTCAAAGTGCTGGGAAAACTTCCAATTCACATATCCGGACATTCTAGTTATCCCAACATGCACCCACTTGTACACTAACTCTTGTAGTACGTACTTATACTTCCTCCCTTCTTGCATGCCGCCCCTATGTCTCCACATTGACATCCTGGCGAATACTTGTAGCCTGGGTGGGGTGGGGGGTGGAGAGGCATTAAGCTTGTTCCCACTGTTCTCTCTCTCTCTCTGTCTCTCTCTCTCTCTCTCTCTCTCTGTCTTTCTGGGTCATCGTGTACTGGCAGTGCAAGATGATACACATCGTAATCTGCTTGTCTACGACCTGGGCGGTGGCACACTGGATGTGACGGTGCTGGAGGTGGAGGGCACGGTGTTTGAGATTCGCAGCACATCTGGTGACATGCAGCTGGGTGGCCAGGACTTTGACAGCAATCTCGTCAATCACGTTATACCGCAGGTGTGTGTGTGTGTGTGTCTTGCCATGCCTTGTTGGGCACAGCACATGTTGGCATGCATTGGCAGTGTTCTCTGTGTGTGTTGCCTAGTCCTCTTGAGTATGATGTGTGTCGGTGACATAATGTAAGTCCACAAATTTTCGGCACATTTAGATTTCATCCTCTGAGGGTGAAAACACAATCATTTCAGCCGCATTAAAATTTCAGCCTGTACTGCTGCTGCCTGTATATGATGTCATATATACTGTGCCTTACAAGCAAAATTTCAGCCGTAGCAAATGTTAACTTAAGCCTACAAGGCCAGGGCCGAAAATATGAAAATAGTTGAAAATAGATATGCGCCGAATATTTGTTGATTTACAGTATCTCATTCGGATGCAGACAACGTGTCTGTTGTCTGTACAGGGACTTTGATCACATGCTAGCACTGATGCTTCTTGTAACGAATGAATGCTTCCCTTGACGGGCGTGCTCTACCCTTTCCGGCTCGGATCAGTTCGCTAGTTCCAGCCTCGCACCAATCCTTCTGTACTTGCAAGTACAGTGCAACTCTGCTAAGACGTACCCGCAACAGGAGCAGGAAAGTGCACTTAGTATCCAAACGTACATGTACTTCAATACTGGAGCTACACACGCATACCCCAGACAATGTCCATACTGAGCAAGTGTACACACCTCTTATCAGAGTACCTACTAGGTAGGTACTCTGATGTGCAGGGGCTGTTTAACTGTTGAAAGTTGAGTTGTTGGTGCTGATTATGTCCATGTACATCTATGTACATCCATGTCCGTGTATGTGGCTGTATGACTGCTACGCGGAGCAGGTGGTAACAAAGTGTGGCTGTTCGGAAGAGGAGTTTCGCGCCAACAGCAAGGCAGTGCGGAAGCTGCGCGAGGCCTGTCAGAAGCTCAAGCACACCTTGTCACACTCTCTTGAGGTACGGCTCCAGTACGCATACTGCCGCTTTGCTACATGTATATTGACGCTGCATGCCAAGCCGATTCAAGAGCACAGGATCTGAGCGCTGTGCAACTCCCCACATGTACATCCTACTTGTCCGCGATCATCGCATGTTGTGCACGATTCATTATAATTATAGTGTCCCTATTGTTTACCCTTTGGTGAACAGGTCCAGCCAAAACTCACTCCTTTGCTAGCTTGTGAAGTTTGTGTAATGCAAAAGTATGCATGTACATGTATCACAACAGTAGAATTTGTTCCTTACTTACATGCTACATAACAGTTATGTGTGGTCCAGACGTGTTCACACGCGAATGGTTCTAATGGTACTGTCCTCTCTCACGTGCACTGTGAACTACTAGTAACTAGAGTCCCTGCTGTTGCCTGCATATTCTGCAAGGACGGCTCCACAGGCATACAGTGTAATTTGTGCTCTCGTGTTGAGTCAGGCTCCACCGCTTCGACACTAGCACAGTGCAGGCAATGTGTGTTTGTTTGTTTGTTTTTATTTTACTTCACCAGATACACAGGCATCTCTGCCTTCTCGTCTAACCGTACGGCTACACTCTCAATATACGATGAAGAAGTGTGTGTTTTCTGTCTGCTCGTTCTCCATCTTTCATGTGCAGGGCACGATAGAAGTGGATGCACTGTACGGCGGTGAAGACTTCGACTCCAGCCTGACGAGAGGCGAGTTTGATGCCATCAATCAGCAGCTGTTAGACCGCAGTCTCCTACCTGTGGAGAGAGCGCTGGATGATGCTGGCATGAGTAAAGATGAGGTAGGGTTCGTGTTGTTGCTTTATACCTTGTGCATCACATCCACTTGTATTGCTGAGGGAATATTATGCTGGGTTGTATTCATGGATCCCTATATTGCATGGGCCACGCATACTCATCCGGCGGATATGTGTGAATATCATATAATAGTCACATCCACTTCTCAAGGCTGGACAAGGTACGTGTATGGTTAAAGTAACTTGAATGCTATGATTTCAAATTTTCAATATTGTTGTGTTGGAATTTGCTCATCTCAGACCTTTTTTGTCTTTATTGTTGCTGGTCAGGTGGATGAGGTCGTCCTCATTGGTGGATCAACTCGAATTGTAGCTGTTCAAAATTTACTGGAGGCGTACTTCCCAGGAAAGGTGTGTTTGTAGTTATGTAAGATCAATTAAAGGTATTATGTGCTTTACTGTGCAGCTTATACCGGTAGGTTTGCAGAGAAGAGCTCCCCAGATCCCTGGCATTGCTACCATGAATACCTCGACTATGATTCCTTACCCTCCGACTAGTATTTGTGTAGCTAAAATTTCTGTCAAGTGTCAACACAGTTCCTTTCTTCTCACAACAATAAGACAAGACGTTTCCTAAGAACTCTCCAACGCCACTGCAGCGTTTTGTGGAGTGGGGTGCTTACAAGTAGAATGATACAAGCTGTGAATAATTCATCCAGATGCTGTTGATAACTACATGTAGTACTTCGAATAGGTGAACTCAGTGCCACACTAACAATGTTGCTAATGGGTATGGGGTAACGTTTTCATTTGCTTGTTGCACAGGCGTGATGTTGTTGTGTCACTGTGTGTTTGTGTTGACCAGTCTCTCAGTAAGCGCATCAACCCAGACGAGGCCGTGGCGATGGGTGCGGCCATCCAAGCCGCTAACCTTACTCTGTCGTATGACCAGAAGAAAGGTTCCGTGCGAGACGGACGCTTGGAAGGACTGACTCTGGTACGTGCATTGTGTTGGGAATAGAGTGGTTTCACATCTTTGTCATGTGACTACGTTTGTGCAGAAAGTGATCATGGCATGTGGATTGTGGACAGTGGAACCAACATGGCCGACATCATGTGACCCATAGATGCAGGGATTGAGTGTAGTTGGGTGGGTGGGTGGGTGACTGTGTGTTTGTGACTGTGTATGTGTGTGTGACTGTGTGTTTGTGACTGTGTGTTTGTGACTGTGTATGTGTGTGGTGTGTGTGTGGTGTGTGTGTGTGTGTGTGTGTGTGTGTGTGTGTGTGTGTGTGTGTGTGTGTGTGTTCATTATGGCTGGCAGCATGGACAATGAGATGCAGTATTGTGTAAAGTCACTTGGGCTGCGTTTGCTGGTACTGATCAGTGAATTTGGTGAGCTGAGAACAGCTGTGGCTAATGCCGTCCATTGATTGTTCCTTCTCCGGGCTCATGCTTTGCATGTCCTCTTGAATGCCTTATTGTAAGCGAAACATTTTGTCCTCACACTTGCTGTTCTCATTGGTGTTTGTCCTACAGATGGATGTCTTGCCACACAGTCTTGGCATTGAGCTAGCGAACGGTAACATGAGTGTTGTCATCAAGCGTAACACAACCATTCCGTACAAGCACACACGCACCTACTACAACAACGAGGACGACCAGACGGAAGTGGACGTCGAGGTACGGTCACCAGCACCCATTGCCACCTCTACTACTTGTGTTAGCACCAGGCTGTAGGCTTGTGTGGAGACTCGAGAGAATAATACTCTCGTTAGCGTTGGTGTACTTCCAAGTACTTCGAAGTAGTGTTATTGTTCATTGCGTACTAAAGGGTCCCTCAACTCAAACACTCCAAAAAAATGTGTACGGTACATAGATTTTCTCGTATCGACCCATTTTCAGCATTTCAGTTTCCTTTGTGTTCATTGTTTGTCATAGGTGTTTGAGGGTGAGGAAAAGCGTGCAGCAAATAACAGGTGAGTATCCTAGTAAGGTGTACATGTATTGCAAAGTCTTTGATTCATTGCCTTGCGTTTTTCTAAATATGCAATCTAATGTGATTGTCCCATTCCAAGTGATTGCAACTTTTATTGACTCCTGGTGTGTCTAATCTGGCACCTGGCATGCTCCTAGTGAGTATTTATTGACTTTATTCTTCTGCTTTCTCTTCCAGACTACTGGGAAAGTTCACTCTACCAGGCATCCCGCCACGTCCTCGTGGAAAGGTATGCTGTGATTGTTATCTGTGTTCGGATTTATGAAATCTTTGCCGACGGGAATTATAAACGCTGTTTGGTTCGTGCGTGACTTAGTGGCTGCATTCTGCCTGTAATTATTCCCAACGCTATGCAAACGACGTTGCAATAGTGGCGTCTGGCGCTAGCCAGGGTCCACGGCGCTTTATTTCGTATGTTTGTGCAGGATGCCCTATGCAGCCTGCCCCATCATTGGGGGGGGGGGGGAGCTGTGCAAGATGCTCCATCACCGTGAACCTGTGCCAGATCCATACATGTGGAGAAAAAGTTCAAGAAATGCCGAGAATCGGAAAGTGAGGAACAAGCAACCTACTGTAGTTTGAGTTTGAGAACTTGGCTTGCTATCCTGAAAGGCAATCATGCCACCCCTGACATTGTTGGCTTGTTCCTAGTGTTGTCAACGGCGAATTTCCCTCTTGATGCTGTGCAGGTGAGAATAGATGTGACATTCTCCGTGGACGAAAACAGCATTCTGGAGGTATCGGCGGAGGCAGCGGGAGAGGACGCAGCTCCGGCAACTCTTGTAATAGAGAAAGAAAAGGTGAGGGTTCGAATCTACCCATGGTGTACTCATCATAGTCAGGATTGCCGATTGGATGTAGCGACATTGGTGATAATGTCATGGGTCTAACAGTCTTTACCAGGCTAGTACAATGTAGTAGTAGAGTTTGTCCAATCAATTGTCCACCCGTTGCAGAACCAGCCGCACAGTGTTCTATCAAGGCAGAATATTGTCCATGCGTGTGTTGGAAACCAGCCGATGATGCTCCAATGCAACCGGCAGTAAAGTCCATGATGACCAATACGCATAAGCAGTGAGCACTGTTGCCAGCACTACATCCGATCTCTCTCTCTCTCTGATCATGCCACTGATGTGCTTTGCTCTTCCAGGGTCTGCTCGGTCAGACAGAGCTGGACGAAAAGATTTCGGAAGCACGCCGGTGGGAGGAGACGTGCCGAACGAAGCGACTGAACTAGCTGCTGTGAATTGTTCGGGCGATGGGTTCACACGGAACCCTCCCCTTCCATTCCAGCTAAGATCTAACTCTTCAACCATCACCAGGAAGTTATGCTGTGAACAAACTGGCAAAGCTTCTTCACTATTTAGTATTTTCGTTTCAAATTGTAGCATGGCACTCCTGATACAAGTATTATTTTCCGCCGATTGCCCAAGCAGATGTTTCGCTGCGTGGCTTCCTTGTCACATCCAGAGCTGGCTCTGATGTGATAATGATTATATCGATTTCCTGCTGCTCTGCACCCCTGTGTCATGTGCAGACCCTTCTCTTGCTCTCTCTCTCTCTCTCTCTCTCTCTCTCTCTCTCTCTCTCTCTCTCTCTCTCTCTCTCTCTCTCTCTCTCTCTCTCTCTCTCTCTCTCTCTCTCTCTCTCTCTCTCTCTCTCCTCTCTCTCCCTCTTTTCCTCTCTCTTGATGCTGAACTTCTCTTCGGAAATTTTTGATTTATTTATATACAGCATCTGTGCTGTGCAATTCAACAATGTTCTTATTTTTTCCATGTTCTCACTCACACCGTTGGAGTTTGAAATCAATGACAAGTCTTCGTCATGAGTATCCGTCTGAGTAAAAAGGGAATGGAGAATAAATGCAGAATACGATCATGTCTAGCTCCCAACGACCCTAGCCTAGCCCCCCCCCCCCCCCGGTTATTGTATACACAGGGGCGTAAGCGGACCGCTTTTTTTTAACACAATGCCAAAGTGCCCCGAAGTATGTAATCAAGCACGCTCAGGAGGTCATGATGGCTGAATCTTGCCCGAGCCTGCAGCCCAAGGGCCGTAGGCCCGAGGGCTGCAGGCAAGGGCAAGATTCAGCCTGGCCCTGCCACCATGACAGACAGAGCGTGCTTGATTTGATTACTGACAGCGCGAAGCAACATATTAGGGAAGGTCAAAGGTCGAAAAATTATTCACGAAATGACGTCAAACGGTCCTGGCATTCCCGAAATGACGACAAACGGTCATGAAACTCCCGAAATGACGTCAAACGGTCCTGATGGCCTGATTATGCCCGCGGCGGGAAGACCGCCTATTGGCCATGGCCTTGGCAACGATCACGTGTCAGGTAAGAATGCAGGATTTTGCACCCTAATTTCAAAAATTTCCCAGGTGACACCCCGACCCGCGGACCACCTCCAACGGCACCTGATACATCAAATCAAGAGTCCATGTTTATGGACTCTTGATCCGGCACATGTACGGATAGTATACTACATCATGTACCAAGAGTATAATAACCCCCCCATTCTTGTCCCAAACCGGATCGATCATGCAGCGTCTTTAGTCCTTCGCGTAGGGGATGGCCCACGCCTGGTAAAAAGAATAAAAATAGAAAAGATCAGCTCAATCAATCACTGCTTGTAATAATTGTAGTGTATACGCATGACGTAGAAGTACACGTGTCAACGGTGTCATGATGTACAGGTAGTTTTGAAATAATTAATTGAAGCCAAAAAAATTTCAATAAAATCGGCAACACCCAATGCAATTACCGGTATGGACTTGATAAAGTTAGTTTGCAGTGATGATTGAATGCCTGTTTGTCCTCAGCAGCCTTCTTCCAGTTCCTGTAGATTAATCGTTTTTGCCCGAGGATAGAGCATAACTCTCAACATCTCCATAATTTCTATTGCGAAGTGGAGTCTGTATTTCGCTGGGGATCTTAGTTGCGATCTATCAAGATGACTGAAGAAGAATCTCTGCTGGAATTTGCCATTTCGATGCCCTTATTCCTGACGTTCTCTTTAATGTCCCTTTGTCTGATTACATCTCTGTTCTTCGTGGGTAAGTCAGTGTGGCAATCATCCTCTTGCTTCAACTTTACATTTGATAGTGCTGTTTGTTAGGTTGGAGTTGCACATAATTATTATAATCACCCCCTTAGAAAGTGTGCTATATGCATATTAGTTGTATGAGAGCCAGGTTTTCTTGACAATACGTATCTATTATGCTGACCTTTCATACAAACTTCCAGTCAACTTGCCCATCATGCTGGCGGTTTATACTGGGCATATAAACCTCATACCTCATACAAACCCCATATAGACCACCATACAAACTCCTTTTTAGAAACAGGAAGAAGTTGACTGTCAGTTTGTATGAAGGTCAGCATAAGTATAATACATCCCACTAGTACGCTTGTACGTGAAATATAAACCATCATACAAACCTCGGCTTCGCCTCTGTTTGTATGTCGGTTTATATTTCACGTACAAGCGTACTGTTGGGTTGTATTATAATATATACATATTGACTGAGTACGAGGTCAATATAGGAAATATAAGCCGAGTAAAAGACGAGGCGAAGCCGAGGTCTTTTACGAGGTTTATATTTCCTATACTGACCAAGTACGAAGTCAATATTAGATTTATCACGACAAATAGTCCGTATTTCAAATTCCAGAACGATGACCTCATGAATCCCGGTTTTATGATTGCACAACCGTTGCACCATCACCCACTCATACAGTGACCATGCTGCACTAGGCACCGTTCGACTGCGGAACTCATAAGCAGTCAAATATAAGCAGTCAATATAGCCCTAAGGAGTGAAATATGCAGGAATATTTGACTGCTTAGGTATGGCAAAAATCTATAGGAGTCAATACTAAGGGAGTGATAATGTGTTGTTATTTTACTTCTTGCACCATCTGTTGTGTATGTCTGAGAAACGGTTTGAGTGTGTGTGTACATGGATGCGTGTGCGTGCATACACATGTGTGTGTGTGTGTGTGTGATGTGCTGGTACACACTCATTTTCTGCCTCCAGGATGGTACCTGCTATACAAGTTTGTCCTGAGCCGACACTTTCCTTTTCTGAAAGGCTTCGTGCAAGCCTTGCTAGGCACACAAGATGAAGAAAGACCGACATCCAAAACCCTAGAGAAGGAGAATTCGCATAAGAAGGAGCAGTAGTGCTCACATTGCTCTTACACAGTAGAAAGCCAAGTGCAAGTGTGTGTCAGTTATCAGGCACCATCAGGTCCAGGCGCGGGCGAAAAATGGATATTCTAGATAACAGAGCTACATCTTCTGTTACCACATCAAACGAACTGTGATGCGTGAGTGTATCTGTGATGTGTGCGATGTGTGCCTTCTTAGCACCGAGGCATTCATCGTGTTCATCTACACGAACAGGTTGTGTTGTGCTTATCTATGTATTTCTTTCATTCTCTTCTTTCTGTACATACTGACTTATACACGGAAAGTTGGGTGTGGTCCTCGAAAGAGTGCTCAATGCACCGGGGTGCAGAGCTTCATACAAAAAGAATAGAATGGGATACGGAGCTTGGGTTGCATGCTGACAGAAGGGTGAACATCAACAAGCGATCGGAGCTAGTGGCCAAGTGCAGACATGAGAACAAATTCTACCTATCTAACTTCACACCTCCAGTTACATAAACCAGGATTACACCTGATGTCTGGCGCTGATCTTGCAAGTACATGCATAGAATCACCGCTTGACCTTATTTGCGCTTAAATTCTCTGATTCCACTAGCACCTTTATACCACACTATATCAAGAACATTCATTGAGTTTTTGTAATCACTGCTGTCTGATGATCGCCACAGGCGTGAAACTCTGAGTCACAGCCAACCCAAGCTCCGTATCCCATTCTATTCTTTTTGTACTGACTTATATGATTGTACAGTCATGTAATGCTGCATAAAGCCAACATTCACGATATTCACTGTCCGCATTGCTTGAAGTAGGACCGCAGATATAGTGCAAGAGCTATCAGTGCACTGTCGCTTGAGCAACATGCAGCTGTAGCTGCAGTACTGCCATCCTGCCTTGTACATGTGGCAGCTAACTGTACAAAGCTGGCTTATTCTATGTCACATTGAACATCAGATTCAACAGATTGGTATCTTACTCTCTTACTCTCTAACGGTTCGAATTTTCCACTTGCTTATTTCCATTGGACCTTCACACCAAACCTTGACAGTCTTTTTTTATGTTGTGTTGTGGTCGTTGTTGGTGGTGGTGGTGGTAACATAAAAAAAGATAAAATTCTAAATTCTACCACCGCCTAGAGTAAAGAGGGTCCGAACCGGGGTTTTCCCGATACAGTTCAAATGGTCGCAAGACCGGGACTCTGCCAACCGGGTTATGGTTGTAGTCAGGAGCACTATGCGTCCTCGCCTTGTAACATGCTGTCGAAATCGAACCATGCTTGTAACGTTCGTTACATATCGTAGGAAAGCTACCATGACACTACCAGCTTCAGTTCTACCAAGAGGCCTGGCTATTCTGCATGGGTGTCTGTCACCGTGGAATTCCTGGATTACATCATACAGTAGAGTGCCGATTATCCACACCCTTCGGGTGCGGGCTGTCTCAAGGGGGTTCGGATAAGGAGCAGCAACACATCCATCTACACATGCATATCCCCTCATGTTTTCATCATTGCTCATTTTATTTTCTTCACCAGTACTGGAGAAGTTAGACACAATCCAGCTCCTCTAAATGACGCTTTGGAGCAAGGAGTAGTACAATACCATGCACTATTCCCTGCTTTGGAGACCCATTTTGACGTAAACTTGTAGCCAGACATCCAGTGCACCATTTGGGTAGTTGGCGTTCGGATAATCGGCATTCTTCTGTAGTTGATGTAGATATACGCAGCAGTAAGTGGCTTAGTGCAGGGAGCCCTACACATATGGCTCCCTGGCAACGGCTGCAGTTGTGCAGCAGGAGATCTGCTTGAATCCTGCTTGTACGCTCGTACGCATTACATAGCAAAAGGATGTAATCCAGGGATTTCGCCGGGACAGTAACCCATTCAAGCTGCACAATGTAGGTTCTACAAGTCTTTAGCAACAACAGACTGGTGAATCGTACCTTATTTACTGGAACTTCATCTCCCCATACCCCGCCCCAGCCCACCCCGTCTCTCTCTCTCTCTCACACACACACACACACACACACACACACACACACACCATGTACCACCATGTACCACCATGTATACCCCCATCGCAAGAGAAGCAAGCAAATCTGCAAATGCACTGGATGTGCACCCACAGATTTTCTCTTACAGCAACGATAGCGGACAAGATCTGAATGAGACAGATCAAGACTAGTGCCAGATAACTGTCCAATCCACACAACCTGCGAAGCCATGTGAATCGACCACCAATGCACACCTGGTCTACACCAAGACAGTTATCTATGCACACCCTACACTTGCTGACACACACACACACACACACACACACACACACACACACACACACACACACACAGAGGAGTGGAATAGCTGTAACGCTCATAAGTCTGATTCTCGAGTATATCCGTGATGGGCTGGCCGGTTAAGTCGTGAATGCGTGAAGGTTTCGTCCAGGGGATGCAAGCCACGCGGTGCTGGATCGATAACCTATATATGCAGGAGAACGAGTACAAATAACAACAAATTTAATACCCGGTGACAAAGCTAGAACACAGTCATGCCTGTAGCAATCATAGTACCAGTGAACGATCCAAAGTGACTGGTCAACGTCATTATCAACTACTGTTTGATCACAACCAGACGAGGAACCGTCCGCAGCCAGACAGGTCGCCAGAACCGGCCAAACCGACAACCAGCTATCGACGTATGCCTCAGGTCAAGATTCTGCCTTGGCAGAGCGCAGTGACACAAAATCGGTTGGCCAAAACTCCTGCTTACCGAACATAGTTTCCACTAAGAAACAAAAAGAGAACATTTCATTTCAATAACTCAGAAGTTGCGACGGACTCGGCAATTTGAAAATAATTAAAAACTGTTGACCTATAAATAATTGTACTCATTCCTTTACTGCTATTTATTCGTTATCTACCTCCACGGAGGAGCTCTCTGGAGGATATGGAACATCTATCCAGGAACGAACTACCTCGCTATGGCGTGGTGAATGTGGGCCAAGAGAGCACAGTGGAGAGGTGGACAGTTTCAAAAGAGAACATTTACCGATGATATACGGACACTGCAACTCAATACTTTCCCAAGCGAAAGCAGAGTTTGTTAGGACTAGGCCATGACTCTGCAAAGGCCAGCACTAGAAACTGATTGGCTGCAGCAGCAATATCAAACCAAAATTATTGCACTGCCCTTGCACAATCATGCTGAGTTGATTTGCACTGGACAGAGTAGTAGACCCCTGAACACCAAACACACGGACTACTTACATCAACGACAACATGCTTGGGTGCCCGCTGCTGTTCCGGGTTCTTGATGCCGCGTATGAGAACAAAGTCTCCCAGGATGCAGCGGTTGTAAATGTCGCGGGCATAGTACGTATCCCTGGCTCTGTAGTACTGCGCAAGCAAAGATGGAACACCACAACAGCACAGTAACTCCCTGGGTCCATTCAGCAAACTGCTTTAACGTTAGTCTCCATGAAGGTCTGTTGCACCAGGTACCCTGCTCTGCTATGCGCAACTATGACCACGAGGACCGCTATGCTTCAGTTTTCACAGACACCTATTGACAACTTCAAAATAATAACTCATATGCGGCAAGAACAAAGTCTGTTTATAGGAGCTGTCCACAATCAACAATATGAATCATTAATGTTTTTACATGAAATGAAAAAAGTTTCGTTCATGAGTGGGTCGGTCGAGGAGAGTTTCATTTTGAAGAATATTGCTAAAACATCAATCCATTCTAGCTGTCAAGTCAATATATATATTTTTCCGTTTAGGAGGGTGGGTGAGCGGGGGAGGGTCATGCCTAAAAAAATTCATTCCGTGGAATTACCGGATGCCAGATGGCCCCTTATCTGAGAGCATCAACATTCAACTATAATTGTACATTAGAACCAGGCTGCGATTTAAGATAAGGCCAAAACAAATAATGACCTTGTTTCCGGTCGCCCGACCGGGCCACTTTTTCCCAAATTCTGAAACTTTTTTTTGGTCCCAAATGTATACAATCGGTGGCCAACGAGTCATAACTCAGTCAAATCTCAACCGAATTCCACAATCGAAACACCCACAAGGTAGCAGAGATTCTCAGTTGTCGGATCGAAAACCTCCGGGGTCGATACGAGCTAGAATAACGGAGCTGGAAGGACTCGAACTGTTTGCTTGATTTCTCAGGATGTACGAAAACAGGAATACACCACATGCTGTACAAGAACAGTGAGTCAGGCAACTTTGACATTGATCCTTGCCATGATATATGTACAATGTACATGTGTAGGTGCTCTTGTCCATCAATACCAGGAACCAAAAAAAGTATCCAAAAAAAGTTTCATTCCGGCCGACCGAGTCTCCTTTTTGAGGGGTTGCCGACCGGAAACAAGCCTATTTTTTGTTTTGGCCTAAGGATCAGCTGCCAGATGTATTTCTTATTTTGCGCAGTTTACAAAATGGGAAATACACTTTGTGCATGTGTCATTCGAAGTCTACTGCTTAATTGCTCATGGGTCGACCTCTAAATCAATTGTTCTGGGCACATATATGTAGGCATGTATTCCCACATACTAGCTCCAAATATCTAGGCCAGCTCGTAGAGGATTCGATAGCAAATGCTGCTGTCTGATGATCGCTGAAACGTGTGATACTTAAAGTTACAGCTGCACAGCCTTTCGCCTCTGTTGTGTGTGTGTATACTTCTCTGCACATTTGTGCATTGAGCACTCTACCTTGAGCTGCCTAGATCAGCCTTGTTTGTGCCTAGCTTCCCTCTGGGTTGAGCACTCTTCCTGGTTGTTCGTGACCTAACGGAGAATGAATCGACCAAGGTTATTCAGCATCGACTACTCGATGAAGAACATCCCTCTACCTACTGAGCGAACCTAGAAGCTGAAACCGGTGGAGATGACTGAAAAACTCATCAGGCGAATGAGATGGAGGGCGTTTTCTTTACCAAGGGCAAGGATGAACAGGACAATTGCCAGGAGGAAACCTACGGATTCAAGACCAGAAAGTGCCCGCCGCAGCTAGATGATATGATCGAATTCGAGAAGGACCTCTGGAGTATGGTGGAAACCGTCAAGTGCTGCCGCGTTAACGACACGCTGCAGGAAAGGACAAGAGAGGACCTGCCCAGGATCAGGAGATCCGATGACATGCTAGTAGCTGCGGATAAAACAAGGAATCTGTACTCGGTGGACACAGATCTTTACAGTAAGCTTCTGACAGATAACGTGTCCGAGCACTATCGGCATGCCCCCCGATCATATCTACGATGACGTCAATGCCGAAGCCAAACAGATTGCAGATGATCTCAACATAGCTAACCGGTCCGAAACAATGGCAAGGAAAGATGCTTCCAAGACCATAAAGGAAACCTTCAGCAAAATACTCCATGCCGGCTGATCAACCCTCCTCAAAGCGACATTGGCCGAGTCAGTAAAATCATCATGGAGAGAACTATCCAGACAGTACGAACGAAACTCAATATCAATTCGTGGAAGAACACAACAGCAGTGATCGAGTGGTTCCGAAGATTGGAAAATAAACCCACATGCTCGTTCATCTGTTTCGATATTGCAAAATTGTATCCGTCTATATCCGAGGACCTCCGAGGACAAGCGCTTACTTTCACCACACAGAACACGGACATCACACAGCAAGATAGAGAAATCATCATGCACTCGCGGAAGTCCCTGCTTTTCAATGGTGATCGGGAATGGATGAAGAAAGACGGAAGAGGACTTTTCGACGTGACTATGGGCTGCTTTGACAGTGCAGAAGTCTGCGAGCTGGCCGGAACATACGCCCTGTCAAAGCTATCGGAGGAGTTCAACAGCGAGGACATCAGACTTTACCGCGATGATGGATTAGCGGCGCAACATCACATGGTACAACCCACCCTTTAGTAAGAACGCGGCCACAGACATCGGACACAAATTCCTCCGACTCTTCGACACGCACTTCCCTAACTGCTGCCGATTGCGTCAGATATTCAACGGCAACACCGTACCAGTTAGTTATTCTTGTATGCCAAATACATGTATGTCCGCAATAGTCAAATCCCATAATACCATGTTCAAAGGAAGAGACAAACGCAGGACAAGAACGTCCCCGACAAACGATGTAACTGCCAAGACAAAGGCACCTGCCTAATGGACGGCGACTGCCAAGTACGATGCATCGTGTACAAGGCAACAGTCCAGCACACTGGAAGAGAGCAGCGACATGAGTACCTCGGCCTTATGGAAAAAAAGGACGGAACTATCCAAGTGCATATGGAATATCTCAAACGGAAGAACACTCCGCACTCTGTCAAATGGGCCGTCGTCACCAAGGCCCCGGCCTACTCTAATGTGACCAAGAGGTGTGGTCTATGCCTGGCTGAAAACTGGAGATACTGGAAGCAGACAAAACGGTCAAAGTCAACAAGAGGTCGGAGTTGGTATCGAAATGCAGACACGAGAACAAGTATTACCTGTCCAAATTCTCACCATCAGATACATGGGTTGTTTTTCAACATGGCGCCACCTGTACCAGGCTTAGCTCCATGGTGCTTTCTCGCCCTCTTCACGCCTGCTATACTGCTAACCATGTTCTTGCACTGGTGTCACTATGTTCTTGCGCTACTGTCGCCATCGCCCCCCCCCCCCCCTCGATGACTCAGCAACACTGCCCTGTTACCGCCTCTATTCTCACATAATTATATCCGTTAACTCTCACAACTCCATAGCACTGTCCCATTGCTACGTCTACACTTCACACACGCACTAACTTCCACACTAGCTCCAAGTATCTAGGCCTGCTCGTAGAGGATTCGATAGCAAATGCTGCTGTCTGATGATCGCTGAAACGTGTGATACTTAAAGTTACAGCTGCACAGCCTTTCGCCTCTGTTGTGTGTGTGTATACTCCTCTGCACATTTGTGCGTTGAGCACTCTACCTCGAGCTGCCCAGACTGGCCTTGTTTCTAGGCATTTTATACCGCATGAACAGTGATGACATCCGTACACATTTTCAGGATGCAGCAGGCGCTTTCAAGCCACTTTTGGTGACTCACATACCGTACCTAAAAAGAAAGATAGAGCAGCACCCATTACGCTCAACATGTCTCAACACATCTCGTGTACTAGTACACACTTCATCATTGTGTACAAGTACTAAGGGGCCGTCCGTAAATATCGAACTTTTTTCACCAAACGAATTATTTTAGTTTAGATCCAACCCCTCCCTCCCTCCCCCTCAGAACGTAAAAATTGTTGACATATACATGCATATACAACAAAAGTCGCAAGTGTGTCACTGCTCCTATGGCAATGTACATGTATCGAAGTTTTCTGAAACGAATTTGGTCAACCCCCTCCCACCCCATAACGAAATTATTAATTTTCGTTTCGTGAAAAAAGTTCGATAATTACGGACGACCCCTAAGCTTAAAGGGGCACTCCGGGAATATTTTCGGTGGTGTGTTCTCTTCATGGGGGCCTTATATGGCTCCCAAGGAATGGGGAATCGCGAAAACTAGGCCCAAAAAGTCGATATATGAAGCTAGGGAGGGCCAAGTTTGTCTCCTCTTTTGATGGTTTTGATGACGTCACGTGTGATTAGTATTCAAATTCTCTGCATTTGAAGATCTTAGTTGTTTGAATTTTCTGGTGATGAAGAACGATGTTTGGTCAACATTCCCAAGCTTCACAATTGCGACCATACTCTAAGGAACCTGAAGGACCTCCTGAGGTGCCACTGGTAGAAGCGCAGCCTGATGACGGCCAGGAAATTGGAGCGGACGACTTCACTGGTTGACAAGGAAATAACGATTGGTGTTCCTGCCAGAAATGTGGGGTGATGCAGAGGGCAGTCGATTACCTTCGCTGTCGAGAGAGCGCTGCAGCTGTTAGCATTGACAGCCCTTTGACGTGCGTTACACATCACCCCGACTTCGTGTCAGCTTGTCTAAAAAAAACTGTTCTGACCATATGCCTCACGGCATATAGAGAATTTCGGGATCCTCGTACGCGGACCAGTGAAGTCGTCCGCTCCAATCTCCTGGCCCTCATCAGGCTGCGCTTCTACCAGGGGCACCTCAGAGGGTCCTTCAGGTTCCTTAGAGTGGGTCCGCAGTTGTGAAGCTTGGGAATGTTGACCAAACATCGTTCTTCATCACCAGAAAATTCAAACAACTAAGATCTTCAAATGCAGAGAATTTGAATACTAATCACACGTGACGTCATCAAAACCATCAAAAGAGGAGACAAACTTGGCCCTCCCTGGCTTCATATATCGACTTTTTGGGTCTAGTTTTCGCGATTCCCCATTCCTTGGGGGCCATACAAGGCACCCATGAAGAGAACACACCACCGAAAATATTCCCGGAGTGCCCCTTTAACTTGTTTGGCCCGTCAAGCGACGGCCGCACGATGTGTTTCCTGCACGCGAAATAATGTATGAATCAAGCTAACAGTCGGGGTGCGTTCTTATATTCTCTAGCTTCTCGGAGAAGAAGAAAACAGAATTCAAGAATGGGTCTCCAAGAATTTGGAGATATTTTGCACATGTCAAGCAATATGAGGCGCCAAATCTTGAGTGCCACGAATGTAGTATGCACTATGCGTATGCGAAAAGGGAAATGCGTACACTCATGATCAACACGTGGCCTTTACCCTAGTTCGCAAGCGCTGATCCCAAACCGCGGGAATCTCCAAGTTTCAACCACCTCTGAAGATTGGGGAGCTTTGGAGAGTCTCCTAAAATTCAGAGAGGATATAAGAACAGCTCTCGAACTTTTCGGAGAGTCTCCAACTTTTCCGAAAGGATTTAAGAACGCACCCTCAGTCTCATAACCAAACTTGTTTTACAAGAAAAATCGGGCAAAAGTCGTGCGTGGCTTCCACCCGAACATTCATTTTCGTACAAATACCAACTAAAATTTGGTACCGTATTATCTCTAATATAAGCACAGTCTCCAATAATAGCACGTCTCCAATAATAGAACACCTTGGGGCGGCATTCAAAAAATAAAGTGCTCAGTCTCCATTATAAGCACACTGTGTAAATTCATTATCTGTACCGGCGAAAAAACCCTGAAATGTGTGTGTCTGACATGAATTTGGCATGGCAACATTCCTCTGAAATGAGGTTGAAATAATAATGGAACAGTCTCCAATAAAGGAACGTCTCCATTAATAGCACGGGGCGGAGGTACATTGAAAAAATAAAGGACCGTGCTTACCGTAGTTCCGCGCATATAAGCCCATGGGCTAATATACGAAATAATGCATTTTCCGGGAAAAAAAAATCAGTAATAATGGTTCGTTTTTTAGCCCTGGGCCTATATTCGAATTGTGAAGGCAGCTTCGAGTACTAATTTTTTGACCCCGCCAGTCAAAGTGACTGGCATGTACGCTGATACGCGCTGAAAATTCCAACATGTTGGAAGTTCCATTTCGGCGCGTTTCCGTACGCATGGCGCCCCAAAAGCCAGCAAAAATACGCACAAACGCGTGGTTTCACGCGTACACGCGCCAGTTGTGAACACAGCTTTACACTCCAGTGCAGCTCTGACCCCAAAATACGGTATATACTAAGGGTGCGTTCTTAAATCCTCTCGGAAAAGTTGGAAACTCTCCGAAAAGTTCGAGAGCTGTTCTTATATCCTCTCCGACTTTTAGGAGGCTCTCCAAAGCTCTCCAAGCTTCAGAGGTGGTTGAAACTTGGAGATTCCCGCGGTTTGGGATCAGAGCATGCGAACTACGACTAAAATCCACGTGTTCATCATTAGTGTACGCATTTCCCTTTTTGCATACGCACACGTGCATACTACATTCATCACTCAAGATCGCGGCCCCTTTGGCGCTTCATTTTGCTTGACATGTGCAAAATATCGCCGAATTCTTTGAGACCCGTTCTTGAGTAATCCCAGTTTCTTCGACTTCTCTTTTCTTCTTCTCCTGGAAGCTAGAGAATATAAGAACGCACCCTACGTCTGAGGCAAAATCTGGAGACTGGCTAAAACTGGCTGACAATAATGATAATAATTATTGCAAGAAAAGGTTGAATTTTCATGCAAATAAACATTCTGATATAATTTTTTATAACGATTCTACGCACCTTCAGCACTCGAGTTTCAAACTTCAGCGTCTCTACTCGCACTTTTGCTATGTTCTTTTGCCTCGTTCCCACGACAAATCCTATCTTCATATCAGACGAATTCTGCATGTCCACTAGGTTCTCCTCAGAGCGTCTCAGCTGGAATCTTGGGGCATAAGGATGCCTGTGTGGTGGAATCTCCACCTTCGATAGGATGCCTATCGGGGCACGTCGCCCAATCAGCACTCGCCTACCTGTAGACCCAGACATCGCGAGCCTTCAAACCACAGACATAATTGAAGGAAGATATCTGAACATTGAAATTAGTTGATTGAATGCATGCTCAGAAATTTATTTGCTTCTTGTGTTCTACGTCATAATCAGTGAATAATTGTTGCACTCAGAATGCGAGATATATGCGTCACCATGGCATGCATGATGCACAATTATTTTTTAAATTTCTGCACAGTAAACATGGTAAATGGATGCTTCTACTTCTAGAAGGAAGATATAAAATTAATTCGAAGAACTACAATACCACTTGGAGTTGGGGCTGGTGGTAGGAGTCCTTATTACAATGTCATATTGGTTGTAGCAACGTGTAGTACCAACGCCTACTGTACAAATTCAGCTCTTGTTGTTGCTAGAATACGTTCTCCCTCTGCTTGAAGAAGTGATTGTTTTCAAAGTTGAGCTGCTTCCGCCGAGGGTTAGTGTTATTTCCAATCTTCAAATCAGAATATTCCGAGCTATGGCGTGTTGATGTTATTTCCCATTCTCTGTAAACCATTGGTGTCAATGTTTATTGTAACATTGTTTTTGGCATTGTCCAAGAGAGAGAAGTTGAGCACCACTTCTAAGTACGCACACACACACACACACACACACACACACACACACACACACACACACACACACACACACACACACACACACACACACACACACACACACACACACACCACACTACACACACCACACACACACACACACACACACACACACACACGCACACGCACAGACACACACACAGACACACACACACCATGTACACACACGCGCACGCATATACACACACAGATAGGGCCAGAATCACTTCCTTGGAGGTGGGGAAAATGAGGCAGGGCAAGTAATTATTGCGTGCGTTCCAGAGGAAGTAGCGGCAGCCGCAAAAGCCCGGTCGTGTTAGATTTGAATTATACTATGCAAGTCTATTGTGCTGCATTTTCTCATGATAATCAGACCTGTTCTCTTTTGTGAAAGGAATAGGAGTGTGTCTCAGGACAAGAACGAAATAAAACTAAAATGAGTTTCAGAGCAAATGTGGACTTTTTGGCAAATTCTTTTATTCATTTCACTTCTGACCGCACTGGAAAGAAATGGGAAGACAACGAACTAACGTTAAACTGTGCTTGTGAAAACTGGTGATCGTGCACGGACGTATCTGTTTGCGGAGATATGCGGCTGTCAAAACGTCTTTCCGTGTACAGAACACTGGTAACTATCTTTCCTTTCCTTTGAATTACACTGTATTGTCAGTTACAGAAGATGATAGTTCTAGGTTTCCACTCTGTCTCTCTCTGTCTCTCTCTCTGTCTCTCTCTCTGTCTCTCTCTGTCTCTCTCTGTCTCTCTCTGTCTCTCTCTGTCTCTCTCTCTCTCTCTCTCTCTCTCTCTCTCTCTCTCTCTCTCTCTCTCTCTCTCTCTCTCTCTCTCTCTCTCTCCTCTCTCCTTCCCTCCCTCCCTCCCTCCCTCCCTCCCTCTCTCTCTCTCTCTCTCTCTCTCTCTCTCTCTCTCTCTCTCTCTCTCTCTCTCTCTCTCTCTCTCTCTCTCTCTCTCTCTCTCTCTCTCTCTCTCTCTCTCTCTCTCTCTCTCTGTCTCTCTCTGCCTTTTGTTGTCGCTGCTGTTGTATTTGCTGGTGCTGTTGTCTGTTGCTTGCTGTCTGTGGTTATTGTCTATTGTCTTTCTGATTGTTTGTTGCTGCTGCTGCTTTTGTACGAGTACAGTAATTTATTTCTTCGTCTTGTATTCTTCTGGTCACATTTTCATGTAGGGTTCTACTTGCCAGCACTTCTGGACATAACTCATGAGCAGTGCGTTCTTCATGCCTAGTCGAAGGTTGTGAAGTGTACACGTTTGTCAACAGTTGGGGTTGTGGCCGGTAGGGGATATTGACATGGAGAAAATTGACGAAGGAGTAGGCTTGGCTGCCGGCGAGGCACGTGATGAGGAGGTAGCCGTGCTGAGCAAATCCCCTGGTGATGGCGATACGTGCCAGGATGCTGCGCAAGCGCCACTGGTGGTGGATGCGGGCGCGTCAGCGTCCAGTCCCATCAGCGACTGTCCGTCTGATGAGGGTGAATGCTCCAGTAGCGACAGTGAGGCACCACCATGTGCACCTGGATCAGGTCGTAGCTCCCTTACTGTTGACACGGCGACAGCCACGTCCATCACCATTGCTAGTCCTGGCCCTGCGAGCCCTGTAAGCTCGGTGGGCCTTGTGTCGCCGAGCTGTTCAACCGCTCTGCCGACTGATGCCACTCCCGTCTTACCAGTCTCGCCCGCGCCGACCAAGCGTTCGCACAGTGCAGCAATCTCAGACAACGAAGAGGACACGCCAGTCGCAAAGAAGCCTTCCCTAAGCGGCGAGACTGCTGCAGCTGCACCGGTGCTCGGCGGTGTCGAGGACGTATCCTCTGATGACGAAGACGGTGATGACGTGGAGCAGATGGACACTGAAGGCAAGGCTGGCAGTGTGTCAGCGGCGTCGCAGTCCACGCCCAATACGGATACGGCAACACAGGATGATCCTGGCGTGGCTGCCGATCGAGAAATCAAAGCTGAGCCGGACGATGGAGCGCGTGATGCACAGGCACGCTCAGGACAATGTCCCGTTCAGCACGGTAGTCCTGGCAACGGGTCAGGAGCTGCAGCGGACGGTGATAGCGCAACGCGTGTCACCAAGTCAGTCAAGTCGGGCTACTTTATTCGCCAGGAAGTCGTCATGGGTAGGTGGTTAGCAGTCACTTTCCTGCTGTGTGCTTTGCATCAGTTTGTTGTTCACTTGACACGAGTCTTTCTGCTTTCTCTGTGAGGTTGAGCTGCAGAACAGTTTGGTTTATTATAACTGTGTGCTGGGCTGTTGTTGGTAATACCCGTAATAGGACTGGCTAGGGAGAATAATGGAAGCTGAGCCCATAATTATATCAGTTTGATGTGTGTCTGTGCGCGTGTGATACGTATACGCATTCATCTCTGTGAGCATGTGCGTGTGTATGTATGTATGTGTGTGGTGTGTGTGTATGTGTGTGTATGTGTGTGTGTTTTGCGTGTGTGTTTGCGTGTGTGTGCGTTGTGTGCGTGTGTATGTGTGTGTGTGTTTGTGTATTTATGTGTGCGTGTGTGTGTGTGTGTGTGTGTGTGTGTGTGTCCCATATGGTGCAGTGGTATGTGCAGCGATTTCCAATCGATAGATTGCGGGTTCGATTCCCGACGATTATGGTCACACACGTCTTTCTTCTCTTTCTCAGACTCTTCCTGACTTTTCTTTCTCCTGGGTGGTTACCAACAGCCAGTGCATGCCGGAGTATGTGGTGTGATGTGTGTGCGGGAAAAAAAAAAAAAAAAAAAAAAAAGGAAAAGACCAAAAATAGGGATTCACTGGCCAGAAAATGTCACTCCAAATAGCTGTATGGTGTAGACCAGGCTGAATAGTGACGGTCAATTCTTCAGCCTTGCAAGCTGTTGAATGGTGTAATCCCAGCACAAGTTGCTATGGCTTCTGCCGTAGCATTGCTATCATCGCCTCCGGCGATGGGCGTCAAAGGTCAAAGGTGTGTGTGTGTGTGTGATGTGCGTGTGTGTGTGTTTGTGTGTGTGTATGTGTGTGTGTGTGTGTGTGTGTGTGTGTGTGTGTGTGTGTGTTTGTCTGGACGTGTCTGCGTGTATATGTGTGTGTGCTCGTGCGTGCGTTTGCCTATGTCTGTGCGTCTCTGTGTTTAATCTACCTGTACTGGCTTGTAGCTGATGTATGGAAGGAAGAGACTGAGTCGCATGCACAGATTGGTCCTGTCACTTACAACGTCAATCGCATAGTCAATAGTAAGTACCAGGTACACATGTAGTGAGTTCATAGCTACACTGCTGCCAACTGAAATCCGACCCCTTAGAGATGCGTTCACATTCTAGCGGTCTCAATTTCGTAGTTTTGCTATCCCGTGTCGGGTCTTTGCGATGTGAGCACACCGCTCAGGGGTCGGATTCTCTCAGGGGGTCGGATTTCAGTTGCCAGCACTGTACTACTGGTGGATGCAGAGGAACTCCCACGTAATTTTGTAACAAAATATTGCCGCCGAGACTGAGGACAGGGGTGCAAATTGACTGTATGGGTGTATGGCTGTGCGGATCACGGTGGTGTATGGCTGTGCGGGTCACGGTGGTGCATGGCTGTGTGGGTGCATGGCTGTGTGGGTGCATGGCTGTGTGGGTGCATGGCTGTGTGGGTGCATGGCTGTGCGGGTCACGGTGGTGCATGGCTGTGCGGGTCACGGTGGTGCATGGCTGTGTGGGTGCATGGCTGTGTGGGCGCATGGCTGTGCGGGCGCATGGCTGTGCGGGTGCATGGCTGTGCGGGTGTATGGCTGTGCGGGCGCATGGCTGTGCGGGCGCATGGCTGTGCGGGTGCATGGCTGTGCGGGCGCATGGCTGTGCGGGCGCATGGCTGTGCGGGCGCATGGCTGTGCGGGCGCATGGCTGTGCGGGCGGATGGCTGTGCGGGTGTATGGCTGTGCGGGTGCATGGCTGTGCGGGCGCATGGCTGTGCGGGCGCATGGCTGTGCGGGCGCATGGCTGTGCGGGCGCATGGCTGTGCGGGCGCATGGCTGTGCGGGCGCATGGCTGTGCGGGTGTATGGCTGTGCGGGTGCATGGCTGCGCGGGCGCATGGCTGTGCGGGTGTATGGCTGTGCGGGTGCATGGCTGAGCGGGCGCATGGCTGTGCGGGCGCATGGCTGTGCGGGCGCATGGCTGTGCGGGCGCATGGCTGTGCGGGCGCATGGCTGTGCGGGTGTATGGCTGTGCGGGTGCATGGCTGCGCGGGCGCATGGCTGTGCGGGTGTATGGCTGTGCGGGTGCATGGCTGAGCGGGTGCATGGCTGTGCGGGTGTATGGCTGTGCGGGCGCATGGCTGTGCGGGCGCATGGCTGTGCGGGCGCATGGCTGTGCGGGCGCATGGCTGTGCGGGTGCATGGCTGCGCGGGCGCATGGCTGTGCGGGCGCATGGCTGTGCGGGCGCATGGCTGTGCGGGCGCATGGCTGTGCGGGCGCATGGCTGTGCTGTGTAATTATAGTGTATTTGTACCCAATAAAGCCAGCCCAGAACAAGGTCATCTTTGGCTAGTTGTCAAAAAGTGCCAAAGGTCAGCAGCCTGCTTCATGGCAATTTATTTTATGTGATGGAGGTGGTGCGTGCATACATGCGTATGTTGGTGGTGCGTATGTGTGCGCGCGCGCGCGCGTGTGTGTGTGTGTGTGTGTGTGTGTGTGTGTGTGTGTGTGTGTGTGTGCATATGTTGTGGGGGGGGGGGGCAGTGTGTGTATGTGGATGTGCGTGCGTGTCTGATTTCCCCGTGAACACTGCACGTACCTGTACATGTGCCTGTCTTTGTTGCATGCTGTTATCTGTTATGTACACACGCAGACCAGCACAGCGACTACCAGTTGCCACTGCCTGAGAACTGGGTACTCATCAATCATGAAAGCGGTGGCACGATCTACATGGACCGCGCCAGTAGAGTCTGCACGTGGGCACGTCCGTACTATTTGGGCGATCACAGCGCTCGGGTATGTATGCCTGTACTGGAGCAACGATATTGTCGTGAAGACAACAGTGACGTTGTGTCCTATTGCGCTCATATCTCTCTTATCCGGGCGATCGGGCTCTGGGACCGGGCGCTAAGCATAGCAGCAAGAGTATATAAGCCCCCCAAGAGTGTGCAACTCCTGATACCCTTTCTATGGGGTTCACCAACGGCGAAAACTCACATCACGTGGTGTTGTGCCCCAGTTGTACGCTTCCAGCCCGTTTTTAGCGAGCAGCGGAGTAATAATAAAAGCACTCCCTGGCAGAAACTCACTGCGCGTATGCAACTCGCCAGCATAAATCATGGCAGATTTTCGGATTGCGCGCACGCTATCCTCAGTCGTACGTAGTACGAAACGTACCTGAGACACGTGATATGAGTTTTCGCCTTCAGAGACCCCATATACAGAGTTGCACACTCTTGGGGGCTTACTGTAAAAGCCATATTTATAACGAAGTGCTAATTCTAACGTTAGAATAATGGCTTTTACAGTACATACTCTTGATAACAGTGATATAGTTTGAAATGTCCGTAACTCTGAATCGCATACGTTCCAATGTAATGAGGAAGGGCCCGAGATCTGGCGTACAACGTCACTATTTTCCCAATAATTGGCAAAAGTAGTAATATTTCAACTAAAGTTCACAGAGTGCCCCATACTGCCATAGAGCAGACAATGATGTGGCCGTAACTGTGAGGCACTCCGGATAAGAGAGATGGGAGTGTACGTGTGCTATGGTGTATGTTTGCCTGGTTAGGCATCAGGATAGGCATCGACTGTGCCTACTTTTGTGCGTAGCGGTAGGTCTAGGCAAGCAGGCAGCCACTGTGGGATGGTGGCTAAGAGCAGAGGGCTAAACACAATTACCAGTATGTTGTTGCCGTGCAGCACAGTGCTGCAGCACAAATCCACAATGCACCTGCACTTTCCACTGACAATACTAGATAGTGTGTAAGGAACACCACTAACTTACTAAGGATTGACAACTTTGGCTTCCGTGGGACAAATGTCCTGGTCTTGCACCCCATGGCCAGGTCTTGAGACAAGGAAGGCACATAATTGTGCACTAATATAGTTGTACCCTATCTCAATTTGGAGCACAGTCATAGTTAACTCGTCGCTTTGCAGCCGAAATCGCCCCAGATTTGCAGCGGCTCGAGCAGGCATGCAAGCACGCGCACGCACGCACACACACACACACACACACACACACACGCACACACACACACACACACATGCACGCGCTCGCGCGCGCACACCACACACACACACACACACACACACACACACACACACACGCGCACTCTCTCTCTCTCTCTCTCCGTTATAACAGGGTTGTGTCTTTTGTGCGTATTTCATCTTCCCTGGTTTTGCATTCTGGAGTCACTAAAATACCCTGTCCGGATAATTTGTGATCTTTTGTCTGTAGAAACATGAGGTTCCTGTATGCGCAATTCCGTGCCTAATGCAAGGTTTGGCAGACAATGAGGAGAAAAAAGCACTCAATTTTCCAGACCCGAAGCTTGTCGAGGCTCAGAAGGAGGAAATGAAAGCAGAAGCTAAAGGCTCAGGCATTCCACTACCTAAAGAAGATGAAGAGGCAGTCGCTGTGCCGACAATAAGTAAGTGCTGTAGGCTTGGCTGTTGCCATACATTTTTGATAATATGCCTCTGCACAAGTACTTGTAGTCAGGCAACAATATCCGTTGCATCCTGTTCCTGTTCGTAGTGTGTGGACATTCTAGTAGCATCAACCGTGTCAATCTTCTGCATGCACTGAATGCATTCCCAGTTGTTATTCATTGTTCCTTCTCACCTTGTGATCGTTTTTATTCTTGTGTGTGTGTGTGTGTGTGTGTGTGTGTGTGTGTGTGTGTGTGTGTGTGTGTGTGTGTGCGTGTGTGTGTGCGTGCGTGCATGTGCGCGTGCGTGTGTACGCATGATGTGTGCGTGTGTGTGTGCGTGTGTGTGTGTGTGTGTGTATGTGTGTGTGTGCGCGCGCGTGCGCGCGCGTGCATGTGCTTGTGCATGTGCAGAACAGGAGAAGTTTGTTGACTACTTGAGCCACCGGTGGGAGATTTCCAAGACTGAAAGCCACTGCTACTGCCGTCATTGTCGCTAGTAAGTGATCTACACGGCATTTTATTATTTATTTTTTTATACTATGTGCACATCCAGTACAGTAAGATAAAGAATACATACATACATCCCTACAAAATAATCGGCATAAAGAAAGAGACAACGACAAATACGAAAGGACCAAAGTAGTAGTAGGTGCTGCAAGAGCTGTGCCGGTCAGGCGCAGTGCACTCCTCCGACCATTCCGGTGTCGGAATCAACATGGACTGTGCGGGCCAAGGGGGTACACTATGAATGATAGTCTTGTATTAAAGAGCATCTGAAAATGCAACATAAAACGGGAGAGAGAAGATTAAAAAAATGCAAGTGCCGTCGGTCAGCGTCGTACAATGTTATCGCATGAGCTGATTGTTTAGTAACCGGTGGTGTTAGTGGACATTATAGCGTAACTTGTAGTTCCTTGGTCCTTTTTCTTTTCTACAATAAAAAAACATTTTTAAAATGTACAAGGAGTAGAATTTTAATTGTTAAAGGAAGATATTTGAAATTGAGGGGCTATAGATTGATCAAGCTTCAGCTGATGTAGGTCCCGTGACAGTCTTGCCAGGAGAGAGAGAGAGGGAGGGAGGGGAGAGAACGTTATATGCTCAGTATTATCAGCGGCGCTAGTTGTTGTCAGCTGCCCAAAGCCAGTTTGGGCCAGAGTGGATGGCTGAAATTGATGATCATACTCAATCGTCGAGTGCACTTGCTCCTCAACATTGCTCTCGCCGTTCAATTCACAAAAGTTGTGCATAACAAAGCATGCGTAGATAACGAAAGGCAGATCATCCTTGCTAATATCCATTGAGCGCTTTAGGATACCAAATCGTGCCTTCAGGCGGCCGAATGCACACTCTATTACCATCCTTGCACGACAGAGCTTCAGACCAAAGTACTGCTCCTGAGGTGTTGACCCGCCTCCAGTATGCTCTTTCATGACATAGGGCAGTAATACGCTGGATCTCCAAGGAGAAATGCCGCCACTGGGTTTGTGGCGCAAATGCCTGTGCACATTCGCTTTGAATGCCTGCATTTTCTTGTCCTGGATGTTGGTGAGCATCTCTGCTGGAAGACTGTTCCACACTTCCACGAGGCAGAATGGAAATGACTGGCGGATATAGTTGGGGGGGGGCATTGTGTGGGAGATCAAGCTTCAGGTAGGCAGGGTGCCGGCTGGTGTCGAGTTGTCGTCTGGTTTTGGGATTAAAGGGGAAGTATACCCTAAAATCAAATTTTCACCAGTTGTAGTCTTCTGGGTGCTGAGTCGAATGGTCTTGGTCCGAGGAAGCTGCGACGCTCCCTTCCTTCTTTTTTCCCAATCGAACCCGCGCACTTCCACCGAAACTGGGTGACTGCGCCCTACTAGATGGGGATTTGTATGCAAAATGTCACTAAAAGCGCCATTTCGTTCTTATAAAAGCACGGATGACCGCGATTGGCCCATATGTTGTAGTCTTTTGGACGCTGAGTCGACTGGTTTTGGTCCGAAAAGGCTGCGATGCAGCGTTCCTCCTTTATTCCCAATCGAACATGGTTGAACAAGCGGTCACGTGCTCCTGGGTGCCCAAATCACCTGGTCACCGAGCCAGCAGGCGACAACTTTCACACCAAGGTTCAACTCGAGTTCAACTCGAGTGACAGGACTGCACCCAAAAAAGGTCAAACAGGCTAGTAAGTTGTACCCTGCAGGCACGGTGACCAGGTGACTGGTGTACGCAGGAGCACGTGACCGCTTGTTCAACCATGTTCGATTGGGAATAAAGGAGGAACGCTGCATCGCAGCCTTTTCGGACCAAAACCAGTCGACTCAGCGTCCAAAAGACTACAACATATGGGCCAATCGCGGTCATCCGTGCTTTTATAAGAACGAAATGGCGCTTTTAGTGACATTTTGCATACAAATCCCCATCTAGTAGGGCGCAGTCACCCAGTTTCGGTGGAAGTGCGCGAGTTCGATTGGGAATAAAGGAGGAAGGGAGCGTCTCAGCTTCCTCGGACCAAGACCATTCGACTCAGCACCCCGAAGACTACAACTGGTGAAAATTTGATTTTAGGGTATACTTCCCCTTTAAGCCGTGGGGTTCCGGAGGTGGAATCATTGCGGTAAGTTACGCTGGGCCATCAGTGAAGTGTAGCTTGTAGAGGTATGTGAGGCCAGCAACCGAGCGGCGCAGACTAAGGGAGTCCAGGAGGGTGCCTAAGTTAGGCCGATGATGTCCAGAGCCCTCCTCCGGACTCGATCTAGCTGATCGATGTGGGTCTGGCAGGCACCCATCCAGACCAATGGAGCATACTCGAGGACTGGGTGTACGAATCCCTTGTACATAGCCAGGCGCCCTAAGGCGGCCGCCCCGTGGCAGGACGTGGGCAGCTCGTCGGAGAAATCCCAGCCGTTGGCTTGCACGGACTGCAACGGTGTGGAGGTGGTTGCGGAATGACAGCTTGGCATCTAATGAGACCCCCAGGAGTTTAAGGGTCTCAGTCTTCGCAACTGGGATACCTCCGAACATTACGGGGTCCATGACATTGACCAGTTGTTTTGGTGGCGTTTTCCTTTTGGCAATCTTAGAGAGACGTAGATTCTTGACTATGCTGCTGGCACATTTCAAGTTTTGTAGATAGTCGTTACGGTATAATATCATGTTGGCAAAGTCTGCGCCTTGTTTGTCGTCCATGAGAGTAGTTACCACATCATCCATGTCTCTCTTAGGGGTCGTCGCAAAAGTTTTTTGTCGTCCCTGAAACGAACATGATTCGTTTGGGGGGGAGGGGGTGCGAGCCAAAATCGCAAGTCGACCGACACTGTGCATATGACATGTACATGCATGCGATTTTCGTCGTCCAGCATAGCAAGCTGTGTTCGTTTCAGAGGGAGGGGAGGGGGTCCAAGTACGAAATGAACGATGTTCGTTTCAGGGACGACAGAAAACTTTTGCGACGACCCCTTAGCTTCCTTATTGATTGTATTGGCACGATCAATTTTCTGCTGATAGTTAGCCATGCTGGTGTTAGCATATTCGGTGCATTCATGAAGCATAGCTTTTTCAGAAAGTTTGGAGAACTTGTTCATAATGTACTGCTCGAAAACTTGGCTGGTAGACTGAATCTTTATTCTATTCAATTTGCCTTGTTCGTTGATGACTAATTCGGCGTCCGGCAGAGGTGTGGCACCAAACAGGAGCGTAGAAGGAGGGGAGTCATCATCGTTGACACCATCAATAATCACGTCAGCAGCAGGAGATCTGGGGCGTTTCGGCGGGCGTGGAGAGCCGTCTGCAGCGAGCTTTTGTCGGCCCATTCCAAGTTTTGCCTTTGCGGAGTCCATACCAAAGGGTTTATTACGCTTGAGGGAGGTCTATAACGGAACTGAATAATTATAATGGGAGAACCCCCGACACAAGCTCAATTCACACAAAGTCATTTCTCTTTTGACTGACCGGTTTCATCTTATGGTGAAGAATCATCAGAGTGAAGAAGGAGAAATGAAAATACATGCTATTATAGTAGGGCCAACTCGCTCGGCCAAAACTACCTATAACACAAGTGGACCCATCAAAGCCGCTGGGAGCCCAAAGAGGCACAGGGGTAGGGGTTATTAATTTGGACACTGCCAACATTTCCCGTGTATTATGCTATAATTATTATACATGTACTATAGTCAACAGGCGCGTGCCCCGTATGGTTTCCTGGGTGCCCGGAACCCCCCTTGTTTCGCTCAAAATGCAGGATTTTGCTTCATTTTTTGAAAAATTTTCCCGGGGAGGTCCCCCGGAACCCCCCCCCCCCCTTGAAGGGCACCGGCGCACGCGCCTGGTCCAAGCACGGCATCCAACACATCTGCATGCTTTCACAAACACAAATTCAATTACCCCCCCCCTGTGCCTTGTTGGGCTCCCAGCGGCTTTGATGGGTCCACTTGTGTTATAGATAGTTTTGGCCGAGCGAGTTGGCCCTACTATAATAGCATGTATTTTCATTGTATTTTCATTTCTCCTTCTTCACTCTGATGATTCTTCACCATAAGATGAAACCGGTCAGTCAAAAGAGAAATGACTGTGTGAATTGAGCTTGTGTCGGGGTTCTCCCATTATGATTATTACAAAGCTGAGCACGCACGCCGATGTCACTACCCTGTACCACCTCGTACTACCAACTGATGTTCCTGAAAACCCCGGATACAGGCTCCAGGGGGTTCTCGATCGCCTTCACCTGTGGGGAGAATCTTTGCGCATCCGCTTCTAGCCACAGAAATCACATCTACTGGGGATCAGCACGAGATCAGAAGCCCCAGCGCTGGACATGCATTTCTAAGACTTACTCGTATAAAACTTTGGTTTGAGATTTGTTGCTGCCAATATCTATACAATCATGCTTGTCTGTGCCTACACTGTGTGTGCACGCTGTCCATACACTGTATGTGCATGCTGTCCATGCACTGTATGTGCATGCTGTCCATACACGGTGTATGCATGCTGTCCATACACTGTGTATGCATGCTGTCCATACACGGTGTATGGATGCTGTCCATACACTGTGTATGGATGCTGTCAATACACGGTGTATGGATGCTGTCCATACACTGTGTATGCACGTTGTCCATACGCGGTGTATGCATACTGTATAGACAGCGTGCACTCAAACTGTCTGTACACACATGCGTAACATATTTTCTGAGGTCAGAGCCACACCAGGGTATACGGTGCAACCGCCTCCTGGAGACGAGATGTCACATTGCCGTTTGTATTGTGTATGATTCGCACTGCTGCTTCACGGTAGTCTCAACGGTTGATTACACAGCAATATGACAGCACATGTGATCATAATAGTACGGGTATGTTTGTCATGCGTGGGAACATTAGTTGGCGAACCGTCAGTGAATCGTTGGTGCTTGGCTCTCATGCTGTTTTGTGTTGTTGCCCTATGGCTAGCCTCATGTCTAAACCTGAAGAAAAGCAGGACATTGGCGAGCTAGACGAAGAGAAGCTCGAGGCGAGACTTGCCGCTCAGAAAGAAGCTAACAGCTGGGCGTTGGGAGAAGTGCAGGTACATGGCGCAAGGTCATCCTGTGTGTATATGGTGTGATGTGTTTGACCAGGACTCCCTGCTATCCTGTGTGTATGGTGGGGTATGTTTGGCCAGGACCCTCGGGCTTGTGCAGCGTGAATGAGCACCACTTTGCTTAATCAGGGCCTCAATGTACCCGCGTCTTGTCAGCTCACCGACCAGCGCGCTTCAGAAGTAAAACTTGTTCTTTTTACCCCCCCCCCCCCCCCCCCAACATTGTTATAGCCGCACCTATCGACCTAGAAGGAGCACGAGCATTTGCTGCAGACAAGTCGAAATGGAGATCAGACATTGTTTATGGATGAGTTTTTGTTGACTGGAGACAGAAGCGGACTTGGCTTAATTTCAGTGTATTCTCATGCATTGTTCTTTGGCCTTTGTACGCGTGCTGTGGTATTATTATTATTATTAATATTATTAAGCTTACGTGGAGATAAAAATGACCCGCAGCTTACTCTATTTATTGCGTTGATTATTATTATTATCTCCTTTTCGCCGTAGAACATTGCAGCTGCCACCTCCCCTCTATCCACTTGCTGTGTGGCATTCAACTCTGTGGCTCGCTGATTTTCCTTCTCTGTTTTTTTTTCCTTGTGTGGCTTCTAGGCGGATGGGTCTCTCTTTTTCAAGATTGGCCGCAAAGGTTTGTGCGTTATTGGGGGGCTGTGTTCACCGCATTAAAGCGTGCTAGTGCACTCGCCATTGGGCTAGCTACTATTATACGACTACTAGACCCTTGAAATACAGTACTGATCTTCTTTGGTCTGTGGCCTTCGGTATGTTGATATGCTAGCGTTTAGGGCTAAAGCGCGATGCACAATATCACTTCTGCGGTGCGATGAGCGTCGAGCAAAAGTCATTTTCACATCGCGCGAACAGTCTTCGATGCACAATGCACGACACATCGCAGCGCAATCCTGCAGGGCACGCACAGTCCAAAACCGTATTGAGCCGGAGCACTTGTGTCACATGCGCCTGCCGTGTAAGAAAAAGTGATGCGCATCGCTCGTCGCAGAAGTTGAACTTGGCTCAACTTCCCGCGGTGCGAACTTCGATGGAGCTGCGACACTCTTCGATGCAAACATTTGCAGAAAATACTCTCGGTCGCATCACTCATCGCTCATCGCGTCGCAGAAGTGATATTGTGCATCGTGCTCAAGGGATAGTATTTGCCTAATTCCTGTCAGATGACCCTGGATAAGGAGACCGCTTGGTAACAGAGACCACATTTTTGAAGGTCCCTTGAGCGGTTGTCTTAGACAGGTTTCACAGTACATACAAGCTGATAAGCGTATCGTCTGACCTGCCTCTATGCGTGAAGCATTGTATCGTGTGCCATTATTAAAAAGACCCCAACGAACGTTTTGAGGTGCAAGACAAACACTGCTTTGGAGTGTTTCTTGGGATTTGGGACTTGCTGGAGCTGCTGCTGGCTTGTCAGTTTTCAACACTATTTGTCGCACATGCTTGTGTGGTGTGTGTGTGTGTGTGTGTGTGTGTGTGTGTGTGTGTGTGTGTGTGTGTGTGTGTGTGTGTGTGTGTGTGTGTGCATGTGCGGTGTGTGCATGTGCGGTGTGTGCATGTGCTTGTGTATATGTGCGTGTGTGTGTGCGCGCGCGCGTGCACGCGTGCGTGTGTGTAATACCAGGTGGCACCCAACTTAACACTGCTGGGAAGACTCCGCTGTCTGTTCTGAACGAGTACTGCCAACGTATTTTGCGAGTTCGTCCCGAGTTTGTGTCCGGCGAGTTAGGTGAGTGTGCTATGCATGTACACATTGCTAATACACACACCTGCACACACACACACACACATACACACACACACACACACACACACACACACACACACACACACACACACACACACATACTCATACCCCCATCACACACGCGCACACATGCACACAGACAGACAGACAGACCGACATCAAGCCCGAGCTCGATTCGCACACGATGGCACACCAGCAGAGTCCAGCTAGACAACCCATCGCACTCAACAGTAGATAGCCGAGGCGCACAACAGAAGCAAGAGTTGATAGTTGATACTGACGAATGTTAACGTTTTTGACCATATTGGTCTCTTCAGAATGATGTTGAGAATGGAGGAGAGCACTGTTAAAAGAGGATGAGAAGATGCTATTGCTCAGACCGAAAATAGGGAATGAAAACACAGAGTGACATCGCACCAAATACAACACTACCAGCGACACAAAGTACAGTGCTCCTCAATGAAATCCAGTCGCGCCACGCAATCAGTACGCGCCGGGCGTTGCACAGACCTAGACCGTTCGAACGCTGGGCTGCGACATGGTGCAAGGCGCAAACTTGAGTGACCCGACTGGATTTCATTGAGCAGCACTGTAGATGCAACACCATGTAGTAGAAATCGAAACAGTGACAGCAGCAGCAGCAGCAGCAGCAGCAGCAGCGGCAGTAAGGAGCGCCAGCAAATGATGAGTGGCGCAACTAGCATGGAAACTTCACACACAAACCCCTTGTAACACCCCTAGTCGAATTCACACTTAGCTGTTGGGTAGGTCGTCAACAAATAATTATTGCGATGTAATCTATTGTTGTTGCATTACATCGCACGCTTGCTAGGATTCTTGACACTTGAAGCGTTTGTCATTCCTTCTACTTGAAGTATGTGTATGATGCTACACACTTTACTGTGTTATGTCTAGCTGCTCTTCCTTGTGCTGCTTGTATCACCTCTCTGCTGTTTATAATTCATTCTGCTTGTTCAGTTTATTTTCTTCCTGTATTTCCCGGTGAGAAGGCATTGCAGTACTCGTGGGAAAACGTCGGAACGTTGCTTGTGAAAAGCCTGGGAGCTTGTCCTTTTCTTTTGTCTACTACAGTAATTAATTTTTGTCTCCTTGAAAACTATTTTGTTGTTGTTGTCGTCGTCGTTATTGTCGGCTGGTTGCAGAGGATCCGAAAACTCCGTTCCAGGTTGTAGTCACTCTCAATGGCATGAAGTACGGTGTCGGCGTCGGCACTAACAAGAAGATTGCCAAGCAAATGGCCGGTAAGTGGTAGTGTGTGGCGATGTGGTGATGGAATTGGATATTCTGGCCGGTGCAGCATTCAATACATGCATACACCACCAACGTATTTCTTCCTACAATTAGTTTCAATTCCGCTGTGGAAACTCTTAGTCTAGCCGGTAAAGTTCTGACTTCTAATTCGGCGGACGTGCCAAATTCAAGGTTTAAATTACATGTACTTGTTTGGATAATTAGAAGTTTTTTGCCTGGCATTTTGGGGTTCGAATTATCAGGATTCCACCTGTAAGGGGCCGGTCACATTGAGGGAACAATCTTCAGATTATAAACCGGGAATAATTTTTTCTGCTTTTCATCACGGCCACACTGCATACGCGCAATGAAAAAAATCTCACTCACGCGAGCAATTTTTGTCACCATTCGCTTCTGTCAGTCTGTCAGCCCCGCTCCTGGGCCAGAGCTGCATCAGCACAGCCTCTAGAGTATCGCTCCACTTCATAATGCAATAAAAAAACAAGGAAACTCAAAGAAATTCTGTGGAAGCCGCGGATGATTATAATCTTCGGCGGAAAAGCGAGGCCTCGAGCTGATTTTCATCGAGTGGATTAAATCTCTCAAATCTCCCGCTCAGCGGCAAATGTCCATGATAACCACGGATTTTTTCAAATTTTCCCTCAGTGTAAATGTATTAATTTTTACTTACACGGACTTGCTGTGTGTCCACTTTCTCTCGTTTGCAGCCGAGTTGACACTGCAAGCCCTCAATCCCACTGTGGCCAAACGCCTACAAACTAGCAACTCCCGCCAGGCCGAAACCGCTGGTCTCGTAAGCCTGCGCTGTTTTCTCTCCAGTGTACCCGGGGTTTGTTCTTTTCAAGCTCCGCAATGCACATTTGTGCGATAGGAAGATTATATGAATGTGGCAAACGTGGCGTTGGGCACTTGTGCCAATGTCCATGAGTGTAGTCCTCTCACCTCACATCTGCTGGACTGTTACAGGGAGAGGGGGGGGGGGGGTAGTAATGGACATCTGCTGGACTGTTACAGGGAGAGGTGGGGGGGGGGGGGGGGGGGGTAGTAACGACCTCACCATGTGCACATAATAGACCTTTCCCTGCCCAGCAACTTTTCAATGCGTGTACTAGTGTGTGTTCTTTTACACTTTGCTCAGTTTAGACCTACAAATCCTGTACATGTCCTGAAAAGTGGCCTGGCCTGGACACAGTCAGGATGACACGTGTGCACGATGACATCATTGTATCACAGTATGACATAACAAGCTGTCAGCACTGTGTGAATGCAACTGGGAGAATTTTGTGAGCTTTGCAATCAAGCCTGAGCATGAACTGAGGCCGGACATCGCAGTGTACTTCCACTTGTACAGTTGTGTTTGGTGAAATCCGACCCATTGTGCATACTTGGCACCCTGGACTTGCCCAGTCCTTGACGCCCCGGAAGTGATACTTCAGTACGAATGCTGCTGGACGTACACATGTTGTACAAGTACAGTGATGTATTGGGAACATGGCCAAGGTGAAGGCAGGTTTTGCACTTTGGGTCTGAATTCACCTAACGCAACTGTAGTATGAGCAGCTGTACAGTGTACAGTACCTGCTACAACCTGGATTGATTATTATTTTCTTTTTCTTATTTTGTTAGGGATTTCCCAACAGGCCATGATTGATGCTAGTAGATTGCTCTCATCGTGTATGTGCATCTCACTTTCTGGCCTGCAATGTTGTATTCTGCGTGTGTGGACAGGATGCGTTCGAGGACATGCCGGTGGATGACCCGGGCGTCCCCCAGCTGTGCCAGGAACTGGGCATGCCGCGGCCATCTCAGGTCTTGGCAGAGTGCCTGCGCAGGTATGAGAGCATGATGTTGCGCGCACACACAAACACACACGCACACACACGCACACACACGCGCACACACACACACACACACACACACACATGTGCCCACAAACCCTCTCTCACTCACTCTCTCTCTCTCTCTCTCTCTCTCTCTCTCTCTCTCTCTTTCTCTCTCTCTTTCTCTCGCGCGTATTGCCATTTTTCAGCTCTGTATCTTTGTCACTGCACACTTGGTTACTGCTGATAGTGTCCACCGAGTGTACATGTACATGTAGGTAGAGACTGAGTGACCCCCTTTGCCTGGACAGTGGTGGTGGTGTGACCCCCTTTGCCTGGACAGTGGTGGTGGTGTGACCCCCTTTGCCTGAACAGTGGTGGTGGTGTGACCCCCTTTGCCTGGACAGTGGTGGTGGTGTGACCCCCTTTGCCTGGACAGTGGTGGTGGTGTGTTGACTCAGCAGATAAGACGGTGCCCCCAGTAACCCAGCTCTCCTGACCTTAGTGCTGGTTGAATGCATACTATGCTATGACGTCTGTGCTGAGACTGTTGACCCTCCAGATAAGACTGTGCCCCCAGTAACCCAGCTTTCCGTGACCTTAGTCCTGGTTGAATGCACGCTATGCTGTGACGTCTGTCAGTAGCATCTCAGGCTGGTAGATTTTCTGTCCTTTGAGGAGTGGCTCCATGCTAGCTCTTCAACGTGAATGAATCTGCACGTCGTTGACTGGACACGGCTGTTTTCACTGATCTCTGTGTGTGTGTGTGTGTATGTGTGTGCGCGCGCGTGCGTGTGCGTGTGCTGCTCTTGGCTGGTCGTGCACAGGAACCAACACTCGCAGCCGATGACGTGCGATCTGAAAGTGGAGGTGTTGAACAGCCGCGCGTGCCGCTATAAGATGACATGCGGCGATCATGCTGTGGAGGTAGGTCACAGTTCATCACTGTACTAAGTTCAATCTGCTACATTGTAGTTACATTCAAACTTCAATCTGTGTAGTCGATGACAATGAAATGTCTCGGCAGGCAGTTTTGACGATCTTCAACGGAACTGTCTTCTCTATCAGTATGGTTGGTGTAGTGCTGCTGGCGGTACTATTGCTGCTACTGCTACTAGTGCTGGTATTGCTGGCTGGTATTTGCCAACCGTGTGTGTCAACCAGGAGCAGTGGGTAATGGTAGAGTTTGTTAGAGGAGCATTGGGTTATGGTAGAGTTTGTTACATGGAACCCTATACTGTAAGTCGAGAAATATTCGGGGCATATTTAGTTTCGGCTATTTTCGGCCTGGTCGTGTTTGGCCGAGAATTTATTGCGGCCGAAATTTTGTTTTGCAAGGTTCAATGTGACAGTGTATACAGGCAGCAGCAGTACAGGCCGAAAATTTAATGCGGCCGAAATGGGTTTTATGCCTGGGAGGCCGGAATTTGAATGGGCCGAAAATTTGCAGACTTACAGTAGCCACTCTCCAGTATATGAACTCCGATTGGAAGAGTATGTAGTCAGACAAACGTGTGGCGTTACTTTAGAAATTTGGATATGGGATTTTCGGTCTTTGACCACGATTAGTGGTGGGTCTGACCTGCTCAAGTCCCTCCGCTTTAGGAGCTGCATGTGCACCTTGATCCTTGAAGGTGGTGGCGTTCCTACCCATGCGAAAAAGTCGGTCTGACTGGGTCCGACACGAACCGTGACTTTTTTTGGCTATGTCACATGACATGTTGGGTGCTCATATGTTTTGTGTATTGTGTTCCTTCTGCTGCACGTCATGTCTTCCCCTTCGGCTGTGTATCGTGTCTTGTGTCTGTATATGCCGTCTTACCCACCTCCCCTCCCTTTATCCTCTGCTCTCTCTCTCTCTCTCTCTCTCTCTCTCTCTCTCTCTCTCTCTCTCTCTCTCTTCTCTTTTTCTTTCTCTCTCTCTCTCTTTCTCTCTCTCTCTCTCTCTCTCTCTCTCTCTCTCTCTCTCTCTCTCTCTCTCTCTCTCTCCGTTCATGGTTGTCTTTGCCCAGGGCAAGTGTCCGTCAAAGAAAAATGGTCGTCAAGTAGCGTCACAGGCGATGTTGAAGGTGAGCGAATGTACTTGTTTCTTTGCAGTGTGTGTGTGTGTGTGTGTGTGTGTGTGTGTTTGTGTGTGTTTGTGTGTGTGTGTGTGTTTGTTTGCGTGCCTGACTCGGGCTATGCCTTGTACTTGTAGCTAGCATAGTGCAACACTAGTACTGGTATATGCACAACAGGGCTGGAGTTGCTGGCGAGATGTGTCTCGGGTGATTTGTCGGGGGAAAGCATTATTACGGTACCATCCCGTCCCTGCCTTATCACTATCTGTATTGATTTGCTTTATGTCTGTTGCAGTTGGTTGACTGTATTCAAACACATGTGTGAATGGCTACTGTATGTGCACTGCTGCTGCTGCTGCTGTTTTTAGATGCTTCACCCACACGTCCTCACCTGGGCTGCCATGATGGCACTGTACTGTGACAAGACAGGGTTCAACATCATCCAGCAGGTAAGCGTTTTGAATGCTACTCGACACAAAGTCTTTATTACAATCAGCAGAATGTGAGAACAACAATGGACAAGGAACTCGACGCAGTCAAATGTTATCAGGACGTGTTGTCATGACAGTGACTACACATTTCTGCCAGTGCAGGTGTTGAGTGTTACTGCTTGAGTGCTCAGTACTGCCTTGGTCTATACAGTCTGTAGTACACTGGCCTGCTTAGTACTGCCTTGGTCTATACAGTCTGCACACTGGCCAGTGCATGTTCATTCATTCAGACTTTTATATTCCCGTAGCTATGCAAAAGACGTTACCGTAAAAGTCCGTAAATAAGTACGTATTTACTTTCGAATTTAGTGACCACACCCGTACTAACTTTCGGGCGGGTACTGACTTTCGGGCACGAACTAACTTTCGGACCTGACTTGTGTGTAGTGGAGAAGTCATTTGTCATGTTGATGTACATGCTACGTGCTGCATGTGCGCATCGTACCGGTACTTATTTCGGGCAGTATGTTTATCGGGCTTGACTTGACTTCAACAGACAGAGCCAAAAGAATGAAGGGAGTATTTCTTTCGGGCAGGTACTTATTTACGGACTTTTACGGTACTTCAGTAACGTCTGGCGCTAGCCAGGGTCCACACAGCTTGAATTCTGTGTTTGTGTGTTTGCGCCGATGCCTGGCGCCATCCCGTACCTGTCCCGTACCGTACCATCAAAGACAGCTGGCCACAATATTCAAATGGGGCTTTCAAATGCAAGATCATAACGTGAAGCAACTTGGAAGAATGAGTATGTATACGAAGTGTATCGGGGGAATGCATGCAGGGCGATAGTGCGGGTTCGAATCCTAGGTTTTGTCTTGGAAAAATAGGAGAAATGAAAAATTTATAATATCCCTATGCTTTTTTTGCCTAGGTCATCAAGGTGGTAGACGGTGTTGTATTACCCTCGAATGCAAAGAGAAAGTTTCTAATAACATGCATGATGAGCTAGGCAAAAAAGCATAGTGTAGGGCCCTGAGCTTCCAAGCTCTCTCGTTTGAAGGATTCTCCGAAAAGTAAATGGATACTGATCTTGTCAGGGGAGTTTCCAGGAAGGTTGGATGGGATGAAAGGGATGTGAAAACGGGCCTAGGGAAATGTACCTGCGAAGCGGACACCTTGGTTCTCATTTTCTCATTACAAGCTGATGTAATGCGCGCATGGCTCTAAACCATCCACGGGTGAAGTCTGGTTTCAGTGACAACCCATGGGATCAGTCTATCATTGCGGTCTTTTAGTGCAGGTGTTCTCTAGAACCAGGGTGGCCCGTGCATACTTCCTATGTGTGGTACCAAAGAGGAGTGGTTGTGGCGGATCGGTTATTTAATATCATTGCTTGTTTTTGGCGCTGGTGAAAGACCCTTTTCAGGGCCGTATGCCGTTTATTGACAGTTGATGAGAGTCATGCCTCTTGTACTCATGCTGTCGTGTGGTCAAAGCATCTCTGAAATCTTTAAAAAACAAGTCCGGACTTTGTGAGATTCCCGCGATCTCTACCCAGTGCCGTAGTACCTCTGTGTTTAGTTTAGCTTAGTTTAATTCCAAGCAATACATGTACATGGCTGGGGTAGCCAATGACCACTTTGCATGGCGATTGCAGGGTTTTATAGCCAACCACGGTTAACGGTGTGTTACCGCTTTACCATGCATTGGTATCCATTGTATCCCGTGTGTGTGTGTGTGTGTGTGTGTGTGTGTGTGTGTGTGTGTGTGTGTGTGTGTGTGTGTGTTCAGAAAAATGAAGATGTTGAGGATGCCGAGATGCAGGATGTACTGCAGAATCAGCTGAAACCCAAGGACGTCGTGAACTTTGAAGTGTTGAATGAGCTGCGACGACGAATGAGGAAGCTAATCCCAGCCAAGGTAGGGAGCTGTTTGTTGGAAAGTTCTAGTACCTTAAAGTTGTGAAGGAAAGCGTGCCTGTAAGACGTGTCTGTGGGTTTGCAGTGTGTCGTTGTGTGTAGGAGCAGTCTATGGCAACACTCTTCGGCTGTGGTGCAGACTACAACCCCCTTTTTTACTACTCCCTGATCTTGACTGTGTGCACATTGCTGAGCTACTTTTAAAAGTAATTGACTCTGAAACTGCCTGGTGTGTCTTCTACATGTATTCATTCAAGATTGGTAATTGAAATGTTGCTGCTTGTGTACATGTATAGTTTTTTTAGTAGCTTTTTGGTGCAGTTGTGCTAGGTGAATTCCAACCTGTAGTGCACATTTGCTCTACCGGACTTACACGGCCCTTGACTCCTTGCCGCCCTGGCAGTGGTGTGACTAGTGCTGGGTGTACACATGTATGAATTCAATGATAGGATGGGAGCTGGTCGCGGGCGCCAGCTGTGCACTTTTGGGTCGGATTTCATCAAGCGCAACTGTAGTTTCCACTGCAGGCTGTGTATAACACGTGAAGTCCTCGCTGCGATTAGTCTCATCCCGTCTGATTTGCATATTGCTCCTGCTGCTGTTGGTGTTCATCTCTTGCACAGGATTCGGGCAGGCCTTTGGATCCAAAGAAGGTGCGGCAGCTCCACGATTTCAAGCCATCGTCTGCGACCATCCACCCCACGCAGGCACCGGTGCCCTCTAGCAGCCCTGGGTCGCAACGCCATAGGTCTGTTGAAGGTGACACATCACCACCGGCCCCCCGTTCTCACTCGCCACCGTCGCGAAGCTCTCGTTCGTCACTGGACTCTTCATCACGTGATCATGACCAGCAGCTGCACCATCACCACCATCGCACGCACAGCAGTAGTGACCGGGGCAGCCGCAGTGACCGTTACCGTGGCGATAACTATCACCAAAGAGACCGAGACTATCAACCGAGTAGGAGGCATTCGTCCCCGCCGCGTTCATATAGGCCGTAGTTCATTTGCAACGCCAGCGAGTGCTCGCGAGTGGCGTTGGTGTGTGTGTGTGTGAGTGTGTGTGTGTGTGTGTGTGCCCCCCCCCCCCAACGCATTCATCCATGTGTTTGTAAATATGCTGCCTTGCTTCTTTTTTTAAAACTTCCATCTGTGTGGTCTCCTTGCTCAGTCTTCTCCCCGTCCTGAGACCTCTGCTTGCTTCTAATATTAATTTTCTGACCTGTTCCTAACCACCTTGCATCCTAACCCTCACTACATATCCTGTTTATGTGTGAATTGTCAATTGTTCTATTTCATTAATTGCCCATCCTTTGGAGTCAAACTGTCACATTCCAGATAATTATAATTAAAGGAAATTGGGGCATCACCTACAGCAGCGATTTTGGCCCCATTTTCGTGTGCAGCTCTGACCCAGGAACATCACTCGCGGAAGCATCGAAGGGTGCGCATGCGTCTGGATCAAACATTCTAGGATAAAAAAATCACGTAAAAAGGACGGTCTGCAATTACCCATCCCTGATGATCCTTTTCACAAAATACCGGTAGTAAAGAATGCATTTGTGCGCTTTCGTTTGACAATTCACAAAAATATTGAACGCATTGTATGTACATGTACGTGGCTGTCTGAACCCTTTCTTCCTTTGTTAGTGGGAAATGAGTTGGCAGGTGTCAGCTAAAACAAAATGACCTCAATGGTTGCAGAATGCCCTCAACAAGCAGTAAAGATCCCTTTTGTAGACTACCCATGCGTGGTATAAAAGGAATGGAAGTAAGACGAACGATGCCCAATCAAGTCCAGCTTGCGGGCTAATCTAATAAAAAAATTATGAACGTCATCAGCTTGCAGGAAGCTAATAACGAAATGAAGAATGTCATTGTCAAGCAACTGGGCTGGCACTATCTTGTACCCCGTTGTCTCCTACACGCATATGTAAGGCAACCTATGCCGACTTCTCGACTGGAAAGGAGACCTGGAGGACTCCGTCGAGGCCAGCTTCGATACGAGATCCTGGCTGCACGGCGCTGACACCTTCGGGCGTGCCAGTCAGGACGACGTCGCCCGGCTCCAGTGTCATGATGTTGCTGATGTAGGAGAGCAGCGTTGCGATGGGAAAGATCATGTCATTGGTGTTACCGTGCTGACGCCGCTGGCCGTCCACGCTCAGCCAGAGCGTGGCGCTGTCCGGCCGCGGCAACTCGCTACAGCTGATGAAGCGGCTGACGGGGCAGAACGTGTCGTAGCCCTTGGCCACCGTCCACGGCAGGCCGGCCTTCTTGGCGGCCGACTGCAGGTCGCGCGCGGTCATGTCCAGTGCAAGCGTGTAGCCGCCGACGTAGGACAGCGCGCTGCTCTCGTCGACACCGCTGCAACGCTTGCCAATCACCACGCCGAGCTCCACCTCATGGTGCAGCTCCTGGCATTGTCTCGGAACCTGAACGGCAAGGGGGATGTACACAGGCGGACGGGATTCATGCAGGCACACTACAGGGACCAGTCAGGGTTCTAGCACATCTTGGATGCGCACGCCAACGGAAGGTTCTAAGTTATAGAAATAACATAAGTCGGTCAGTGTCGTGCAATGCTATTGCATGAGCTGATTGTTTAGTAACTGGTGGTGTTAGTGGACATTATAGCGTAACTTGTAGTTCCTTGGTCCTTTTTCTTTTCTATAGATTAATAACACAGATACCAATACGCCGCCACAACCAGGCTTTAGACAAAGAAACACAGGCAATATGTCGTGACCATGTGTTATTGTGTCACTATGTACCACACGCACCTTTATCGCCTGTCCTTCTTCGATGTAGGAAGATGTGGGCTTTAGGAACAGAAGCGGCTCTTTTGGCAGTGGATTGTTAAGTTCAGCAGCATGTGCTCTGCATCAACAGTCAATAACAAATCCCACACACATACACACACTCACATACACATACACACACACACTCACATACACACACGCACACATTCACATACACACACACACACACACACACACACACACACAAGAGTACGCACACACATCCTAAGGGTACAAATATCTTCGGTTTGAAGAGTATTGAAAGTGAACAGTGTTTGTACGCATACACTGCATACACAGTGTTTGTTTCTACTTCTTTCGTTATTGGTGGTATGCGGGTGAGGATCGACTAAAAGAAATAAAACAAAATCTTGTCGACTTTTTGATGAGATTCAATGCCAATCATTCAGACATTTACCCCCTGAAAGACAAATTGCCTCAAAAGTTACTGATACCTTTTTTTCTTTTTTTTAGGAATGAACTCCTTGAGCCTCTTGTACGGGCAAAATAACAAATTTTGTGAAGCATCAACACAATTACATAAAACGAATCACTTTCTGATACCTACATTTACGTCGAAGTACGTATTACTACTACCATCACCCAGTACCAGTATGGCGTAGCATACTAGTAGGTGTAGTGGTGCAAAAGTTAACACTAGTGCATCTACTTCTTTACTCGTGCATATTCGATTCGGAAACGTTCATTCCACCCAGTACAAGGCCGGGGTGAGAACTGCCGCCACGACTCCACTCACCCGTAATTGCGACCCACTGCGACTATCTTCCGTCCAAACTGAACAAACTGTTTCAAATCCATTATTGCAGAGAATCACCCACCCTGGCCTGGTCTTGACTTGTTGACTTCTTTCCGTATTATTACAAACAAAGCATTTGATCGATTAAAAAATGTACCGTAAAGCCCGATTCACAATACAACTTTCTGCGACGCGACACGCGATTTGCGACAGTTGCGACAAGAAACTGCCTGTCGCGAGCTGTCGCAACCTGTCGCAAGCTGTCGCAATGCACCTGTCGCAGAAGTTGAAGAAAGTTCAACTTTTGCGAAATGCGACACGCGACATACACAAATGGAGTACAGTTTCGACCCTGGGTGCACGTGCAGTGCACGTGCATAGTACTACTTGTGCATGAGGATGTCGCAAACATGAAGAATATTGTGAACCGTGTGTCGCTGTCGCAGCTCGTCGCATGTGTCGCAAGTCGCATGTCGCGTCGCAGAAAGTTGTATTGTGAATCGGCCTTAAAGCGGGATTCACAGAAGCTTTTTTGCGATGCGACACGCGATGCGACGCGATCTGCGATGGATGCGTGCGATGCGAACTCGCGAAATCAAAAAAATACCATTCACAGAAGAAGTCAGCGATGCGACAAAGTTTTGCTGATTTGGGTACGTCACCATGATATTCGCGCGGTTTGACACAACTTGTAAAAATTTATAGGCAACTCTTGCACCTTTGTACAACTTTGCTGTAGAAAAGGTCAAAATCGTACACCAAATCGCTTGTCGCATCGCATCGCATCGCAAAAGTTGAGCCAAGCTCAACTTCTGCGATGGCCTGCGATGGCCCAGTTGCGGCAGTTGCGTGGGGTGCGACATGGCTGCGATTTGGGGTTTCCCCGGTTTCGCGTCTGTCGCATCGCGTGTCGCATCGCAAAAAAAGCTTCTGTGAATCCCGCTTTATTCGTTAACGTTGGCGTTGAACGCTGACGTCATGTATATGTAGGGTACCGGCACTACCGGGTACTGGGACACCACTGCCGGGCCATGCCCTGGACACCACCTGGACACCGGGTAGCAATAAAAAGCAACCGCAGCAAATACAGTTGAACATCGATTATCCGACCACCTCTGGGCAGACAACTGTCAGGCGGTGTTCAGATAAGGCAAATGTTCCGGATAAGAAAACACACCGTAAATACATGTACGTTGTAAATAGAATAGAGTGCTACTTTTCAAAATTTTCATATTTTTTGAATGGCTCACTATAGTGTATAGCGTACTCGAACTCCACGGCACGTGCGCCCAAAAAACTGTTACGGATAATCGAATGGTCGGATAGTCGATGTGCGGATAATCGATGTTCAACTGTACTAGCAATTTTTAGTTTCAGTTTTTAGCACGAGGAAAACATGGATGCAGTGAATGGGATTTTCGGTCTTTGACCACATGCTGGTGAGCTGATCTACTCACCTCCCACCGCTTTAGGAGCTGCATCTGCGCCTTGATCCTTGAAGGGTGGTGGCGTTCCTACGGATGCTGAAAACTCGGTCTCTAGAAACCGAGTCTCACGCGAACCGTGAATTTTTTGTTTTTTTTAGAGAAAAGCTTCTTGTAAATTGTATGGGCAAAACCGTTGCATCAAGAGTCCATAATAAAAATTAATAATAAAGGCATAATGCATTATAAAATGCACTACGAGGAGTGCAGGGCACTCGTAATATTCCAAACCTCCCTCTTATGGAACTGCCTCCCACCAAGACTAACTGCAGAACCATCCATTATTGTTTTCAAGAATGAGCTTAGCAAACTCACTTGCAAACATAGTGCTTCGCTCTCCGGTATGCCTACGCCATGTACATAACCCCCCCCCCCCCCCCCTGTGTGCTCCCCAACGCATTCACGCTGCACAACTTCTCACTACTTTCACTTTAGCTCATACGTGTACATGTACATGTACATCCTTCAAAGCGGTGAACCCCTCGATAGGCGACAAGCCTCTGGGTCATCCTAATAAAGATATTATTATTATTAAAGTCCCTGAAGCAATCAGAACGTTTTTGTTTTTTAACTCATTGCTGCGACCGTGAGAGGAATGAGGAGCTAAACTGGGAACCTCCCAGCCCATCCCAGCAACTGTTACTTTTTGCGGTTGACGTAGCAGGTGAGGTGGGGTATGATCCAGGTGGATGACGGCTGACCCCTACACCGGTGATTTTGTGCTGAACAAGTCGGATTTTGCTGATGCATTGGCAATCCGGTATGGTCCTTCAACTTATGGTTGGCCCCTCCGCGACTTGCCGAGCACATGTGTGTGTGTGGAGCAGTACTGTCTTTGGATCATGCAACGGTGTGTCGTACAGGGGGTTATCCCACCCTGAGGCACAGCACGCTGCGTGATCTTCTGGCTGATGCCATGGGCGCTGCTCTACCGGATGTCCGGATTGAGCCTCACCTTCTGCCGCTGGAGGGTGAGTCGCTCTCCGGAGCCTCGGCCAATAGAAGAGACGAAGCTCGGTTGGACATCTGTGCAAGAGGTTCTGGTCTCGACAGTAGGATATATTTTTTGATGTTAGGGTGACTCACCCATCAGCGTCCGTGTTGTCGAGGAGGCAACTTCTTGCACAGATGTCTAGGAATGAAAGCCAGAAGAAGAGAGCATATCTACAGCGTGTAGTGAATGTTGAGAGAGGTGCATTCACACCTTTGGTCTTCAAGTGTCAGTACCAATTCACATCTGTGGGCGTGAATGTCTGCGAGCTCTAAAGACTTTGGGTGGCTTGATTGTCATGCATCATTCTGGCTTGTAGTATTCATTGGTCATGAGTCATTTAAGACGCAAGATCTCTTTCGTTTTGGTCAGGTGGTTCGTCGCCTGTTTTCGCCCCTGCCGAGCCTCATATTTGTTTAGGCGATCCGGGGCTTTATCATTCCTGGTTGAGTGCCGTCTATGTTCTTTGTAGACACGCCTTCCGGTTAGTATCGATCTATTTTACAAGTAGGGATGGTCTGGAATTTTAGCCGGCTTCAACCGTTTTAGTTGCGCCATGGCAAAATAATGATCTGCTTTGATAGTAGTGACTGCGACTCTGTAATGATTGCCTGTGAGCATGCATGCGTTGACTTTGGTTTTTCAATTCATCTTTCCGGATCACGTTATCATGGATTTTTCAATAACGTTCTTTCACGACCGGACCCGGTAGATCTACTACAGCATGCAGTACTACAGTCATAAGAACTATTGACGATGACATGTACATGTGTGCCATGTACAGTGCTGCTCAATGAAATCCAGTCACAGCGTCACTCAAGTTTGCGCCTTGAATCATTTCACAGCCCAGTGTTCGCAGGTCTAGGGGTAGCCCTTTCCCACAGATGCTCGTCACTTTGTTTGATTTCATTGAGCAGCACTGTAGATCTACATGTCAGTAGTACGTGGACCGTAGGCCAATTTGAAAAATGTAACATCCTCATGTATATGTATGCACCAGGGAGTAGCTACTCCCTGGTATCAAGAGTACATGACCCCCAGAGTGTGCAATGCCTGATCCAGCTCTGCATAGCTAGGGTCTTGGTCGAGCGTAATCGGATCTTTGCGTCATAATACCGTACACATCTGAGGGGAACCCGGGGAGTCGCGGGTACTCTAGGATCAAATACAACGGTGCCATGCCTCGAGAGTCGAGACCGGCCTTGCGCTAGTGTGGAGTGTACGCATGACATCAGAAGATCCGATTACGCTCGACCAAGACCCTATGCAGAGTTGGGTCAGATGTTGCACACTCTGGGCCACTGTGGTTATGTACTCTTGATAACAGGGTTATGTACTTTAGTCTTGCTGGTATGCACCCCCTGACAAACCAAGGTTTCAAGTAACATAAGTACTACAAGTACAGTGTACTTACCGAATGCGCGTAGTGACTGTCCCGGTCCCTCTCCATCTCCATCTCCGGCCGGAGATAGTAGCTCCCACTAGCGCACACTGTAGATGTACATACCAGCTTACAACTACACTGACTCTGTACTTGTCGCAAGACCATGGTACCACTCTTCTTGCTTGTACATTCGAATACCAGAATACTCTACATTGAAGATCAAAGTATTTGAATTCTCATTCTCATTATGATTTTCATATTCGCTTTCATGTTATTGGGTTCTATGCCCGTTTGAACTTGCGAATCAAAATAAATACAAACAAACAAAACAAATTAACAATACCGGTAGTCATTAATAGTGAGGTTTTGCATTCCGAATTTCAGTTCGGCGTTCTTCGGTCATTTGTCGAACATCAAAATGTCGAATTTTCGCACCAACGTTTGTTTTGCAAGTCGAAAATGATGTGTTTTCATTTCGTGAGCCCCAGCATCAGCAATGTCCTGTCCCGTGCTCCCTTTCTTGCTGATTCCAACGAACTTTGATCGCCCAAAGAGTCGAGGGCCAAACCTGCCTCCTCAGTCGCCTCAGAAAAACCAACTCCATGGCCAAGTCAAATTTTAAGCGTACCGCCATAGTCTTTTCAGCCACACAGATGACGGTGAGGACACTCCAGGCGATAGAGAGTAGACAGGCAGTGGAGAGGAGCAATCAGAGGTAGCTGGCGATGCTGATGTCGCCCAAGACGCCTGCGAAGCGATGCCGAGATAAGAAACCTCTTTGAATATATCAAGCGCTAGCGCTCTTCTACAAGAAAATTCATCCGAAAAATGTTTTCGGCAAAGTGGGCTTTTTCCGAAGAAACATGCCGAATCTTCGTGTGCATTTTCGACCTCGCTCCCACGTGCCGAATCTTTTTGCCGAATTTCGGAATGCAAAACCTCACTACTGCACAATGTCGGACTCGTAGGTCAAGTCATCGGACCTTTTTTGGACCAGCACATGGAGCTGGCGAGGAACTAACTGGCGCGGCGTCGTTTCGTCCTTCCTTCCATGCATCATCGTTCGTTAGCCCCAGACTACATGGTGTAATAATTCTTCATTGAGCGAAGGAAGAAGAGAGCGTTTATTACTCAATCTACTGGTTATGTATATGAGAGTAGGTGTGACACAAGGTGTGAGTGGTGAAAGTAGGTGTAAAACTGTTACACCATCCCCTCCCCAACGGAAGGTTCCGTGGCTTTAACCAATTGTTAATCACGGAACCCAAGAGCATGG